TAAATAAATATTTTAAGAATAATAATTACTAAAAATTGAAATAAAGATTGGGAGAGGTTTTTTTATTTATATCACTTTAATTATAAGACAACTCGCTTTTGGTCACAGTATTGTAGAGATTAGGAGAATATTGCAATTCTATTGATAGTTTGAATTAATAAAAAGGAAGGAACTTAGTAGTTGAACTATTAAATTCAATGAAATGCAAAGACTCTCTTGACATCGATTAAACTTTATTGAAAATGGAGGCTATCATGAAGAAGATGTAGGAATTAATGAATTGAGTTAAATAATTAATATAATCATATATATGGAGATAATCAAAATATTTCTGATTCTTATAGAAAATATGCTTTTTAAATATGTTAGTTAAGTAATTATACTAATTTTCTTTAATCAAATAATATTAATGAACTTAATTTTAACACTCACATTATTATGTTTAATATAAGCCTAATAAATTTCACATGGGATGCATTATTTGTCTGAGAAATTTTATGGGAAGCTTGATACCAATGTCTTTTATTATTATTTAGTCTAAAATGAAAATCCTAATTATTGCGTGTCAAATCATTATTAGTGTGTATTTTTGAACCATTTATATTTGAATAACTACATCGATCACACATTGGATTCTCTAAAGCCTAAATTCATGAAAAAGGTATTCAGTCATTATCATTCAAGGTTTTTGAATTCGTTGAATTTTTGGATACCCATAAAAAAGCCTATTTCAGAGATTCTTCAAGGAGAGAACTTGAAAAAAGCTTTGAAAAACATTATTAAATTTGAAATATTAAATAGTTATTAAAATTAATATGAAATCATATCACTTATTTTTGAAATAATCATTTATAGATCTTTATATATTCTATTATTATCTAAATTTCATTTTTTAATATTTTCTATCATCCAAATAATAAAATACAATCAATCTCTAATGAGCTATTTCATTCCATTCGAATAAGTAGAAAATAATTCTTTGAGTATACATTATGATTTCCTTGTATTTTATAGATTGCAAAATCATAGAATAGTAAGAACACAATTTTAATGATTTATATACCTCTAGATCCTGAAGAATTGATATATAAATTTAATATAATTTAATTTAATAAATAATTTTTGTAACAGCTTTCTTATCATTTTTTTATCATCATTAATTAGGAGTATTAAAATTGCTTTCGATAACAATATTAATTCCACCGTTTATTTATTTATATGTACAATTAATAAACCATTAAATTCAAACTACTTCGAATTGGAAATATAAACAGAGAAAATTTTATCCTCTTTCTCTTTGGTTAAATTAATTATAGTAGAAATGTATTTGATAAATTTACTTCCCAATTCCTTTAATTGATTATAAATATTATAATAATTAAATTTATTTTCGATTCCCTTTATATATATTTTTGTTATTGCTTCAATTGAATGGAATATTCTTTTTTTTTACAACCATAAAATGCGCTTTTAATAATTTATAATACCCAATTTTGCAGGGGAACTTTACATTGTTAATTTTATCTAAGTTATTGAATGATTAATTTACCTTTCCATAAATGGAAATTGAATTTTTATGATCCTAACTTTGAAGCTGAATTCGAAGCTCATTAAAACAAGATTAGACTCATTTCTTTTCAAATGATAAACTTATTGGTTTCAGTAGCTGCTTTAATTTTTTTAATCACCTTTGTTATTCAACAACAACCCATTTAACTAATAATAATAATGATAGGAGTAGTTGGAGGGTGTTTTTTTATGTTTATTATTGGTAAGAAATTGGAGCCATACCTCAGATAAATTTTTTCATTTTATTTTGTTTGGAGTCAATCAACAAATGTATTAATTGCCTTTAGCGGATTAAATATGTATTACTTTGTGATAATTTAGACCAACATTTGTGTTTGGATTCAATACTTGTTGTTTCGCTGTAGGTACTTTATAGTATAGCGATAACAGATTAAAATTAGTTTACACAATTCTCACTCCTTTCATACTTTTATTGGTTTTTGATGTCTATAAAGCTGATCAAATTCAATATGTATTTTAAACAATTGCTTGTGTTGTTTGCCTTGGAATTTGGACTTATATGCAAGAATATACAGCACGACTAGCATTTTCACTGAATTTAATTGCTAATAAATAAAAGTAATGTTGTTCTTATATAATAGAGAACTAATCAATGAATTTGTAAGTGATTCCATGTTTGCAATCAGCTTGGATCCACGAACGAGATAATTTATTTTAGAATTTTAAAACAAAAAATTTGAGGAGAGCATGAATATCAAAGAAACTGAATAAATGAAGAATTTTCTCAGGCAATCATATTTGGTAGTAAAAAGTTAGGAGAGCTAAAAAAGATTAACAGACAAAGGGATTTAAAGAGGGTTAAAATTAGAGGAGTTTTTATTTAAAAAAATAAAACCTGACTAAGAACCAATTTTTAAGGACACAGACAATGAAGTTGAAATAATGTATCACAATCAAAATACAGATTAAATAATGAGTATGAAAATTTAAATAAAGTAAATGAATTTCGGAAAGCCCATCTTAATCGGAATAATTAAATCTGAACAAGTATCAAATCTAATAGGCGAACATCAAAAATAAATAAAAGAACATTAAAATCTTATGGTCAATTTTTCAATCTAAATTGTATCATAGCAAGAAAATTTATATAAATAAATCAATAAAACATAATTTGGTAGTCCGAATGAATAAGAGTAAATTATGAGTCTAAAGTGCTTAAGCTTATCTATAATTAATTATATTAGGAATTATGTATTGTATTTTCAAAGAAATAAGATTTCTACTCAATTACAAGTTTTTAAGAAGGTTATGATTTATGAGTATCTTAAATCCATTTAATAATACTTTCATGCTATATCTTAGTATCACAATATGAAATTTAATATTTTTAATCATGTGGATAAAAATTGTCAAATAAACGTCAATATCAAATATTTAACATAAATACTGTTTAACATCTTTGAATAAATTGCTAAGTAATCATGCTACATCAATAATGTATCTCTCAAAATAATTGAAGAATATACTTAAAATAATCAGGTTTTAGAAACTAGAAGGAAGGCTGAGGATTCCTAAAGTGCATCAAAATAAATAATTGATTTAAAATTAATTCTGTTCTAATTTGATGTTGAAAGTTCAGAATCACTTGATTTGTCGTGCTTCAACAAATTAGAATAAAATCAAAGAACAGAACAAGATGAAAGTTATATCATTTAAGAAGTTACAACCAGTTTACTCGATTGTCTAAGCCCAATCAATAGAATATAAATAGATTAGAATTTAAAATTAGAAGATGGCAGTTTTAGTCATAAGTTTTCTTTCAAAATATATTCGGATTAATCATAATTAGAACCATCATATTTTAAAGCTATTGATAAACCATTAATTTATTGAGTTTTTTAATTTATATCAAAACAATTTTCTAATAATTATTAAATGAAATAGAAATTTAATATCATTTATGGAAACATCTATATGAATCACTATCTTTTGAAGAATCTTTTTGGAATCATTGAAGGACTAATTTTATCTAAGAGTTAATTGCTTCTTTCATTAACGAATCTGAACGGCAGGGTCAAAGATTATAAGCCCACTGTTTCACCTCCAGTTATAATCACTGACGAAGGAACCTTCAAGGTATTGAGTAAGGCAATTATTAAGGAATTAGAGAATTCTTAGACTCCTTTTTTAGTACCTTTAAGAAATCCCTCCTCCAATGGTTTTAGAAGTAAATTTAAAGTGCCTTTCACTAGATTAGTAACTGTTGAGAAGACTTCCAAAGTGGTTAATGCTTTACCAGCAATCATCAATTTAGAGCCTAAACTTTATTAGAATTATGTTAAAACACAATTAATTACTTCTTCAGGAGATCCTCGAATTTAGGAGTTCATATATTTTATCGGTATTTGTAAATCATAAAATGAGCTAATTCTTAACAACCCCTTCAGGAGATCATCCATTTACAATCCTTTAGAATCATATGAAAGATTGAAGCATGTGTCAATAATTTATAGACCCTTCAACCAAATCTAAGGCGATTTTTGGACAGAATTAAAAATTTGAATCTGATCCTCATAAATTTATTTTTGTATCCAACTTTAACTATTTTAGAAATTGAAAACAAATTAAAGGAAAGCTCCAGATATGCAGATTCTCATTGGAGAAATCTTTACAGATGCTGTGTAGGCTTAATTTTCCAAGATTAAACCAATTTCTATTGGAAAACTTTTATCCTCTGAACAAAATGTTTCTGTATCTGGACTTAATAGGAGCTTGAATTTAGAATCTTTAATATTATCTTCAATTTCAAAATGAGATTAGAATTTAATACCAGTTTACCCTTTGGAATATAACTCTGTTTATAAATTTACATTTGTAAAACACAAACTAACAGTGTCTAATGTTTTATTTTGAATCTTATCAGACTATTCAACGTATTCTTAGAGCTCTTCTCCAAAAGTTTTATGTTTAGAATTTGTATTCTCCATATAAAGTGGCATTTAATAAAAAGTATGTCCTTCTTCCAAATGGATCAGCAATTTCCCTATGATTATTTCGATTTTATTATCTAATTGCTCTCCTTCAATTAGTGGTTTAGAGAAATCTCCTTAGATAAAATATTCTTTTTTTGTAGGATCCTAAGGAACAGTTTAAGGAATGTAAGGTTATAATTCTTCATTGATTTCCAGGATTGTTTAAATGATGTCAAATCTGAAATTGCCCTTGATTAAATCCACTCTAATGGTATTATTAATAAATTTAAGTTATTCAATTGTTAGTACTGATGTGAATTAAAAAGCATTTAATTTCTCAAAATAATTCTCAAGAATTAAGGGACATTGAAACTCCAATCCATTTTGTCTGCCAACGTATAATCTAGCTTATTATAGGGTTGAGCTTTTATTGTAAACCAATTCTTCGATATGAATTAAAGCTCTACTATTCGAGAACTCTTTGATGGTTTACAATCCTTAATTAGATAGTTCTTCTACTTCATTGATTGGAAAGATATCCAAAAATAAGTTATTATGAACTCTGATTTCAATTTCCATTTCTTTTTCTTGCTAAGCCTAGTGTTGTTATTACTTTTATGTATTCTATTTAAAGTTTTATAAAATATGATTCAGCTTTTTAAATGAAGTGAATTAGAAATCAGGTATTCTTAGACAAATATTCTGAATTGATATTCTCATCATTTTACCAAGTTACAATTTAAAAATATAATTGTCGTAATCTACTTCGATTGGCTTTTAATATAATCGCTTTTATCCTGCAAAAATAATCTAAGAACTAAATTAATTTGAGTGTGTTCTATATAACATAATTTAAGTTGCAGAGTATTTTTTAATTGTTTATTAGAGTATATTTCTATTAAATTTCACCAAAGGACATTAATTATCAATAACCAATATATTTTGAACTAATATAATAGTTTATTTAGAAGAAATAAGAGTAGTTTTTTCTAAATCAATTTGTAATAGATCTTTATTTAAATGATCCAACATATTTAAGGATGAAGATTCTATATTTAATTGTATATAAGTAAGTGATTCCTCTTTTAATTAACGCTAAGGTTTCTTTTTATTAGTTAAATTCTATTGCTTCTCAAAATATTAATTTAATGAGATCAACCAATATAATAGTTCCTAAGTGATTCGAACATCAACTAAGGGAAGTGATCCTCTGATGAGGGTTTCACTTCTCTCTTATCTGTATTGAACTGCCCCTCTTAAATCTGATTTGCCATTCTTCTTGACATCTTTCTTTTCTTAAAAGCTTATGTAAATTAATGGATATATTTGTAAATCATCAACTACGTTCTATCCAATAGTCACTATGTTTTATCCTGAAAACTCAATCCAAATTGAGAAAAAGGAGATGCAAAGGAATTGTAAAGGATTCTCATTTTTAGGGATTCCCTCATAAGCTTCAATAGCTCCTAATTTATGTGAGAATTTTTTAACGGGAGTTTATTTGAGTTTGATATCTTTCGCTCTTAACGAAATAGGTTTATTGTTTATGAAGTAATTTAGATTAACATATGGGAGTTTTATGTCAAATCCAAACATGCATGGCTTTTTGATTTCCTAGTCTGGTAATTTCTATACTTCGCTCTAAGGGAGATATTGCATTAGATTTAAACATAATTCATGGTTTAAGGAACCAATGAAATCTGAGACCTGCATATTTGCCATATAAAACTTTTCTCTATTTTTGCCATTGAAGATTTGAATAGACATTTCCAATGCCTTGCACGGTTTACATTCCTCCTAGAGTTTGTCAAATATATATATGGCAAAGTCTTACTCTACCCTACCCTATTCTCCCAATCCCATCATTATCACAGGAGTTACATAGAATTGATATCTAGGGTTTTCAAGACAGCTTCTAAAGATCTCTTAGCTTTAAACTATATTGATAGCATTATTGGAATCTGCTCTAACCCTGTGAGCTCCAATACTTTGTATTTAAAATTTGATATTATCTTTATGGTAGCTTCCCTAGATCTTAATGATTTCAATAAAGAAGTGACTTTCAAGATCTTAGAAGAATCTTCCTTTTAATTTTGGAAAGGTTTATGAATTTTCACTTACAGCTATTCTAATACCATCAAATTAGCATTTAAAAGTCTCAGCCTAATTTTTCACACTCCTGCTTCCAAAATCCAATTGTTCTTGTGAGGTATTGAAGATACTCTGAGAGAACTCAATGAATTGTTTTTCTTTTTGTTGAGGAATAGGATGTTAGGCCAAAGACTACTATAAGTTATTATTAAGAGTATCCATATATGAGAAATTGGGAACTAATTTAGGTTGTACATTCTTTTTATTGGTTGTTACTGTGTTTTGAGAATTTATAAAGGAGAACTCTGTTTTTTCTAATTTTTATTAGAATTCTTAGTCATCATCAAATTCTACCAATGTTTCTCCTTTTAAATCCATCATGATTTTGTTCAATTCATCAGTTAACGATAAGCATTTTTGTGCAGTCGACAATAGATTTTTAATTTGCTTCGTATTGAGTACGATATCCAAGGAAGAGATCTTTCCATCCACCTTTGTGTTCACTCTCCCATTTTTGGTTTCCACTACCATCTCAAATTTTAAGGCATTTTCTATTAAGGCTATTTACTCTTTTTCCAATTAGAGTTCTATCTGATCTATTCCAAAGCTTATAAAAAGTAAATTACTATTTATTAGATTGAAACATACTTAAGATTTTGCTTCTGAAAATTGATGTTAGTATGATGAATATGGAATTCATATTATTTTCCTCCTTCTGCTATTAGTATAATTTCAATATTCTTGATCGTAATTGAGGAATTACTTAACAAGGTATCAACCAAGCCTAAGAATTGAATGAGTCCTGTTTGAGGTCCCATCGATTTAGTTAAGTCTACACTCTACTCGAATTCTGAATGTTTATAAACTTCCTCTCTTAACTGAGCCAATTGATTGAGCTTTAAGATCTCCTTTTATTTTGCCTCCTCAGTTTTATCTAAATATTCCTTTAACTCGTCTATATTGATTTCCTTCACCAGTGCAAACACCAATTTGACTCCACTAGCCTCAAACTTTAAATTAGCCACTTTGATAGACTCTTTTAATATCAGTTTCATAAATTACTTATGTAAGCCTCTTCAAGAGTAAACAAACTTTGGCCGAGAAGTTAATTGATGAAGGTTTTGTTGAGCTTCAACATCTCAACTCCTTTGAGCAAAGTGCCCATATTCAGTTATTTTGGGTCTTCAAGATAATCCCCGAGGAAATTATCGAGTAGTAATTGAAAAGTGTCAGAGAAACCATTAAGAAAATAATCAGAAAATGGCTTGAGCCACTCCTTGACTTTCTGCATACAATAATTATAATAATAAAAATCAGATAATGCACAATGTTTAAATGAGACGGGAATACTACTCAATATATTTTATATGAAATTGTATGTATAATAAGTGTCTATATCTTGATAAGATAAAACTCATCAACCTTTAAGTTAATCAATTTTGTTATAAATTTCTATTAATCTATCATCTATTGTCTGTTTAAAATTCGACAGTTCCTAATCACTCAATATAAATGATTACCTCCTGCTCCTCCTCTTCATCAGGTATGGAAAGTGACTTATTAATGGGGAACCAATTGATACTCTCTCGTTTCAAATCTGAATCTACATAACTTTCAATTCCGTTATAATCTGATTTCTTTTTATCCTCCAAATAGGAAATGTAAAAGATGTAATTCCAAACGCAATGCTCATATTTAACGTGAAATCTAAATCCCTTCTTGTGTTTCGCCTTCTTCTCCAAAGTCCCTCTATCTATCCCACAAATCAAGCAAAATCCTTTGATATCATTATCCAGTTCTTCAGCCTCATCTCTCAACACACCAAATGAATCTATGATGATACCAGTAATTATAGAGTATAACAAACTAATTACAACGAAGACATAAACGAATTCCCAAAAATTCAGGATGCTGTATCTGTAGTTCTCGTCTGCATACACATCACTAGAGGAAACAAAACCAACAGAACCACCATCTGTCTTGAATGTGACATCTAATATGAAAGAGAAACATTAGAGCAAGTTTTCACAATATGGTGTGTATTGATCTGCATAATAATGATAAACGATTAGAGAATAATAGTATTACATTATTATGTACAAAGAGAGTACCAATAAGATTGATCCACTAGGTCTCCAAATTGCCTATGTTTATGAATTAATCATTTACATTCACAATTGATGTCAACGTTGGGAATCTCCAAAACACGTCCAATAGCAACAATGCCAAAACTATATTCACATACAGTCCAATAAAGGCTAGGGTTGTAAAAATTAAGAAGTAGATCATCTCATAATCCAACAGGATGCACTTATATAATGTTAAGTAATCTGTTATATTAAAATAGAGTCTCCGCCATTTGTTCTATTCCAATAAGAATGAGTCAGTCTTCTCTAAAACAAAATCCTCTTGAAGTACTATGCTTTGAGAATTATCCAAATATTTATATTTAATCTCTCTCATTCTAATTCTATTTATTTGCTTTTCAAACACAATCTCTTATGATTTTATTCTTAAATATGGCAATTTTTTCACTATAAAGATAAAAAAACATAGGAATTACAAAATTATTTATGTAATTGTTAATCCAAACAAAATATCTCCGAATATCTTCTCTAAATTAGAATCACTTGAGAATAGGATCATTAGATTTTCTAACACTATTACTAAAAATATATATTTATTTCCATAGTTTCTAATTGGCTAGCTAACAAATTTATCACAAAATTCTTTTTGTATAAGGCTTAAAATTTATATTCAGTTTTTAATTTCTAAATTATATGAGAAGAATTCGACAAAACTGATTCAACCTTCCTCTATTAAGATAATCTATCAATATCGGAAGCAAATTTCTCTTTAATTACATTGTTGAGAGCAAAACAATGAGGAACCAATGGAAACATCACTTTTTTTAGTTATTTCGATGGTAACAGTATTTCAATAGATCCTGTTCTCGTTGCAAAGAACCTTAAAGCTCTATAACCTAATTTCTTCTATTGAGCCTCCTATTCACCTGATGCTTTCTTTAACTTGTAAGGATTAAAAATTTTGTCACTAAGTTGTGCACTTTATTACAGCTGCCTTATATTTCTAAATAATAATAACAACTTAAATACTTTGTTAATTGCGAAGCCTAAAATATTGCTTTGTAGAGATTATAAAAGACTATAGATTTATATTTCTTTTTCTAAGTTTTCGTATTGTCTATTTGCTCATATATTCTCTCCAACACATCTTAATCCTTCATCTAATATACTTGGGCTAAAAGATTAAATAAGGAGAATCCCGTCTCTATTATAAAGGAGTCCCAAAAGTCTTTTACAGCTGATTCCACTGTCACTTCCTATTCTACCTAATACCAATAAGTATTGCTATCCTTTATTTACACTTTTCGTCTTTATATATTCTTCTTTCTCTCCTTCTCCTATTCAATATTCTTTGCATCTTCCCCTAACAAGTGAGAAAACACAAGGTTTGTGTAATTTTTACCAGAACCATGCAAGATTTTGTATTTCTCATATTAAATTGTTATATTACGAATCAGTATCTTCTCATTGATAATCATTGAAATTCTCTTTAAAATATCTGATTCATTTTACTCATTATCAGTCAATGATTCCAATGTTGTTGCACATCTGTATTTGATTTCAGATAGCATAAACAATTTGTAGTTCAGTGAATTGCTTTTTCTAAATGATGTGACTAATTATTTACAATAGATTGGACATTAGATATAATACTAAATAATCTATTACTAAATGATTGTTTTATCTTGAAGATTATTAATCTTTCTGACTTGTTCTTAAGTTTACAGTCTTGATCGTTCTTTATCCTAATTCAATAAAGCTTAATCAATTTTACTGAATCTTTGATAGAGATTCAAGAACTTAATTTAAGAATCATCAAATCCCAATAGTTTACCACATAACCTTAAAAACTAAGGTTAACATAACTTTTCTTAGTTTTAAGGACAAGGCCCTTAGATATTTTCTTTAAGACAATCAAAACAATTTAAAATCAAAATGTAATCATCCTGACTTAAGGCATAAAAGGATTCTTAATTGAAGAAATTCAACAAAATGTTCATCAGATGTTAAATGATATCATAATTCTAAGCAAATCCAATTTATTCTCTAAAGAAATCTTAGAATGGTCTATAATGATCCTCAGCTAATAGTTAAATCAATTTCATTTGAACCTACAAAATACCCAATTTCATCGCATTCTTTTTCTACTCTAATCTATGATTTTCATTGAATTCATATGCCAAATACACTCGATTAATATCATGTTAGATTAAAGATCGCAATTTTAATGTTTCATCTTACTATTGATATCTTTCAAAAATGCTAGTAAATATTTTTAACATGTAATTGCTTTTAGTTTTCAGGATCTCTTGCATTAGTTTTTATTAAGCAAATTAATTCGCAGATTCAATTCCTCTGACTAATCTTATTGAAGTTAATAAAAATTGATATAATAATTTCTCTTTCTTTTTCTTATTCAATAAAAACAATTCTGATTATTGCACAATCTTTATTTTATCATATGAATTACAAAATTACAAAAAGATTTCAAAGAACCCTTAGTTCACAAGTAAATTCTGAAAAGCTTTTATTGCTTTTATTTGTAGAATCTATTCACTCTTAGAATGATACTTTCCCTTTTTATTCAACTCATACACCTTAACTGTCTAAATATAATCATCTCTAATATAGGTGTGGATGTCCAGCATGTGCCATAAAAACTTTAATATCTTTTTGGCAGACTTAAAATTCTTGTTTAAATTGTTCATACTGGATGAAAAACAATTAATCAAAGGTACAATAGGCTTTGAGAAATTTTCACTTATTATTTCGAAATCCTCATTCATAAATAATTATTATTTGTAGATTTAAAAGTACATATCAAAATTTTCTATTGCCAAGATTTATTCATTTATAAAAAAACTATTAATTTATTTGTCAATAAATTTGTTTTCAGACTTGTTCTTCAATAAATTCAACTCATGAATTCTATTATCATTACAATAAATTGGTGAACAGTATGGATCAACAACTTGATCCTTTTTTTGTTGCTCAATTTAATCAAGATTGCAATTTTGAAATTCCAATTTTCTTAAAAATAGTATTTTCAATTATTATGATTTTTCTATTAAAAAGTGTCCATTTTCTATAATTTCCCATTTCGTTAAATTAGCTTTTAAATATTCCTCTATTTATTTCAAAAATAAATCAATTTTGACTTTCAAATTATGAAATGGTTTCAATTTCACACTTTGATTCATGTCATTGGCAATACTCTCAGCAAATGCTTACGATAAACTCATTTGTCTTGCCAAAGTTGAAGATGCCCTGCTCCCAGGTTTAGATTTTGACTCTTCAAAATTCTCAATTTATTCTTATATTAATTGAGCCAAGTTCAGAAAAACATTCAATAATAGCATAGCATAATCATTAAAATAGAGGCAATTAAAATTATGTTATAATGAAAAGCATGCCATTTACTTTTAACATTCTGATAATTACTCATCCTCCTTTGAGTCACTATCATCACTGTCATTCTCTGATCCAGATTGAATTTATTAAAACAATTACTAATTTTCTTTTTACTATTTTTGTATTTTGAATTTAAAATTGGAATCAATGTAATCATATATTTTTTGTGCTTCATTTGTAGATTTCATTTTAGGATCTAACACAACTACTTTGCTTTCAAATACCTTAGTTTCCTTATCTATGAATAAAACAATAGTTTATTGAATTTCATCATCATACTTGATGATTTCTTTATAATTTAAAAGCACATTAAATAGTTTAATGAGCTAAGTTTTTAAAATTGTATTCAAGATTGCTAAATTTAAATCTTCGAATTTAGGTTTGAATATATCCTTTAATTAAGTGCAATATTTAATAACCTACTGCAAAGGGAATGAATCAGCCAACACTTTACAACCTTAAGGGTTGGAATATTTGAGTAAATACAATACAAATTGAATACCTTATATTTAAAAAGTGTATGGCATATTTCCAATTAAAAATTACTTCTAAAATGTTTAAAATTTGTTCTATGAAAGGATCTTATCTAGTGGATTATCTTAAAATCCAAGTTATTATTTAAGTTTCTTACTATTTTAAATTTATTATATGATTTCGAACAGATTCTTACTGCTGGATATATTTTATTAAATGACTAATGATTCCAACACTTTCAAGGAACCAAAGTTCAAATTATCCAAGAGCAGGTAAATAATCCTACTACTTGCTGACTCAATATTCTCATATGATTCAGAATAGATTTCTTAAAGTAAATCATATTGTCCTAAATCTATGCATTTCAAAAATTCATCGAACTGATTAAATTTGCTTAGAATTCTTTGTTTATTATAATTATTCCCATTACATTAATACTTTAAAATTATGAATGATTATGTGCAAAATTGCAGTATTGACTCCTCTTCGTTGTTAATTTCTAAAATGTATCTGTTGTCATTGTTGCTTTTATTGAATTTTTGGGTAATTACTTAACAAATTTATTAATAACTTTCCAGAAAATCCAAAAGTATAAAATCTACATTCAAAATTCTCAAAATCTTTTATAGCAATAATAAATTTTCTGCTTTTTTTAACAATTGATTTAAATTTATTAAGGAATTGATGCAATTTTGATATAATTACTACTTTTCATCAGCACTTTCTAATTCTTTCAATTGCAAAATCATAGACTTTATAAATTAATATTTTAACACTTCTTCTTAGTTTTCCAAAAATAGGCATTTTTACAGGCGTTTAATAATATTCCTTTTGGGTTAATATAGAGATTCCGTCAAATTAAAAGCCTTTAATTATGTTTCAGTTTATGATTACTTATGTTTCAATAAAAGAAATGTGTTCTCTTTGATCTTTTCATAGCGACTGTAATTATATTACTATGAAAAATCAAGATAATCAAATTATTATGATGTTTTAATAATCGAAGTTAAAATTTTAGTTTCCTTTTGTTTAAAATAGAGTTGTAAGAAATCAATTAAAATTATGGACATCTAATTAAATATTTCCTTTTATTCTTAAAATTGTTGGAACTGTTGAACTTATTCTTATAAAGGTTGATTTTATTCTAATGATTACGGCAATAAGGTATAGGCTTATATTAATAAATTAACATCAAAGTATTTTTCATGAAATTCTTTATTTTATGGGAGATTGAAAGTATACAATTTGTAAAACATCTATAAGATTTTACAAACACTTAAACTGAGATTGATTTAATTCTACTAGATTAAATTAAGTTTAACTAATTCTTAAGTAATAGTAAGCAATTTTTCAATAGCTTTGGTGTCATTTATTGTAAATTATCTTGTTAATTATTTATGAAAAGACTACTTCTAAAATTCCTACAATTCTAAAGATGAGGCCTCAGCATTAAATCCATTAGATTATTGAACCGAACCATATAATTTATTTAGATTGAATATAAGTTTAGGAATTTACTTAGGTTGATATGGATAACAATCAACATATAGATTCATTAAAATGATAATTAATCTGCATCTTAATGATTCAGCATTTCCTGAATAACTGATATAATTGATTAGTGTCTTTTATGGTAGCTTCGTCCTATAAAACTAAATGTTCTCATAATTCCTTTCCTAACATAACAAGCCTATGAGATTTAACTGGGAGTCTAAGAAATTCTTGCATTCTATGATGTCCTTCATGAAATCTTTATTAGCCTTGCTGTTCTAAACATAAATTTCGTTCAACTCATACAATTTATCATCTATTTAAACATATATTAGATTATCTTCCTTAATAAAAATTTATAATAGTATTTTTGGCCCTTTGATAATATGCTTACCTATATTAATCTAATTATTGAAGCATGCTTTATCATTTTGTAAGCATAGAACACTTAATATCTTCATTATATTACCCCAGAATCTTTTATTTAGGATTTAGAGACAATAATTTGCTCTTTCAAAAATCTCATCAATTAATGTTTAAGATTTTGTTTAATTTTATTGTTTAGTTAAGATGGTGTTGATTCTTGTGGAGCGTTTGATTAACGACAAATCAAACTCCTTTTCAGATTCTCCAATAAAAGGCATTATACCTGCAACAGGTATTAGATTTGAATTGTTCTCAAATAGTCTAATCAAACAATAAAATGCTCCAACATTGTATCCTAAATATTGTTTTAATTTAAAGTAGGCTAAAAATATTATTTGACTGTTATAATCATTGTTTGAACTAAAGGCTTCAAAAAAAAGGAATGTTTAGTTAAGAATAGTATTTAATTGAAATAAGAATTGAATATTATGCTCTTATATTGGTATATCATTGTTGGATTCGATTTTATTTTACTCAATAATTTAGGTGTAATCATATGACCATTTCACAATTTCAATAAACTCAATGAGGGATTAAACAATAACCTTTTTTCTTAGTAAATCCTAATTATATTGATTCATCTTCAAATAATAAATTGCATTTTTATCTATTATTTTTGGTTTCTCCTCATCGGCAACACAGAATATAGTAAGATCATTCAATACAATTTCCAATTACTATAATTCAAAGAAGAGTTCATCAAATTTTCCATCATTAATTGATTAATTCTTGATAAATGAATTGATATCATCGTAGTGCAACTAATATTTAAGGTTTATTTGATAAATCAAATGAACTATATTGTCTAACCAATTTTAGTGGACGAAATCCACATTTGAAATGAGATCAAATTGTAATAAGTCTAATTTAGATTTTTTTGATTTGTATTCGACCAATTGTTTATCCTGAATCTAATTAAAATTATTTTCATTAATAATTTTATAACTCAAATATTGATTATTCCAAAGAATGTAAAAGAGTTTGTTATTGATGCTCTCTTCTTCAATTAATGAAAAGAGGGAAGCCTCTTAATAATTCTAGCAAATCTAATCTCCATTCAAATAGAAATTGCCAGACAAATTTTATAGATAAAATTAATCTCCTTATTTGATCTATTAATTGATCTTTTAAGGATGATACAGTCTCCATATATCATAGATTAATAAATCTATATTTTATTAATTTCTTTCACCCGATCTCCAAAAGATTGTCTTATTTTTTGAGTAAATTCGCTAATATTGAGTTTGCACATCTGTCATATGTAAGTTGTTGTTTTGAGGATTCTATTGAATATTTTCATTGGTAGTCAACTCTAAATAAGAGTCTCTTTCGATTTATTTAATTTTAATTAGGCTGCCATAGCAAAATGAAGTAGATTAATTATCTTTGAGATGCTTTTTCAATTAGAATGTGGTTTATTTGGTTGTTGAGATTATAAAATCGGAAGTTTGTTTCACATTCTCGTTCACATTTACAAATAGATCTGATTATTATTCTAGAGTTTACAATGTAATATTTTCAGGAGAATACATCAAAAATATATCATCATCAAATGAAACTTTATTGGAATTCTTTAATAATAAGGATCGATTACTTAAATTTAAGATTTATAACAAGGCTATATTCTGAAAAGTGTTGTTCTATCAATATTATTAGTTAAGGAGAGTATATATTTGTCATTATGCACAATAACACAAATAAATTTATTAGATTTAGCTAATTGTATTACTATATCTTGTGAGTATTGTATATATTCCTATTGATTGAGTTTCTGGATGTCGTCGTTATCAAATTAAACTGGAAAGATATGAAATATCATATTTTCTATTTGCAATTGAGATCTAATAATAATTTTTGCATGAACTTCATTTTTATGAAAGGGGGATAAAATCCATCCGAACTCAGGAACAAGTCACTGCATTAAATAAGGATCTCGTCATTTGAGCATACTTGTATCAATTGTATATTCTAATCCATATTTTATAATTAATAAATTAATTTATAAAATGGTCAAGGCAAATTCATATCACTTTGCATTAATTGACATAATAATATAAATTATATGGAGAACTACAATAAAATGAATAAGTAAAAATGCATTTAATCAATTTGATTCCACAAAATATGAAATAAATAAAATAATAATATATAAATTATACTCTTAAAATTGTGACAATCTAAAATGTATATTTATAATAAATTTTCAATTAAGTATGTAAGAAGCATTACCTAAAATATTGAATCCTTCATTAGTACTAGCAAACACTCAATAGATGGATTACTTTTTATTCACATCCAGTATTGAATTTTAGGGAATTAGATGAATCTATTCTAAAATTCATGGTAAAATCTTGAACAATTGGCTGAACTAGTATACACAAACATTCATTTGTAAAGTATAATTTTAATGTATATTTTGGATTTAATAGATATATTAATAAATATTAAGTTATATAGAGAAATGGAATAATATCAAAATTACCACTAATTAATTTAACTATTCTAAATGAGTTGCAGATATTAAAAATACGAACGAGTTCTTTTAAAAATAATTATCCAATTTCTTATTAATCAATTACACATCCTTTTTGTAATCTTATAGGCTATTCTATATAAAGATTTTGATATATGAATTTTATGGTCATCAAGACGTGATGCTTCAAGTTAAACTCTCTTCTTAAGATACGAGTATGTTATTGTAGATAGCAATTACTCTTTGCATCATTGAATTCCACTTCTAATTTTTATTTTATTCATTTAAATTTATATTAAAATTGTGAGGGTGTAAAATTGGATATCAAAACAAATTCTATTTATTTCTTATTCATTGTCTATTTTCTGTTTATTTTTTTGATGTATATGATATTATTCAACCAGTTGATATTCTATAATTGTGGAATATCAATAAAATTGAATAGAGATTGATGTACAGAGTTCAATGAATTAAATAAATTGATAAAGTTGTATAAAATTTGAATCAATGTGATTTTGGGGAATCGGATAGATAAATGATTTAATTTGTCTGATATTTATTTATGTCTCAATAATTTGTGGGAATCAATGGTGAATAGACAGGTTTAGGATTCACAAATCGAGATCAGGGTGCCAAAGTTGAGGAAGATCAAGGTTTGATTGAGTTCAAAATAATAACTAATGATGGAACTCATGAGAGTATGAGGATGCTGATTGATCTCAAAAACATCTTTGCTAGATAACTACCCAAAATGCCTAAGGAATATATTGTCCGTTTAGTGTTTGATAGAAATCATGAGTCCATGTGTATTATTAAAGTATACCATCAATCTATTGATTTAGGACAACACTAAAGTCATTGGGGGAATCTGTTACCGAAAGTATCCAACTTAACGATTTGCTGAGATTGCTTTCTTGGCTATTACAGCCACACTCTAAGTAAAGGGTTATGGAACTCGATTAATGAACAAATTCAAAGAGCATATACAAAAACAGGATGTTGAGTACCTACTCACTTATGCTGATAATTATGCAATTGGATACTTCAGGAAGCAAGGATTCTATTAAGAAATCAAAATGCAGCCAGATCGATGGAAAGGATTTATAAAAGATTATGATGGAGGTACCTTAATGGAATGTTATGTACATTCAACTATAGACTATGGCAATATAAGTGATCTAATTAGAGAGTAAAAACAGGTAAGATTGAGTTTAATACTAGCAAATGATAGATATAATCAAGAGATTGACTCTGAATGATAGGGTTTACCCTGGATTAGATAAGCAGAATTATAAGGTTGAAAATTCGAATTCTGACAAGCCTGCTGTTAAACCTGAGAGTATACAAGGCATCTTAGAAAGTGGATGGACTATTGAAGATTACAACGAACTCAAAAAACAAAAGGAAAAGACTTTCATGATTTCTTGTCAATAAATCATAGACACAATGAAGAAACATAAATCTGCTTGGCCTTTCTTAGATCCAGTCAACAAGGATGATGTTCCAGATTACTATGATGTAATCACAGATCCTATTGACATCAAAACTATCGAAAAGAAATTATAGTCTAATTAATATACATCCAAAGATCTCTTCATTAAGGATGTTAAGAGGATATTTACAAACTGTAGAAATTACAATCAGCCTGATACAATTTACTTTAAATGTGCAAATGAGTTAGAACGTAGTATTGACGATTATCTGAAGAAACTAAAAGATGAATAGCAAATACCAGGAGTCAGTAAAAAAATCAAAAAAACAAGCAGTAAATGATAATTAATTTATATATAAATAAATGATAAATTCACATATACTCTAATTATTTAAGTCTTATATTGTGTAAATCTACTCAAATATTTGCAATAAGCAATCGAACAAAACAATTAGTATAATAATATTAATATAAAGTTATCAAAACTAATTGAAGTGCTAATTAAGCAACGCTATTACTTTATTGCAATAGTCCATAAAAACTACAGGATGTCCTCTGCGTAATTAGAAATCAATCATGTGATCATTATTATTGGTAGGCATCTAAAAATATATAATGGGAGATACTTAGTAAATTTTAATGTAGAATATAATTTCCTTTGGCGAATATTTATTTTAATTAGTCTTTTTATTTTTGTCCTTATTTTCCTCTTTTTAAATTAGAGATGGCAAATCATTCTTTGATCCTGCTTCATCGTCTTTTTGAAATTCATTGAACAACTCAACATTAGAATTATATTTGGTCATTTTAATCAAGTTCCGATGATAACACTTAAGTTTGTATTAAGGACTCTTGACCTCAATGATAGTATTAAACTTCTCTAAGCAAGTATAAATTGCATTTACGATTTATCTAGCTTGATATGGATAAACAACGGCCATGATGTCCTTTTGCAGATCCTTCCCATAATCATATGGAGCAGGTTTTTGGATTTCTGTGAGTAGAATATTTTCGAATGATTACCCATCCAATTATGGAATGTGAGGATTGAATATCAAATCCTTTTTTGTAAGGTTATTTATAGTCATGGGAGTTGATGATCCAATTCCCATCTATCTTAGCAGTAGATCATACATCACAACGATTGATTTATCTTTTCTCTCACGTATGCACTTTTATATATAGCCTTGAGAAATCCCTTTGACATTCACAGAAGGCAATTCCATTAATTTCTTGAAGACTTCATCATTGATTTCTCTTCTGTCTTCATCCAATTTAATTGGGATTTACAAGTAAAATGGAATTTGATTGCTCCTCAAATAGGGATGCAGATAGATCTCATGGAATTTAATTCTCTTTAAAGGATCTGGAGTCAACATCCTGTTAATCAAATCTCGCACTTAGGGACTGAAACTATTAGGGATTATGTAATCAGCAGTCTTAATCTTCTTATATAAGGCTTACGAGGTTTCTTCATCAAATGGTAGGTATCCAGCTATCAATGCAAAGAGAATAACTCCACAACTCCACACATCTGCTTCTGTCCCACAGTAAGTTCTACCTGAAATAACCTCTGGAGCTGCATAATTAGGAGACCCACAAGGTGTCTTTAGATATTCACCATCATTCATCTTATTGCTGAGTCCAAAGTCTCCTATCTTCAAAGTGTTATTATGAGATATCAGTATATTTTCAGGTTTAAGATCTCTATGAGCGACAAGATTATTGTGACAATAATCGACTCCACTTAATATTTATAAAAAGAGATTACGAGCCTCTGTCTCTGGCAATTTACCTCTTTAGGCAATCAGATCAAAGAGTTCCCCTTTCTCTGCATATTCCATTACTACAAAGACGTCTCCTGCAGTTTCAAGAACTTCGTATAGTTTGATCACATTAGGATGATTGAAGTGTCTCATATATCGTATCTCTCGACTAATCTTGTCTTCCATTTTCGAGTTCTTCATTCTTTTCTTATTGATGACTTTGATTGCCACTTAAGTGTTTGTGATATTGTGTCTAGCCACTATAATACTTAAACTATATCACATACACTTCACTTTCCCAAAAGAACCTACACCTAGAGTCTTCCCTAATAAATAATGTCCTATTTATAGTGGAACTTAACCTTGCTATTACATTTCTATATTTTATATACTCCATTCATTTATTAAATTACTTTGAATTTCAATCAAAAATAACTAAATATTGTACACAAATATATTTAATTTTTGCACTTCATTCATTTATATTTTCCACAAATAAAATTATTTTATCTACTTGTTTCCTATTCTGAAACACTAATTTCTCTTGTTCTTAATTTCTTCCAAAAGCAAACAGATAAAGAATAACATTTAAAAATAAACCTTAAAATTGTTTGATATTTTGATCCTCAATAAGATATTGACGAATTCAACAATTCTAAAGGAAATCAGAATGCACACTTAATGAGACGGAATTGTTCAAAGAGTAAGGAGAAAAATAAAGAATTGATAAACGAAGCAGGGAAGGGTTATGCACTATGAGATGGATGAGATAAAAAGATTGAAAATTGATTCATTAAATAAATTATTAGTCGTTAAATTTTAAATTATATAATGGATTAGAAGACTGAAAAGGCTTTACTTGAATAGTAGAATGAATTGCTAGAGTTATAGTTATAAGAATTAAAGGAGAGGGAAGATGCTTACAAAATGTTTAATGAGACAATTCTAAATGCTTACAATTCAATGCAGAGTGATGTTAATAAATAGAATGTAAAGTTAAAGTCCTATACTTGTAGAGTTTAGTTTATAAACAATTATAGCAGACTTTGGAATAATATTCTCAAGAATTGATAGAATCTAAAAATAGGAACACTGCTGTTTTATCCTAACTAGAAAAGGAGAACAGATACTTGAAAAACTACTTAGAATAGCTAGAACTTAAGATCTAAGAATAAGCTCAAGTCTAGGAAAATGAACTCACCGATTTGGAATAATAATATGATGCTCTTCAATAACAATAGGAGAGTACTGTTATTGCAAAACCTAAGAAGAAGAAGTCACAATAGGATAAAGAGAACAATAAACCAGAATAAGGAGGGGGAGGTTGCATTGTGTCTCTTAAGCCTAAAAATGATTGTGGTAAAAAGAAGGAATTATGCATAAGCAATGTGTTGAATTGCAAGGATTCTAATGTGATGGAGATCTCTCAATTAGATTGGTTGGATTCCAGTTCTCCCACTGGATTATTCAAACAATTTTAAATACTCCAAAGAGGACGGGATCGTTCTGATCACTCATTGAGGATGTAATAGTAGCCCCAATTATCCAAAAGAATCTTGAGGGATTAAGGAAAGAGTGAAGATTCTGTCAGTCCTCAATGTATTAGGAATACAACTCCCCAAAATCATTATATCACTCCGGAATCAAAATAGTTAAAATACGATGCACAATAGGGGTTTGCAAGTAAAGCAGAGTAGAATCAACAAAAAGCAGAAAAGAGATCTCTGGCGGAGTTCACAAAACAAATTAATTCTGTTAGATCAACTGAGAACTTCCAAATGATTTTGAGATAGAGTTCTTTGGTTTGATTTTAGTTTTTATTTTTCATTTATAACAACATGATTATGAGTATAACAACATATGATGATGAGATCTGATAAACATTCGAAAATAAAAATTAATATATTTAAATGTATGAATATTGGAATGGCTAGGACCTTTAGAATAGACATCCAAATAACTTTGATTAATAAGGGAATCAGTTTATTTAACAAATTATTACAAATATTACCCATATTTTAGACCATTTTAATCAATAAAAGTTTATAAATACACTTACTATTCTTTCTGAAATAAAAGTATAAAGCTTGTAATCTATAACTTATTATTTAGACACTTTAATGCCAAGAAGTTGGCTCAGAGTTCTGATGAACTGCAAGATTACATTTCTCAATACATGGAAGTTGATGGAAATACACTGAGACTCAATGGGCAATTCCAATAAGGGGAGAAGTAAAAATCGGCATAGCTTTTGTTGCAAATGATAGAAACGGCTCAAGGGACTATGAGGGATTGGTACAAATTCCAACATTAGCAATTAGAGATTGAGAAGTTTGAGGAGAGAGGTAGACAAATCATTAATAAATATAGTGGATTTATTGCGTCATAATTTTTCATTGAAATAGTCCTAAAATTGTTGTGGTTCCTGTCAACTTATTTGATAATTATTTTATAAGAAATTTTAAATCTATGGTATGTCTCTATATTTATAATAACCAAGAGTAAAATTAGTAGGCCAGCATCTTGCAAAAGTCGAAAGAGCGAAGTTGATGAGTCCCTTTTTGGTATCAAATTAGCACAAATTACTTTCTAGGAAGCAATAAAAAAAATGATGCTAAAACTGCTAAAGTAATTCAGAGTGTAAGAAAAGGAGACAATTCAAATCCAGATGTTGTATTAATAGGAGAAGCGGAATTATAAAGAATGAAAGTTTGTTTCATCATAAACCTTAGAATAATGCCATTGTGACCACAAAGGAGGAACAACTATACTAGAAGAAACTCTTAGAGGAACAGAAGGAAAAGTAGATGACAGCTGCTAAGGCCAAGAAACAGAGGATGATATCACTGGAAGAAGAAAAGAAGAAACAAATCCCTTTGACAGCGCAACAATAGGAAGATAAAGTGGTTAAGGACAGTCTCAATGCAAGGGTAATCAAAAACATCTTCGAATCTAGGCTGCTGAGATTTTGAATGAACAATTGGATGATGTTAAAGAGATGAATAAGATGGTTATGTATGCCAAATGTGTTACAATCAGAGACAAATAATTATAAGAGAAATAGTAATTGAAAGAATAATTCAAAAATTAAGAGAAAAGAAAAGATCTCATGATGGAAATCGAAAGACTCAAATCAGTTAAGTATTATGAAGAAAAGGATATCTAACATAAACATGAGTTGAAACAAGGTCATGGCATTATTGTAGAATAAATTAAAGAGAGAGAATTGATTAGACTTAAAGAGAAAGAGGAATAGGAGAGAGAAGGTCAAGTTATGATTAAACAAATCAAATAAGTTCAAGTTGAGGATCAACAAAAAAATCTATAGAGGAAACATATGTAGAAAAAGTTACAAGATGAAATTCTAGAAGCTAACTCAAAGGCTATTGTCGTTAAAGAAAAGAGAAGATTGGAAGAAAAAGAAGAAGAAGAGAAGATTACAAAATATAACTTAGAAAAGGCACAGAAGGATGCTGAAATAGTTGAGGAACAGAGAAGAATCAAAGAGGAAAAGGAGAGGGATGTGTAAAGATTAAGAGAAATGCAAGAGAAGGCTTAGGATAGATAGGCTGAATTAGATTTATTAAGAGCTAAACGAGCTATGGAATAAAACGAGAGAGCTGCTAGAGAAAAGGAAAGAAGGGAAGCAGAACTCAGATAAAAGTTAAATTCAGAATTGTATTAAGCTAGAAAAGTTCAGTAGAATGAGAAATAGGAAAAATTAGAAGAATAAGTACTTTACCATAATATTGAATCAAGGCTAGACTTGAAAGGGATGAATTCCAAAGGGTTATTTAAAAGTAAAAGCAAGAACGTGAAAATGAACTAAGATTACAGTAGGAAAAAGAATATTTGGTTAAAAAACATGCAGAAGAATTGAGAAAATAGATCTCTACGAATGAGGAAAAAAGAAAGTAAGAAGAACGAGATAAGTATTGAATTGATTTAATTTGAAAGGCTTGAAGAGGGCAAAAAGATTAGAGATAAAATGGTCAATGAAAAGAAGTTATTAGAAAATATTAAGGATTAGAAATTGAAAGGACTCAATGATAATACAATACCTGATAAATATAAGGCCGAATTAGCAAAAAAGAAAATCAATATTCAAATATGATTCATCACAGATACACATAAAACTAGATATTATAAATTAAATTCTCTCTCATATCTTTATTAATATTTTAAATCAATTTATTTTGAATGATTTGTGTATTGTTAGAGCCTTAGCAAAATCGGTTCCATCCAGTTCTGCAATTTTCTATTTGATCTACTCTTACTTAAGTCTCTATTTAAAAATTGCATTATAATTCGTTTTGTAAGCACTATCTATTAAAAATTGAATTACTTGATGTCTGTTCCTGCCTTATCCACTCTTATGGGATTCGATAGTTTCCAATCTGGCTTGTATTCATACTTTACTCTATATTAAAATAATAAAATAACTTCATTTCAGTTTTTGGCACTAATTATGCCTTAAATCTGCTAAACAGAGCTCTTAGACAATTCAATACTAACTCTTAAAATTCTAATTCATCATTCATCTCAATCCAATTATCCAAAAATAATTTTGCCAAATCATTAAGAGGCTATGCAAATTCCAGTTCAGAGCATTTCTTGAATTTGAAAACATTATTTTGAGGCTTAAGTAATTTTTGTAGATATCCGAATTCTGTGCCATAAGTTGTTGAAGTTTAATTTTTTCTATGCATTTCTTCGGCCTTCTTGAAGCTATATAAAATCAAACAGAATCATTACTCCAACTCCTATTGGTCAGTTAATTCTTGCAATTGGACAGTGGGAGGCTTAGCTCTATTATATCAACCTAGATATAACCTAAATAGTTTTCTTCCTTTATGCTTATAAATCGCACCAATCAATTAAAGTCCTCTGGCTTCCTTTTCACTTGCTATGTAGATCCAATCTTTATAGTAGTTTAAGTATTCAGGTTTAATAATATTTGTTAGAATTGCAAACGGTTCCATTCTTAATGTTATATCAATTATTAATAATTAATAGTCATTTCAATCGAATTATATACGATGTTATCATTATAATATATTATTAATTATAAAATTATAAACAATAGAGTGTATTAATAAGTCTGATTATACGAGATTCAAAAATATAGTAATTATAATTAACATATCGATGAGAAAGTAGGAATATTCAATTTATATTAAAATATCAATGAGAAATAGAAATTCAGAAGAAACTCAAGAGAATTTGTTACAAATGTTTGATTCCTATCTAACTTTTTCTGTGTATAGTTATTTACTGGAAATCTTTACTATTAATTTTATACATATTTAAAAGCGTATTAAATAATAAAGATTGTGTCTATATCCTCTAGATAGCATTAATGAATGTTTTTTATTTTATTGTTTATATCTAATTACTTCATCTGAAGAGTTTGAGAACATATGCTTTAATTTAAGTAAATTTGACAAATTCAGTGCCAATCCTTAATAATAGGTAGTATTAATTAAATTAAATACTTCCATATCTTTGGGATAGCTGTAATGATAGATCTTCACTAATATATATATATTTATAAATCCTTAATCTTAATTTCTCTTTAGTCTAAATAATAACATATATCTGACTTAATTTGAGCTCTCCAAAATTTATCTTGAATATGCGTTGATTAATATTGACCTGTAATATTTCATGAATATTTGTGAAGTTGGAAATTTCAGTTTTCTCTTCAACTCCACTCGTTAAGTATAATCTTTTAATTTACTTGTGCCCAATTCTCAATATACGTAAGTGATAATTATAATATCATAGTTATAAATGCCCCAATAAAAAATAATTATTAGATCTCGAAGTAATAAGTAAGGGTCGAAATTGTCATCTCCTAGAGGTGATCTAACTGACACTTAAACCAAAGTATCAACTTTAATCTAAAATAACTTAGTTGATTGAGAGACTAATGAGTCGATAAAAGAATGGAGTAAATAAGGAAGAACAACAATTTTAATCATATTTCGAGCATTTGGGAGGTATAGATATTAAGGAGTGATAGGATAATGTTTATGTTCTCTTTGCAATTGCGGCAGACATAAATGTGAAGGGAAACAGTGTCGAAATAGACCATCTATGCATGGGAATAAAAGTATATATTAGAGGGAATACGTTCATAAATCGCCAGATCAGAATGCACATTATAATTAAAACCTTTTTGAAAGTCCCAAATAAGAAGGTGACATAGGAAATGTTTCAACATATAAGGTATTGAAGTATTGTAGATAATTTTAGCATGACTTCTTGGGCAGCCAATCCAACTTTAGATTTAAGAGTACCTCTCCTTAATCTACTCTGCGCAGTGGCCCTTTTTGTGGTCTTTCAACTTACAACAACGTGTTTTTGAATTGGGGTGGTGGAGATACTGTTCCATTATTGTCATAAAAGAATCCGACAGTAATTAGAGATCTTCCATTTTTCGGAAGAACCAATTACAGAGAGTGTTTCTAAGGAACATAAGTCCAACCTGCTTAGAGTACGAAGGGTTTTCATTGCAATAAGTAGATTATTGAATTAGCGTAAGGTCACCTCTATCTCCCCCGAATATGAAATTTAATGGAATTTCAGTTACTAAATCTTCCTATCAGCCCTATCGAACGGATAAGTTTGCCAATTCCAAAGAGTAGCCTTAATTTTAATTGAATCCTTCCTACCAGGGATAATACAATTCTGAATATTTTAAAGAATTTGATCCTAAATACAGATAGCCATGTCCAGCAAAACAAGTTCTAGAGGAAGTGTCTCAATAATGTTGATACGTATTAGATTAAAATTTTGTCCATTTAAATTGATATAAAAACATTTGACATAATCCAAATTTTTTGATCGCATTTAGATTTAAAAATGAATTGTAATTACAAATTTTATTTTAATGAATCCAAACATCCCTTAATTCAAAGGAAGTTATGTAAATATGAAGACTTCAAATCCTCTCGAAGAATTCTCAAAAGAAACTGAGTAGAACACGAGTTCAATTTATAAGTTGTAAAAAAAACTAAATGAACAGTAATAATAGGTGGATGCATTGATGAAAGTCGTTTCAAACTCACACTAAAAATATTACCTATCACAAGAGGATATATACAAATACCCCATCGAAAGTGAAAGACTTAATAGTTAATTGCTTGATGAAATAAAGCATCTCAAGAAACAACTTAAATAAATTGAAAGTGGCCCAAAGCTTCCTTAACCTCCTTTCCTTCCTCCATTCTTCCCTCAATAATAAAACCCCTTAGGTTATCATCAACCATATAATTCAATACCAGTGGCTTCACCAATACGCAATCAAAATCCTTATTATCAGTATTACCCTTTCCAGAATACACCCTTCCACCAACCACAAAAGGAAGAGAAAAGCTTTAGTAAATTATTGAAAGCTTACGCTCAAAAAAAATAGGAAGTAGAAAAATTAAATTAGTTATTGTCGCAATTGCTAAAAAACTAAAAGATTGATCCAACTGTTGAACACAAATAAAATAGCACATCCAGAAGGTATTTAAAGGTCAAGCACAAATAGAAAAAAGAAATTTCTGAGTTAGATTTTAGCAAAATTTCCAGATTTGATTAGGAATCGCCTGAGCCAGTAAAAAACAAGTCAAATAAAAAGCAAGTCATCAAACTTTAAGATTAATATTCGCCATCATAAAATTAAAATTAAAAAATTAAACTAGAACCCTTAAAAGTTAAATCAACTCAAGAAAGGTTAAAAAAATTAAGGAAAAAGCTTAAATATTGTGCTTGGATGGTTATATTTTATAAAAATAAATATTATCAAATATTGGAGAAAAAGGCAATCAAAAGATTTAATGATGAGATTAGCAAATACGCAGATTAGTTTGTAAATAGCTTTTATTATAGTAGTTATATAGCAACACTATATTATCATTTGTTAGAGAAAGTCAAAAGATTTCCTTATTCAAAAAGTCCTGGGTTTTCACTGAAAATAAAGATGTTCCAAATCGAATAGCCAACTTAATTTAAGCTGCGGATACTTTTATTAAGCAATTACTTATTGGAACGTAGACTACCAAATTTGACCAATAACACTTGTCATTCATTCGAGCTTTCACTACGAATGAAGGCTATTTGTTTTCAGATCATTCAGCTTTTGTGGCACAAAGATTAAAATTAAATTACAAAAGAAATTTAAAGTAATTATAGAACTTAATTAATTTAGATTCACTTCTCCTGATCAATAAAAAATGGCTTTTCTAGAATATGCTTATATCTACTTACTATTACACTAATAAATGTTTACTATGAAAGGTTGGCAAGAATTACTTAAGCCATTTGCAGAACCATTGAAAATTTTAGTTTCCCTTCTACAATATCTATTCATAGAAAAATTCAAAAATTTGTAGATCATTTCAAAAGATACGAAATTTAATGTAAATAATTTCTTATTAATAAAATCAGACTGATAAAATTCCAATCTTGGATTTCACCAAAACTAAGGTAGAGGATTTCAAGTGTATCATCACCAATAAGGATCCTAGATATTAGGTTACTGACAAAATGCCTATACTTGGATTATATGATGAGACAGTGTTGAAACCTGTAATTGAACATCCTGGATTTGCAACTCTTAAAAATCAATTTAAGGCCTATGTTGATTTTATTTACTCTAAAGTAGGTTGAAATAAAACATAGATACTTGAATTTCTTAGATATATAATACATATCTTATTTAATTCATAATAATTATATATTACCACTTAGAATGAAAAGGAGGAATAGTTATTGATATGAAACTTAATATTAACATTATTGTATGTGTATTTAAATCAATTTCTTTGAGACAATTCCTCTTACATTTACTTTTTTATTCTTTCTTATTCCAGTTGATCCATCCTTTATTGTTCTTCTCTATCTCTTAAAATATCCTCATTGAGATCTGTGAATTATCTTTTAGCCCATTTTTCCCTGGATAGATATTCACATTCAACTGTCTTATCGCCATACATTCTACCAGCTAGATATCTTCTGGCAGTTCTAGCTTCTTAGGTCTTTTCATATTCCACAAAGATTTTTCCAACTCCAATAATAATTTTACCAAATTCAGGTCTTGGAATAATAATATTTTTCACAGTTCCGAATTTAGAGCATTCTTCTTTAATATCATCCATAATGTCATTGAATTCTTCATCTATCGTAACCTATATATTTGTATAAATATTAAACATCTTCAAGAGTCAGGACATTTTTAATAACTAAAATATTAGTAGGTATTTACACATATCTGGCCATCAACTTAAGTGGTCTAAAGCTAATAAGAGATGACGAGTCTTTATCATTCCCTTTCATGCTACTCAAAGGATTGACTTAATTTCACAATGCATAATTACATGCTTGTTCACTCATCATCTATTGGTTTACAGCAGCTAAGGAAGTCAAAAATGACTTTGGTCTACCAATTTTCAGTTGATGTCCTTTAAAGATCACATCCTTCAAAATGAAACCCTACGTCGCTTCTTCAGGAGATCTAAATTCAATGAAACCAAAATGGCCTACACAAATAACCTTAAAATAAAACCATTTGAATCAATCCAGCAGTTGCAGATAGAACCAGCATGTTCTGAACTAACACCCATTTTTAATAAAGTTTAATTCAAGAAATCTTAGAGCTATGTTGGATACATCTATATAAATTTATACTTCTTTTGGTTGACTATTCGGTGGTAAATTTCCAACATAAAGTTTTCTATCAGCTTTTACATCTGCTTAGGCTCTTAATTACTGTAATCTTTGCATTTAAATTAATGGGGTCATTGCTTAGAGTGCTTCCAAAGAGGCCAAGGGATTCTAAAGAGGATTGGCAGGTAGTATGGCTAATGTTCATTTCTTTTTAATACTTTCGAATTCTCCCAAAGATACTTAGTCAATTAATTTACTCTTAAAGTTTGAGAAGGGAGTATTTTGTAAAGGATCCTTTGGCGGAGAATCGAAACGAAATCTTGGAATTTATTGAATAGAAATTTTACCCCCTTGATTATTCTGCATTTTATTTAGTTGGTGCCTTTGGTTTTTAAAATTCATCCCTCTTTTTCTCTTTCTCCTTGCTAACATTTCTAGATCTCTTTTTGCCTGCATCTGATTCCTATATTATTAGAGATGCAATTACTTTCTTCTCCTTTTTTTCCTTCTTTTCTTTTTTCTCCTTCTTCTCCTTCTTTTCTTTCTTCTCTTTTTTCTCTTTCTTTTCTTTCTTGTGTCTTATATGAGAACTATAATTTACTTTTCAGAACCCATTTTAATATAAAATTAAATAATAAAAATATCAAACCACTAAATTCTCAACTAATTCAATATTTATTGGTTTCCATTTCACTATAAATACACTCCAAGATTGATGTTTCAATTCTAATTCCTACTTAACCAAGGTCCCTTCCTTTGTATTCTTATCTTATAGTTTCTCCACATCTCTTCTCACCAACTTTGCAATCTTTTCCGATTTTATCACTTCGATGTTATTAGAGTAAATTGGAATATCTTATAAAAGATTCAACCCTAAATCCTAGGGTTGCAATATAATGATCCCATCAACTGCAATCACAACCACCTAAACCTAAATGGACCATTACTTTTTATCTTACTTTTTGGATAACATGTATGGTTGCTTTTACTTTTAATAAAATTGCGAGTTTCTTCCTTAGAATAATTGTTATTACAACTATTGATACATGATATTGATTTTGACATCTCTTGGATAATTCTGCAAAATAATCTCAAGACAATCAAAAATGAAATTGTCTATCTCCTCCCAATTCGGATTATTTATGTATAAACCATATTGCATCTTATTAGTTTAGTTTCGAATATATTTCTATTTCTTTTTTGCTATGTTTACTTTCACTTTCTCCTCTATCTCATTAATTATCCTCCTCGCTTAATCCCACAAATGATTTTCAGGAATCTATCCCATTGTATCCCTATATTAGGATAAACTCTCAATTAAATAATCATTTGTATGGGAAAAGGCTGCTTTGAAATCAGACTCCACTATTTCACTGTAAAGATCATCAGTCTCTTTGATCTGAGGCATATAGTGACAACTTATCTGATAATCGCATGGAAGATGATTCAAATTCTGATTTTCAAATTCTTTCAATTAGTTAATTATCTGATTAACTTACTCTCTGTGATCCAACACCTATAGTAAACAGAACATAATGAATTTGAACGAGAATGGAAATCTCGCTATCTTTTTAGATAAATAATAATGTGAGCATTCTGGATAGAGTGCAACAGTTCTAACATCATAGGGTAGCTATTTTAATTCGTCATTTATTGATTGCAACCTTTTAAGCGAACAAATTTAATCGAATAAATACAGCATACTATTATCATTGACCTAATAAGTCTTACTTACTATTTTAACTCCTTCACAAATTTGATATATGATTTAACAGATATCCTCATAGCCCATTCCATTGATACCAACTGGAATCAAGACTACTATAATTGGTTTAACTGACAAACACTGAGCTAGAGTGATTTATTAATCACATCTTTAAGGGATGTAGTCCAAATTCTTATGCACACAATTAAAAGTAATATTTGATAATTGCATAAAACTAAAATTTGATCTTTTATTATATGGTATGCCTAGCATAAAGTTTAAGCACTTCTCATAAAACTCATATTCCAATTGATTTAAAGTAAATTAAGAAAATAACTTTCCAGGTCTTCTTTAAGGAGAAGCATTTTGGGGACCAAATACTAAAGTTTTTATTTCTCTTAATATTTCAAAATGTTTCGAAGGAATATAACAATTCCCTAAATATTTATCATTTTTCCAAAAATAAAGAGTTTTACCTTTAAAGTAATCGTGATATTGATCTATCAATTAATTATAAATTGAATCGCAGAGTGACGGAAACTTTGACAGATTTGTTTATTATTAAATAGATTTAGCAGGTTCTAAATTGTAGTGATTAAGAAATCTTTTCACAATTTCAGGTGGTAGTATTCTTTATGATTGATAATGTTCCATTATTGAATACCACTCAATATAATTGGATGAATTTCTGCATCCAACTAAACTTCTATGTATAAGATCCTTTTATAAACTCATTTAGAGATTATAATTCATATTCTAATAAGCATCAAAGAATTGCTAACTAACTTTGCAAACCCTCTCACATGCATGTGGTTTTAGATATTTTTGGATATCATTCCTATCTTAACAAACTATTGTTTATCCGCTTGATGAAATTATAAATGATTTCAAAAGTTCACAAAAACTGACACTAATTGTATAAGAATTGTGTCTGATCTCCTAGAGAGTGAAGGTGCTATCTATATTTCTTACTATAAATTTATAAAGGTCGTCCTGGGTTTTAAAATTCTCTTCATTTAAAGTCAATGCGTAAGGAGTTCCCATTGTGGCTATAATTTAAAATATAAAATATTACCTATTTGAGTGTCTACTTCTCCCTTTTTGATTATTTGTAGATACGAGTTCTCCGTCAATAAATTCTCTTGAAAAAATGGATTTTTAAGTAATGCATCATCCCTAAATTTGGATTTATCTGCACACACCTCATACACATAAGTAGTATCTTTTTAGAATTCATTCCTCATCGATATTATTTCTAGGTCCCTTTGCTTCTCAAACTCTTATAGTCTGATATATAGATTCAATTGAATTACAAGGCATAAGCGCTTAATTATTACATTATTATAATAATGTAAGAACAATAAATAGTAGCAGGAATGAGTTTGGAAGACTAAAAACGATTGGACGATTTATTTAATCAGGTAATATGCAAGGCAGAGAACAATAATATGAGATTTCATGAGTTCTTGACTTTCCTCTTGGAAAGAGAAATGATCACTGCAAAGTTCAACTTCAATTTCTACTTCAACTTATATCAGGAATACCATGCCTTGGAGGAGATAGTCTAAAAAGTTGCTCAAGCTCCAAAGAAAGGAGCCAAGGAACCCATAAATATAATTAAGGATGATACACCAAAATTTAGCAGAACCAAATTCTTGAGGATGATAGATGCTTTGGGCAAGGCTTTGCATTAAGGGTAAAAGAAATACTTGGATCTCATCCTTAAGGATATTTTCATAGATAATAAAAAAAAAACATAAATCAGAATGTTGATACTCGATGATCCAAATCGTAAGTTGCTTCATGAATAAGTAATTAAGACTATAATTGCATATGAGGAAGACATTTAAGCTTTATTTACAATGTATTTACCTGAAAATTATTATAAAAATGAACTCATGTTAACTTGGAAGGAAATTAAGTTGATGAATCTCAGGATTCCAATATTTTCATTTATCCAAATGCTATAAGACATGAACATCCATCCTGTTCATTATAATTATGAGAATATTGAAGATTTATGCATGAGAATAATACCTGCAATAACACCAAAAGAAAATTAATTTTACTAATCCAATTTAATTTAACAAATATGTGAAACAATCAATAGTGGAAGATTCAAACCATAACATTATTCTGGAGATCCTAAAATTTCTTATTTGGAATTCTAATTCTTATTGTGTAAAATGGCTACAGATATTACAAACAGAGAAGTTTAACAGGATTCAAAGAAAGAAATTTCACCTTTGATTATAAGATTCTTTACCAAAATGATTGAAATATAAAAAAATGGCAATAGAGTTCATGAAGATAAATCAAAGCATTTGGCATTAATCAAAAAATATTATGAAATGCAGGACAAAACAGATGAATTTGTACAGGAACAAATTAATCCTTAATCTGAAGAATAGGACATGAAATAATAAAATTACTTATTTCTTACTCGTAAACCAGATTAACTGGATATTAAGGAGATTTGGTAATTTTTCTAACAAGATTTACCACCATTTCCAGAATTAAAATCTTAAGTTGATTTGGCTTAAGATTTTGTTAAAGCAATCAAGGAAAAAGAAAAAAGAGAGGAGTTGGCCAGAAAGTTGGAAGAAGACAAGAAAAACAAGAATAAACCTTAACCTAAATAACAATTGAAAAAAGGAGAATAACCAATGAAATATTGTATTGACTAATTATTAATATCTTAGAATGGGAGCCTTTAGTATAGCCACCAAGAATCTGTACTTATTAATATTTTATTGACTTTGTAAAAAAAACTAAGTAAAATAATCCTCTTAGAGACCTAAATGAATTAAGCACGTTAAGTCACATAACAGTTGCTCCAGTAATGTTACCCGAATGTCTTTATCCACATGATCCACCTTAGTAGGTGAGAACTATGGTAGAAGCATCATTAATGTCATTTACTTAATAAAATTATTTCTTAGCTATGCAAAATTTAAATCAAGCACAAGAATTATGGCAGTCTCTAACAGAATTACATGATTCTGAAATGGTGTTTTTCGAGTACTTTGGTGGATAGATTTATGAGATAGCAGGATAGGATGAAGCAGCTTTGAATAAGTTTCTTAGAGTGAAATTTCATACTGATAAGTTATAAGCAGAACATCCAGATAAAGCCTTGTAAAAATAAATAATTCATATTCTTTAGACCTTATTGTGGGATTGGTTCAGTGTTGTATCATATGCAGGAATATGAATTGGCAGTAAGAGCATTTATGAAAGCAAGAATGATAAGAGAAAGTTCTATTGGGGATGAGAACATCGAGAATGCCATAACATTCAATAATTTAGGATGTGCTTTGCATTAGAATGGCAATTTGTTCGCTGCTGAGAATTGTTACATGTTTGCTATAACTTTATTAGAAATCCATTTGGGGACTATGCATGCAATGACAATGAATGTAAATGTGAATTTTTATATTGTAGGTGAAACGCAATCTACAAAAATTAAAAGCAAATAAATATTGTAAATAATGAAAAAAAGAATACTTGAACATATATCATTTATATAATTTTAAATTTTTGGTTAGAATTATTATATCTAAATTTAAATAGAGGATTGAACATAGAGAGAGTTAATCCAAAACCTAAACAGATTTATTTTGTACTAAAATGATTGATATTTAAAATAGTAATTATGAATGTAAACTATATAACAAGATCAATACTATAAATGTTTTTCATCACTTATCGCAGAAGATTGTTTAGAAAGAATCATGTGATAAGATTCCTTATCTAAATATTCCTCATTTTTCTTGTTATCTTCCAATTAGGGGGCCACATGAAGATCTAAATTATTGTACTAATCTGTGGATTTGCGTTGAAATATCAATTAATCTGTTTTCAATAGTTTTTTTGGGATAGATATGATGAATGGGTGCTATAACAATTACTTAGCTTTCCATCTTTTTTTATGATCAAACTAGAGACACTTATTCAAAAAGTCCATTAGATTTTGAGATATATTATTTGGAATGGGAGGTGAGCATTGCTTAGATGAAATAGTCATCAAAGCTTACATGGGACTTTGGAATCTTCCCCATGGAGGTTCCCCAGTCAGCATTTCTATTATTGTGCATCCTAGACTCCATATATCAGAGTATCTTCCTGTCTCTTAGGAGTTGATTACCTCTGGAGCCATCCAATTGGGAGTGCCCTTTAATGAATAAGCATTCACCCCTATTATGCTACACCCGAAATCTGCTAGTTTGCAAACGCCTTTGGTATCCACAATGATATTTGCTCCTTTGATGTCTCGATGGATGATTCCCTTGTTATGTAAATAAACAAGACCATGGAGTATGTCCGTCACATATTTCTGAATGACTGGTTCTTGTAGTTTCAACTTGAATTTCCTCATCATGTGGGAAATGGAGCCACCTGATTTGATAATGCACACTGGTACCTCCTACGTATTCTAATAAGATGCTCAAATGACTTCTATCCTCATCACATCCATAATATTCAACTATATTTTTATGCTTCAGTTACTAAAGTATTTTGATCTCCTAATGAAACGACTCTAAACTTTCTTTGTCCACATAATCCAATTCGATTTGTTTTACAGCTAGTATCCTCCCAGTCTTTATATCCATACATTTAAAAACTCTCCCAAAAGACCCTTGTCCAATCAATTCTCCTCTCTTCCATTTAATTTTTGCAAGTGACTCAGCATGATGGAAATGTTACTCTGGCTCCGAATCATACCCATCGGAGTTGTTCTACACCAATATTTTGGATTTGTGCAATGACAATGTTCCTGAATTTTGCGATTAATAAACTCTTGATTCTTTTCCTCTGAAGTATTTACAAAACCTTGAAATATATACTCCCATTATTATTAATAATAAATAACACCTATAATAATAGTGACATCAACATTTACCCAATCCACAATGATTACTTCGCCCTCTCCAAAGCCTGTAAAGTCTTAAGCCTACAAATAGAATACATCTGCATTCATAATTTATCTAATCATCAAATAAATTAATTATATCTTCTTTAAAATCAAATAGAGTATAATATTGAAGGACAACATTACGTACATTCTCTTTCCTATCCTCTATTTGAAATTGGCCAAATATAACTAAATCCACTTTCTGCTTACCCTGCATTCAAATGATGAAAAATCATTTATAATAACTTATAATTTTGATACAATCGAAATACTGTCTCATGTCTAGATGTATTTTTATTTATTACAACAATTTTAACTGAATATATAAGGAAATGTATTGCAACAATTGAACATAAACAAATTAAAGAAGAAACAATCGAATTTTCATATGCAACTCACTATTCAATAGGAATTATAAAGAAAAGCTCTATTTTTGGGTTTATTTTTACTAGATTTTATTAAAAACATAAAAAATCCTATTATATAACAATATAAATTTAAACCTTTAAATTACTAGTAAATCAACTCAAGTGAATGATTTTCTGCTATATCTGTTTATTAACAGAAATTCGAGAAAGTTCTTTTCTGTTTGCTTAAAATATCCAATAGTAATTTTATGAGATTAAATTAAACAAAATCTATTATCATTTTTTTACGATAGATGGAATATTTAAACACATAAATGAATGAACAACAAAGATCTCCATTCCTTTTATATAAAATAATTTGGTCGATTATTTAAGAAAAATCTTGATATTTATTTAGATTTACTAATTTTACAAAACTTGTCAAATGTTAATATATAATTTTATTTCATAATGAAGTTAAATATATATTGATCTAGTCATTTAAAAACCTTGCTTATTATTTGTTTCCTGGGTATAATTGTATAAACATTCTAATTTTATATATTGATATGATGAACAAATAATATCAAAATTCAATCTTAGAAGAATAATTAAATTTTTATTATGTATTAGACAAGTTAGCTAATTAACCGTAGACCCAACATGAGATAGTTAACTGGTAGGGCTCGTGACATCTAAGATGATGACGACGATGATCCTGGCATCTCTAGTTTTGCAAGAAGCAAAGTCGATGATGATGATGAAAAATTCAAAAATCAAAACACAGATCCTGATTTTCTTGACAGTCTATTGAAAAAGAAGAGTAGAAATGATTCCAAAATAGATAAAGTAAATATCATCAAATGATAATTAAGTCCAACAATAGCTCGATTATACCTAGTACACCTCCTCCTCAAAGTACAAGTAAAAAGGGCGATCAAGAAATATCAAACACAGATCCGAAGAAAGGATAAACATAAACACAGAATAATACAGGAAACAAGGACACACCCCAATAACAATAACAATAAAAGTAATCATAATAAACTCCTGCAAAACCTAACACTACTCAGCCATTTCAAACTCCAGATCCAAAATAACCATAATCCTAATAGAAGACTCCTGCATAATAACAATCTCAAACTAAAACACCCCAAGCACAACCTCAACCATCTTAGTAATCATAAACCCCGCAATAAACAAAGACTCCTTAATAAACTAAGACACCTCAATAATAACCCTCCTAATCACAAACCCCTGTTACTAATAAGACATAATAGAACCAAAAATAAACTCCTACTCCTGCACCAAAGGATATCGTTGATCCTGCAAAATCAATTTCAAACAAACCTTCTGCTTCAAAAGAAGATCAAAAGAATTAATAACCCCCTAAATTGGAAGAGCCAAGTAAGGTTGAATAACCAGCCAAAGTAGAGTAACCTAAAAAGAATGAATAGCCTTCTAAAAATGATTAATCCAACAGCAAAGGAAATTAACAACAATAACCTCAATAAAATAGAATTGATTAAGATGACCAAGAGTAAGAAAAAGGACCATAAGTTGCAGAAAACAGACCCAGTTTTGTAAGGAGAGGAAAGAATACTTAGGTTGTCAAAGACATTGCTAAGAATATCAAAACTATGCCAGATGATAAGATTCTAGCTTTGGAGCCCAAGAACAATATAGAAGTAAGCAAGAAGTTGTCATTGAAATTTGCACCATAAAAAGAATATACAGATCCAACATTTCCTCCTAATGATTTGTAAGTGTTTCAAGTATTTGGACATGGCTAAGTCGATTTCAAGAGGTACAATCTTGGAAGAGAATAAGATACTCATCAAGTAGTTGATCCAAATGATATACTGCCTGGATAATAATCAGGTACTCTGATGCAAGTATTGGCTGCAATTGCTGAAAAACCATAATTAATAACTAGAATTTTGGAAGATCAAGTTATTAATGAATTTGGATTTTATTATGCTCGATTATGTATAGGAGGAGTGTGGAAATATATCTTAGTTGATGACTTGCTCGGTTACTTTAAAGGAGAACCAGTTGGAGCAAGGACTACCATTGATAATAATAAATTAAAGTATTGATCATTATGGATTATTTAGATCATTACAAAAATCCAATCCTGGTTATTAATCAGAAATATGGCCCTTCATTATTGAAAAGGCATTTGCAAAGGAATATGGAAGTTATGAAGATGCATTTAAAATTGCTACAGTGGCTGATTTTCTTTAGGAAACTACAGGAGCACCTACTACTGTTGAATAAATAAATGAAAATGTTTTGAAATCTTTGACTTCGAATGATGTCGCTTTGGTACACATGCCTGATGGAATTTTTACATTTTTGAATTAAGATGGCAAGGATGTTACTTTACGTAATCCTTGGGGTTGGATAAGTAATCAACCAAGTACAGCGTAACCAGAAGGGGAATTCAAAGTACCCCTTAAGAGCATTGCAGGTAAATAAATAACAATTGCTAAATGTGTGCCTAACAATTACCATATCAGTTATAATTTGAAAACAAATAATGATGCTTATTCATCCTTTTATGTGGAAGTTCGTCAAGATACTGTTGCCACATTCAGGTTACATTAAAGAGATGAAAGATATTTTAGAAATAACATATCTAAAAAATATGATTATTGTTATGCTAGATTATTGATTTTTGATGGATAACAATAATTGATTGCTTAGGATTACGGGCAATTCAAAACATTAAATGTCAATGTTGAATTATAAAAGGGCAAGTATACTTTGGTAATCCTTTTGGATTTCTTAAATGAATAATTATACGATAGCACATTAACCTTTTATGGAACTTAATCAATTGAAATCAGCAGGATTAATTATAGAGCATAACCTAATCTATTGGCTTAATTGTATACTTAAGAGGCAATTAGCAAAGGTTAAAGAAAATAGAATGGATAAGTTGAGGAATTTACTTTCGTTTCAGATAACAAATTGACTGTTTTGGCTTGGAAGTTTAATGGCACTTAACCAAATAAATGGAGTAAAGACTTAAGCAAACAGCCAAATAGAAATAATATGAAACCAATTACTTTTGTAAATGCAGCAGACACCTAATAATTGAAAGTACTCACAACTGAGTAGATAAAACAGTTGAAATTGAGTAGCTGGTAGAATGTACCTTCATTCAATATTGAATTCACTTAATAAAACAACACTTATGCAGTTGTATTCAAGTGATTTATTATTAGAATATATAAAATATATTAATATAATGAATCAATAAAAAATGGAGAATAATGTAAATTAGTAACCAGGACTAGATTCCTTCCTTAAAACATGGTGGTAATCACATCTATTTGGAACAAAACTTATCTTAACAATTTCATCAATTTTTGGATTAATTGATTTATTTACACATTATGCCTTTGACATCCTCAGCAATTCCCCAGATTCAACAATACCTTTTTAAATCTAGAGATTGTTCTTTGCAAATTTTGTTCATTGTATGCTTCAATTTCATAATATTCTCTAGATTACAGTATTGATATGATATTAGCTATCATATGCATTTCTAATAGATTGAAAGATTTTGAAACCAAGAACGGCACAGTTTAATTCATTATCATAATTTTTATTCAAGGTTTTATCACTTAAGTATATAAACGAATTAAATTTAGTCAATTTGCCTCCTATTACAATTTGTCTTTTCATTCATTTATCCTCCCTTTTCTTAAGCACCAGCATATAGTTTATGGAACTTTGCCATATTTTTCATCATTCAAGAGTATGAACTATCATTTTATTTAAAGTTGTCTTATGATACCTAATGGTCAAAGTAAATTCCTGATTTTTCCAATGTAACTAAAAAATAAATATTATCCGATATTATTTATTGTTCTCTTTAGTTTAATCCAGCAATCTTTGACTTTTATTAGCTCCTCCATAGTGGCCGTCATTTACTATCTATATTCGGATAATTTTAACCTCTTGCCAGCAGTATTAACTCATTTTTATTAAGACTGTTTAAAAAATGGAAAATGGAATAATATTTAAACATTTTATAGAACAAATTGATTTTAAAAGAATTACAAATTATTAAGATCAAATAGAATTCAGTGTTGATTCCAGAGAAATACCATAGATTTAAACACCTCCTGCTAAGTTTAATTAATAGTTTTAAATATTAGATTAACAATTGAAGGAAGTGCTCCATTTCCTCCATCTCTTTTACTTCAAGAATTGCAGAAGTAATTGAATACTAAAGGTGGCAAAATTCGTGAGAGAGTTTAAGAAGTGGAAGAATAAAAATAAATGGAATAAAAGACAGAAGAGTACGATTTATGAAATTCATGTAAGTTTCTTTATAATTTCATCGATATCTATCTTAGTTGATGCGCTTCTTGCGCTTTCTGAATCTATTTCCTTCTTTAATATTTTTTGAATAATATTCTCATATAAATTTTCTATGTCTTCAACACATTATTTAAATTTGGGATTCTCCAATTTGTAATATTAAATCAATTTGGAAAATAATTCGATTGGACATGGTTCCTCTTTTTCATATTCGTTGATTTATAATGAGGAAAGCAACTCTAATTTTTTGTCAATCAAACCATTCTTTATCAATGCCTTCATGACAATTGGTTGATCCAAATTAAATACCTATGGGCAATCTGATCTTAACATTAGTTCCTCTGTTGCCAAACAAATCAAATTGACAGATACAGCTAATACTTAACCCAATATTTTAAGCGATTTCGCCTAATTAAATTTTGCTAGAGTCTACTCACTTAATTTTATTTCTGGTTAAATGCCATCAAGTGAATCTTCATATAATTTTAAAAATTAAGCTTATAAATTCTTGACTTCTTCATTTTCACTCAACTGAAGACTTTATTGAACTTCATTATAATCAAGTTCTAACTTGAAAAGAATCATTTATTATTTCTTTTCAAAGAGAAGGTCTATTTCCTATTTAATTCTGATGAAAATTTCTTAATGATCCCCTTTGTATTCGATTCTCTGCTATTTGACTACGTCTGATACTAAAAAAAGGTGTGGGAATGATAAAGCCCTTAATTGCTTTATAAACTTGATTAATATCTCATCACTAATGGTTTATGTAAGTTTAGGTTTTTGTTTCTTATCAAAGACCTACCATATATAAGCAGCCAAAGCTACAACACCGAATGTTCCAATTATTAAGGTTTTCTTTTAATCACCGAACATTAATAATTAAATTAAATTATGTAAAGTGTTATTTATTAAAATTTTCTGCATACCTGAGAAATTATATATTACAGTTGAATAACAAACTAAATCTAAAAATGCTAAACTAAATAATACCGCAGAGATAACTATTTCAATTTCAATAAACACCCTAAATAGTAATCGATTTCATAACAATTTAAATAATCTAAATTTGGGAACTCTCTAAAATTTATTTCTCGCTCCTTCATTTCTGATATGAGTTTAATAATTTGATTCTTCATTTAGTGGAGTTAATAAATAATATTAATTAATGATTGTAAAACTAATAATTCAACATTCTTATTTTGGCAAATTGTATTATATGCATAAATAGGATAGGTTATTTTTGATATCATATACTTGCTAATTATACAGATCTCTTTATCTTTTAATTTAACTCCAAATTATTTTTTTTTTGGAATATTTTGAGATAATTCTTAATATTATACTTATAAATACTTCAGATCTCTAGTTCTCCTATTTATTTTAGATATGAAATTGATTAATATTAGTTAAATCCTTTAACTAATTTTTGAGGTTTATCCTTTAGTATTAGTAATATAAGATTCATTAATACTAATGAATAGATATAAGAGAATTGAAGTAATTTTATAATTTAGTATTTGATTTTTATATAGCAATAATAATATTAAATAATTTTATAATATCAATCCTTATTTAATAATCTATGCTTTTTAAAATCTATCTCATAACCTTCCTACTCACTCTCCTCTTCTGGTTAATCAAAGATGATAGTTTTATCACTTGGATATTTTTTATCATTCACTGTGATTTTCCCTCTTACAGTTTTTAACTTTACTGATCTCTAAGTTACAACTGACTTTGGTTTCATGTATGCATTATTTAAGAAGAATTTGAAGTCTATCTCGGTTTGAACATCCTAAGAATCAGTGTACATTCTAAATTTGTAATCCATATCATCTAAGAATAATCTTTTGTAGACCAAAAGTTCTTTGTTCTCCTTGATTGTAGGCTATAACCAATAATCAGGCATCAATTCCTCATCTGATTTAATAACATTCTATTAAATGCATCTCAAATCATCCATGAACGAGATACAATTCAACAACAAGAAAAAGGTTTTCTTATTCATTCTTGGGGTTAGAATATCATACAATAAAGAGTAGTCCCTCTCATCTTCCAATGATAAATAACAATTTAATAGTATCTCCAATTGATCTGCCATTAATTTTAATCTTTAAGTGAAATCATCCTCTCCTGTCAATTCCTTACACTATAAAATCCTTCCAATTGATTACCCTGGGAACTTAGCTAATCTTTTTCGGTAATCCATTTTATTTCTTATGAAAATCTGAATTCCTGCTAAAATTGTGTTCTTGTAAAATCTGTATAATCTGCTTACAAATTTGTGCCTCGAAATACTAAAAATCATAACTATATGTAAAACCCTATTCCTGACACTTTTTAGAACTCTGGCAATGCCAATCTGATTACTGATCTATATTTCATGGCTGTAGTGACCAATAATTTTAATTGTTCAGTGTTTAGACCTGGTCTTGGATTCATTATATCTTGGTATATCGCTTTCAAAGTAAATGGAATTTCAATTTTTATGTCATACATCGATTCTAACACTTTTGCAATTTCTGGCCATCTCTTTTGTCCACGTTCTTAAACCAGTTATTTTAAAGTTTCTGCTATTTTTGGATTGTCTGTACACTTTTTTAGCATTGTTTTAATTATATTATTAGATTTCACAAGTGAAACACTACTTACCTGCAAAATATTGGAATATTAAAAAAAAAAGCATACAAAATATTTTACTTGGAAAAAAAATTAACTCTTCAATATTCAAACAAACTCTTTATTTAATTAATTATATTTATACTATTTCAATTTTATTTGTCCATCTAAAAATGAAGACAAAATATACTCTAATTATTTGAGACATTCTTCACATTCCTTTTAGAAATATAAACCAGGTTGAATTGAATAATATCAATTATAAAGAAATTATTAAGTTTTATAAAATATTTCAAAAATTATTTATGAAAAATAGAGTTCCCCTAAGAGAATAAAAGCCATTTGCCCATCTTTAATAAAAATAGGATATCAAAGAAGAGAAAGGACCTGCCAATTTTGTTGTCCCAGTTTAAACAACAAATAAAAGAAAATCAAATTTGCTCAATAATAAAGCATTTGTAGCAGCAATTAAAAAGGCTTGGCAAACTGGAAATTTGGCCCTGGTGCATTATGATTTATAGGATTTTCCTGATGAGATCATTAATATTGACACCATTAATTTGGAAGGTGAAGAATGGTGGTAGAAGTGTCCATTAACAAAATTGGATTTAACAAATAATAATATTCAAGATATCCCTCTTTATGACACGTAAACCTTTATTGTAAACTACTTAGATTACAAGAATTATAAGTGTTAAGATTGGGAAACAACAAAATTGGCAGATTTCATTTTGATTTGACAAAGCAATTTTAAAATTTGAAATCATTAACACTTCAAAACAATCAATTGGTAGAATTCTCATGTCGTCTTGATTCAATAGTCGAATTAAATTTAGCAGATAATAAACTAACTGGAATTGACAACCTCTACTTCCCAAATTTAGAGATACTTGATATTACCAATAATTAATTTGCACAACTTCCATCATACTTACCTCCATTGATCAAAAAGATATCTGCCATCGGGAATAAAATACAAGCAATCAAACAATCAGATTTAATAGAATGCAAGAAATTAGAAGACCTTCAGTTGTCTAAAAATCAAATAGCATTCATAGAAGAAGGAGCATTCTACAATTTAATCCAATTAAGAGTATTGGATTTGAAAGAGAACAAACTTAAGTATTTTACCCAGGAGTAGCTTGGCGATAATCATGAGTGTTTAGATTCAATACAGTTATCTTTTAATTAATTGGATGTATATAATTGCTATGAAGGAATCCAAAATTTATCAGTTCTTCTTCTCAATAATAATAAAATTAAAGAATTGCATAAAGAAATCATAAACTTAAAGAATTTAAAGACTCTTGATATATCAAATAATGATTTGGGTGACTTACCTTCTTAATTAGGATTTTTAGCTTAATTAGTTAGAATATAACTTGAAGGAAATCCATTAAAGTGCATCAGATCAAACATTCGAAGTGCAGGTGCTCTTCAATTAAAAAAGTACCTTCAATAAAGAACAGATGATGCTGCCAAACTGGAAGTATAGGCAGACCCTAAACTCAAATAATAATTATATTAATCGAACAACATATGGGAAGAATACTTAAGGAATTTCTTGCATAAAGATGAATTAGCTATTAGACAAAAAAGCATCAATCTAATAGATAATTGTGTATTCCGATTGACAAATCTGATCATCATTGATTTTTCATAAAATAATATTGAAATGATCCCAGATCAAATCCAATAATTAAGAAATCTAAAGAAGGTTAATTTTAATGAGAATAAAATTACCTAAATATCGCTCTATTTATTCAACTTACCAGATTTGGTCGAATTGGAATTAAGATAAAATAAAATTCAATTCCTACCATCAAGAGAATAAGTCTATTTACCAAATTGTAATTTCTAATATTATTTTCATAGTAATTCATCTTGATCTTGGGAAAAATTTACTATAAAATATTCCTAACTTTGTACCAGATTTAACAAGATTAAGGAGATTACTATTGGCATATAACTAAATAGACTCAATTGATAGTTTACTATAAAAAGAATCGATACTAGAAGTGCTTGATATTAGCAATAATTCAATTGATTAATTGAATGATGTAAATTATGCATATAAATATAGGAAATCTATTTTAAAATGCCAAATTTATAGCATTTCAATCTTTAGAATAATAATATGAGAACATTTCCTACGATATTAGGTTTCATGTCTCTGAAAACATTACAAATTGATGGCAATCCAACAAAATTGATTAGCAGATAGATAATAGACAAAGGAACTGTTCACATTTTAGATTACTTGGCTAAAAAGCATCCCTTAAATTAGATACCTCCTAAGATTCAACCTATCATCATAGAGGAACCAGTCATAAATAACTAATCCCAAATGTCTTAATAATAATAGTCTTTAAAATAAAGATAATCTAATTAGAATAGTAAATCATCTGCATCCTCATAGATGCTAGTAGAAGAACCAAGATAATAGAGATAATATGAGCAATAATAAATAATATAGGAATAGCCATAACAGTAGTAATAAAGATAGCAATAATATGTTGATATTGGATAACTGAGAGTTGAATTTCAAAATCTTGAAGTAAAGATCAAGTATGTTGTATTTTTATTTAATTTTAGATAGTTGGAAAGAGAATTAAATGAAAACTTTTCATTAAATAAGTTCCAGATTTAAGAAAAAAGGAAAGTTTTATAGGGTCTTATGCTTTAAAGATCTGCTATATTATAATAAATTAATAGTTTTTGATAAAAATGAACAAAATTTATATAATTTATATTAAAATAATAAAAACTCGTTTTTGTGTGGAATGATAAAAATAGGGATGCTCTTAGTAATGGTTAGCCTTGGTTAATGTTAGGATTTATTGACATCAATAAAAAATTATGCAGATGGAATTGTTTCATCAAATATCACTCAAAAAATACTTATAGATTTTGCCCCATTATTATTGCCTTTAACAATACTATCCATAATTTTGATATAAGTGATGAAGATTTGCTTCAAAAGACAAAAGTTTTATGATAAATTGCCTTAAAACGAATAATAAGCAAATGTCAAAAAAGTTAATTTACCATTAAAACACAAAATGCAATTGTACTTTATGAGATATTATTGTTAATTTTTGAGAATATTTACACGTTGATTTGTTATTTTATATTTAGCATTAATTAATCTTAAATTCAATACCAATCATTCTACTAAACCTGACTTTGATTGCCATAAAATTAGCTATCCGATACATCACTCATTCCATCCTGATTAAACGAATCATTCTCAAACATAACTTATTCTTTATATTGTTAATTTTATTATAACTAAAATATAGTATTATTATTTCACCTCTTTAGATTAACATTTTTTCATCAAATTTGATGCAGAATACGAATCATTAGTATCAAAAGTGAAGGCACTACACCAAGAATCCAAGTTATCTTACACTAAGTAATCATAACTTCTAAGATCACAATAACATTGGTTAAATACTTCAAATTAGTCCAGGACTATTGGGAGATGGAAAATTTTTCAATAGAACTGGTATTGCCACCACATGCATATAAGTAATTGTTATAGAGGATTAGTTTATTTCTCAAGTCTCTCCCTTCTGTCATCATACTAATAATCCTAATTGTTTGATTGCTTGTGTCAAAGACTTGTAAACTATTGCTAAAGCCTTGATTAGATCTTATAATAAGGATAAATGGATATACCCTCCTCCTAAAATGAGAATTGAATTATCATCATAAGAGAGTGCTGCTGCATTACTAAATCCTTACTTGAATTTGAATTCTAAGACCTTCCATTGATTATCTTTTACAGAAAATCTCTCAATGGTGTTTTGCCTCTCTCTTCCATCAAATCCTCCAAACACATAAATATATTTATTTAAGGCAGTAGCAGCAGCAAATGCACACTTCTACTTTTATAGTGGATCGATCATCTTCCATTCATCTGCAACCAAACTATACTTCTCACAACAGGATAACATCTGCTTTGTTGTACCATCATAACTTATTAGATCATTTATTTCAATTACCCTCCGATTGCATAAACATGTCCATCCAGATAAACACAAGCATGTTCTTTTCTGGGATAGTACATACTCTTCAAAGCCTACTATGAAAATCCTTTAGATGGAGAAATCAACATAACATTTCTACTAACTCCACCTCCAGTCATTATGATGTCTCCGTTAGGCAAACTTGCAGCAGCAGCGTAATAATTGTAATCAAATGTATTCTACTAATTAATCATATCATACATTTGCCATCTATCTATATTACCAATCATTTTTCTCAATGTTGTAAACTAAAATTTTATGCTTCTCTCCAAAATAACAAATCTAAGGATTTTAGAGTTCATTCTTGAACTGACCATATTTGATAATGTCAATTATCAGTTTTTACTCAAAATATAATTTGGGTAGTATTTTTAATTCACTTCCTTTCAATAATTTTAGTTGAGCGATGTCTCTATCAACAGATTCATCTAAATCATTAATCTCCTTAATGGGATCATTCCCTTTAAATACTTTTGTAGTCTCTATATATTTCAAACAATAGTACTTAATTCATTATACTTTGACTCTAATTTCTATAATAAGAGAGCCATATCAGTTAATAAGGATTGGTTCATTACTAAATTCGATTCTATCTATTCACTTTCTGAGTTGAACATTTTTAGCAAATTATCTTTCAATTCTTTTCTCCTTCTCTCACACTTTTCAACTATTCTATCAAATTAATCATCAATTTATTATATCTAATTCCTACTTTACAATATGTACCAATTTTATGTTATCAACTTCTAATTTCTCCTTACAATCATCGAAATCTTTTATCTACTTTTCCAGAGTCTCATATTGACTCCTTAGTTTCGATTGGATTCTCCCAACTCTATTAAGTTATAAAGAAACTAATTTAAGCATTTACTCAATACCAGAATGTTCATATTTAAAGAACTTGTGTCCATAATGATCACTTATACATTCTGTGCACATATTTTGTTAATCATCTTCGCAATAAAATTGTAATGGATGTTTAGAATGTATTGAGCATAGTTCAAATGATTTTCTAATTGTTAAAGGGTCCAGCTTACTATTCGTCTAAATGCTTCGAGGCCAAGTCCATGGCCACAAAATTCTTGCTTAGGTTATGAGGTTTCATATTTTGGTCATGCTTGGTCCTGCAAAGAGGGCATTCGATTCTTTTACTTACATTATACAATATTTCAAGACATGGGGTGCAATATGTATGACCACAAAGAAGATTTCTCGCAACTCTATCTTGAGCATAAAATTCAAAACACATAGGACATTCCATTTATTATATTTAATATTCCCATTATTGAATTAATTTTATTATAAAAATATTTTATAATTTCTCAAGTTCCATTATTTATTTTAATAAGGGAATATCTTAATTCTAAACATCTTATTGTTGAAATATCCCAAATCTTTTGTTTCTTCTTTTTTAATTGAAAAAATTTCAATTCAAATATGAAACTTATATAAAATGATACAATTAATATCTTTTTCTCATTTATCTGATGTTCAAACTATTTTACACTTTGTACAATATTCATTATTCAATTGCTCTAATCCGTTTTTATTAATTTTTTAAGTTTTAATAAGATCCACTAAATAGTAGTAAATCTATTTAATTTAGTAAAATGTTCCATTTAATCAGATATCATAATAAGACTGTTCAATTTGACTAGATTAACAATAATAATTATTTAATTATGTTTGTATACTGAAATCAGAATATGTTACATGATTCACAACTTCTTGGTTTCTATTTCTTAATTTTAAATGACCGAACTGATTCATTTTCATGATCAACTTATGTGTTAAATTTAAAACCAGAATCAGTGACTACTCTTACATCATCTAAAGTGTCGATCCTTTGATTTTATTTAGGCTCAATCTAAAAATAAACATTAATCTATTACAATCTCATCAATAATCCGACTGGTTTCAATTTCTTTTTCTTAGAAGTTTGAAACAGAGTTATTATAGTAATGCTTTTTTTAAGCTTCAAGTAATTCAATTTATTGCTATAGGGTTTACATTAGTTTTTTGTGACTAGTAGAATTTTTAAATTTTCGTTTTTTTGATGGATCAGGAGTTTCAAGTATTGGATTTTTTTATGGATTTCGGTAAGTGATTTCTTATTCTTATTCGATGTCAATTTCTTGGGTATCTTATTTATATTGTTAAAGTTTTTGTAATAATTGTAATCCTTGTTGTCTAGATTTTTGCAATTAAGATTAAATGTTTTCAATCTCATTTTGTAGGATTTCCAATTATTGCTAAGATTGTTTTTTTTCTTTTTGAGTCATTGTTTGTTTTTCCTAACAATATATTAATTCTGTTTTTAGTTCTTAGATATGATCATTGATTTCTTTATTCTTCATTTCTCTTTGGCTATTGTCCTCTTTGAATTATAAGACGAGTTCGGTGTGCCTTGTTTTCATTTCCTCAATATATTTGATTGAGTTCTAATTGCCCATGGACATGCGATTCCTGAGATCCCTTGGGGTAGAATACTGTTGAGGAGTGGCCACATAGCTTTTGGATCTTTCACTCATGACACTAGGAGACTTAGAATGGAATTGGAGAGGAGGGATTGGAACATAACTAGAAGAGGGGTGATCTTATTATTTTTGTAGTTCTTTTTCTTAGAGTAAAATTTCTAATTGATCTATAATTTCATGTGCTTTATCTAACTATTCCTAATAGTATCGAACTCTGGAGTTGGGAGAGAGAGATGGAGATGGTGGTTAGAGATCAAAAATCATATTTTAATTAATAAATGTACATGTATAATATAATGTATGTTTTTATTTGACTTTTCATAATCTTCTTCCTCTTCTACCTCCAGGTCTTCTAGTAGAGTCGGTTGGGATTGGAGTAACATCTTCAATTCTTCCGATTTTGAGTCCCAAACGAGCCAAAGCCCTTAGAGCAGCTTGAGCACCAGGTCCTGGTTGTCTGGTATCGACACCTTGATATATGGGATGGACGTAATACCTCCTCTTGCTCTTAATTTAATATGCAAAGCATTGATTTTGAGTGTTTTCAACTTCTCATAAACATCCTTGGCTGCTTGCATGGCTGCATATGGTGAAGATTCCTCTCTGTCAGATTTGACTTTCATTCCACCAGTGACTCTAGCCAATGTTTCTCTGCCTGTCAAATCGGTGATGTGAATGAAGGTGTCATTCCAAGTTGACAAGATGTGAGCTACTCCAAATACTAATTCATTTCCTGCAACATTTGGTCCCAAAGTAGCAACAACTTATTGAGTTGTTTCCTCTCCGGTTTTCTTTCCCTTCTTTCCTTTTGGCTATTAAACTGGGTTATTCTTTTTTGTCAGCCTTAATTTAATTGTTATTGTTACCATCTCTAAAAATTAATTTAAATCTTTTTAATATAAAAAATAGAAATCCTGCAATTATTTAATTAATATAGACATTCTCTAAAAACATAACAAGGCACTCAACACTCAATAATAATTATTAAAATAAATGAGCGAGGAAGAGAAGGTCAATCAAATCGGTTCCAATACAGTCAACGAATTAGTGAAAAACGATAAATATGGCCATTTAATTTAACTCTACCTAAAGAAAGATCCCACAAGGTATTACCATACTCCACCCTATTATAGAATTAAAAAGTATAATAGCATTCAAAAAGGCAACAAAATATATCATGTCAATCAAGATGTGGCTGTCTGTGCCCTAAATGATGATATCTATTCAGCTAAACTAATTAAAATCTACTGCATCAAGGATCCCTCAAACACTTTCATCCCCATCATTTAAGTTTAATGGTAACTCTCTTATCTCTATCCCTTAGGTATTACTCTAAATAGGATCTTAAAATTGATTAGAAACTGCTTAAATGCATTTCTGATAAGGAACTCTTCTTTTCCACTCATTCAGAATATTTGCCAGCGAACAAAATACAAGTTGGAATCAAAGTGCTCACTTTTGAAGAATACTCTGATCTTGAATTCGAAGAGGAAACCATCTTCTTCAGTAGAGCGGCCATTGACCTAGATTCAATGGAACCCAGACCCAACATTAAATTATGGAAAAAGAGTTGTGTTTGTTAGTTGCCTTAAAACCCTGATCTGTAGATGATTCAGTGTGATGAATGTGATAACTGGTTTCACTTGGATTGTGTTGAACTTCAAGATCAAGACATAACTAAGATTGATAAGTATTTATGTCCAAGATGCAATAAATGATTTTTCATATAAACAACATTTTTTATTGTACTAAATATGTATATATCATTCTGCAGCAAATTTGTTTTAGGTTTTCTTGGTTCTCTAAGCCTTGTTCTTCTCTCTTCTGTCGTTTTATTCTTTCTCAATCTTGTCAACTCTGACCTTCTCTTATTTAGTTTCATGAATTGCCTCGATCAACACCTTCTTGTTCTTATATTGATTACCCTTTGAAGCCAAATAGAATTCGTGATATCTACTTTATTAACATTCATTACTATTATCTATCGATTTTCTTTGCTGCTCTGTATTTTCTAAGTAATCTTCTCAAAACTCTTTGTCTTCTGATCCAAAGAACTTTGGTTGGCATTCTTGCCTCTCTTGTACCTCTTCTCTTACCAGTACCAGTGTGTCTACCTCTTCTCTTTGCTTCAAGGAATCTTCTTGCTCTAGCTCTTGAATGAATTGTTCTCAATCTTCTCATAATCAAACCATCTTTAATCAGTTTTCTAATTGACATTCTTGAATTTGCAAGACTGATTTCGCTTGCTTCATTTGGGTCTAACCAAACTCTGTTAACACCAACCTTTAATTATGTTGAAGCTAATCTTTTTTAGAGACGAAGGTTAACCATTAAAAAATAATATCTAAATTTTTAAATTTTTTTCACATGCAATCATATTATTTATCTAAAAAACCATATATTTTATCTTCCCCTTCCCAATTTTCTCTGATATCTCAATTATCTCCCATTCATTTTTTTACTAGACTTCCATTTGGTCATCTCATATAATTAAATGTAACTATTATTTTAGTTCACTATTTTACATATAAATACCAGATGAATTAAATTGGAAAATTAAAAAAATGTAGCAAAATTATAGCTATACCAAAATCAAATGTCTATTTAAAGGATATGCGGGAAAAGTCTTTTTAATTGAATAAAGGTCTGAAAACGATCCGCCTAATAAGCAGACAGTCCCCTTAGTATTAAAAAGATATTACAGAAAGGTAATGACCAAATTCACAAATTGTAGGCATCAGATCCTGAAAACCATACCAATCTGATTGAATATCAATTATTGACATCACTCCAACATCCAAATATAATAAATATCGTAGATGCGTTTACGGAACAGTATGAATACAAAAAATATCTATGCCTTACTATGGAATATATGGCACCTCTACATGAAATAATAGGAAATCTCAAAGATTATTAACTCTACATTTTTAAAGAAATCTGCTAAGCTGTGAGTTATTTGCATAGCAATAATATTTTACACAGAGACATAAAGCCAAGCAACATACTTGTTACTACTCAAGGAAGAGTCAAATTGGGAGATTTTGGGATCTCTACTAAAATCAGGTAGTCTATGACACCTTAGACCTGCACTAAGAACTATAGGGCTCCTGAACTATTCTTTGGATTAAAAGAATATGACCATTCTATCGATATTTGGTCCTTGGGTTGCACTTTAATAGAATTGTTCACTGGCAAAATGTTGTTTAATGGTACCTCTGAAATAGAAATAATGTCTTAAATAGCAGAACTCTTAGGAAGTGTCAATGTAAGATTGTCATCTATAATTAAGGAATAAAATTGGGAAGGAGTCTCTCAATTGCCAATGTTCTTGGAATTCGTCTATGACAAATAACCTCTATTGGATAAGGTGATTGGGAGATTACCCATACAAGTACAATCACTTGTAATTAAATTACTACAATTAAATCCAAAAGGCAGACTCAAAATTAATGAAATCTTGTTATATTTGGACGAATTATAAATTCCAGATCGATCCAGAGAACTATCATATATTGCACAGAATACTTTAAGAGGCAAGCAAATGAACTAAATTTAAATTATTATATGAATTTCGATTATCCTAAATTTGAGTTTTAAACTCTTTAAAAGGCAATATTTGTGAGAACATATCACAAACACAATTCTAGTTAATCTGCATAAGGACATAATGTTCGAGATGCCCAAGGCTCTAAAACCAGTTTTACTAAGGTGGGATAAGAATCCCTAAGACAATGGGATTTCTTTTCTGATCCCTATAGTCTACCTGATAAATGTTTATATAGTCTATAAAAGATATCTAAAACTGAATCATCTGAATTGGATTTTGATAGTCTTGATTTTATGTTGAGAAAAAACACAGAGAGACATAGTTCAAAATCATTTTAATCGTTGAATTAAGAAACTCATTCTGAAAAATTACTGGGTAAAAAAGTTCACTTTTCTAATTCTGTTTCAGTAAAAAATGATGATGGAAGCGAATCTGAAGATCTTATGAGGATATCATCAAGATAAAAGACAAGAAAAAGCAACTTCTCTAAGAAATTTTAGATGTCATTTATACAAGATTGATTTTGATATGTTTTTATTATAAAATCTAAATAAACTTAAAAAGATTTTCAAACATTTTTATTAGAAACAAATAAATTTATTAACTAATCGGTTAAGGATTCTGATAGTCCCATTCTAGAAGATAAAATTAAGAAAATATGAAAATGATATATGTATATTTTTAGTATAAGTAAAATTAAAATGTTTTAATAATTTAACAATAATTAAGAAAATCAAAAGCATTGGCTTTACATTGTTTAAAGATTACTAGCAACCGTAATTCAAAATTGGAAATATAAAATTGAGATAAGTTCCTCATTGAAAAATAAAATTAATAGTATTTAAGACAAACCATCACAAAAATAAAAATATAAATGATACGTAATTAGAATGTAAATAATTAAGTGATTTATCCACCCCAACCAAATCACATCTTTTGTGGAATTTAGAAGTTTTTGAAAGGTAAAAAGTCAAAGAAAGCGCATTAGTTAAATTAAGTTAAAGGTCCAGTTAGCAGAAGCAGAAATAATTAACTAAAAAATTATGATTTTATATTAATTCACATAATTATTGGATTTATAATAATTTAATTAATGTTACAAAAAATAAAATCAATACATTATTTGTTAAAAAAGTACATAAAATTATATACTAAGATTGTATGCTAAAGCATTTGTTAAAGAATATTTTATTTTCGTATTTTTAGCTTAAAATTGAAAACTTGATCTAAAGCAAGGTATTTGATGTCTAAAATACTGAAATTCTTCTACTCCCAGGATTTTGAGAAGGTGAAAGAGTTCATCGGAACGGATTAGAGAGCTAATATAAAAGCATTTCAAATTTATTCATTTATAATAATAAATCAATACATTCTTAAAAGCAAATGCATAGCAAAATCACTCTATTGAGTGAAGGATCTTCATCAAACGTGTTCCTCACTGAGGATCCTAATTACGTAATGAAGGAATTTAAATCTGTACACCCTACTTCATCGAGATTGAAGGAAGCTCAAATTTTAGAACTTCTTAAAGGAGAATTCGTTGTAAAACTGATAACCTTTACAGAAAATTACCTAATATTGGAAAGACTCCAATCACTTGATTTGTTCGAAGTAGTAAAATCCAAAAATCTCAATCCTCAGATGCTTAAGGAAATATGCAAAGCTCTAATTAGAATAGTAAACTCAATCCATAGAATGCAAGTGATACATCGAGACATCAAGTTGGAAAACATTCTGATTGACAAAGCTGGTAGATTGGTCTTATGTGATTTTGGATTCGCTGAGATGTTAACTAGTTGCGCGGTCAAAAGAACTGTGGGCACTTAGAATTATATGCCCCCAGAGTTGCATCAAGAATCATTATTAGGAGGATTTAATAGTGAAAACATCAATGCTCAAATTCTAATTAAATCTGATGTGTTTTCACTTGGAGTTACAGTATTTTAAATCATTTTGGGATTTCAACCATTTGTATCAACTAAACCAAGTGCGAATTGTAAACTATGGAAGCTAATTTTACAAAAGAAATGGTCATAATATTGGGCATTAGTTTAAAAGTTGAGCTAACTTCAAATTGATACTCTGACTTAGAATTTCTTGGAATAATTTCTACAACCAGATTTTACATCAAGATGTTCTCTGGATGAAATATATTATCACCCATTTTTGAAGGATGTTAAAGAAGATGTTCATTTAATTTTCTGATATATTATTAAATGTAAATTAAATTCAGCCTTTGTACATTCATCTAATTCAATTTAAATAGCGTATTGCCAAATTAAATATATAAGTATTGATGAAAAATAGGAAATAAAAGTTAAGTGATTTGAGATGTTCAAATAGATGAGATATCAAATATTTATGAGTTCTTTGAGTGTGTTAAAATATAATTAATAATGATTAAGATTGTATGTTTTCACATTTCTAGTTTTAATTATATAATAATCACTTGGAATAGAGAGATGTGAAGAACATAAAATATTAAATCTTTTAATTTTTTTTTTAAATGGCAAGAGCATAAAAAGACACTAGACCAATTGCAGATTAAAACACATCTGAAGCTGCATGCACATACGCTGCTCTCATCTTATATGAAGACAATTAAGAAGTAAAATCTATTATTAAGAGAAGATCAATGCAGCAAAATTGGCTCAAATCATCAAAGCTGCTAATTTGAGAGTTGAACCAATTTGGACTAAAGTATTCGAAAAGGCACTCAAAGGAAAGAAGGTTGGAGACTTATTACATGGAAACAGTGGAAGTGCACCCGCTGCTTAAGCTGCTGCAACAACCACCACACCAGCTGCATAATAGGCTAAAGCTCCTGAACCTGCTAAGGAAGTTAAGAAAGCTGAAGAACCCGAAGAAGATGTTGATATGGGAGGCTTATTTGATTGATAACATCATCATTCGTACATTAATATTCAAATATTGAATGAAAAGCATCACTTTTAAATTGAAGTTGTTGAGTACCTCCTCAATACAATCTCGAGTATTATAAACAATATATTCTCAATCCTATTGGTTTTGAATTCCTTTTTCTTAAAAACCAATTAAAAACACAATTCATTTATTCTAAAACTCATAGAAGTTATACTCTATAATATATTACTATATATTCTTAGTTTTATTATAAACATTTCATTCTGGCTTATCATATTTTTTATATTGTTTCACCATATCATCGATCTTCTTTTTCATGTCTACACTTAACTCATCACTTTCATTATCAGTCTTCTTCTTTTTTTGCCAGAATTAGAAGATAAACACAATGAAGATTGCCACCAAGATCATAGGAAATCTGAAAGATTCCATTAAAGAGAAAGAAGAACTCTAAGGCATAGGGTAATGAGTCAATTCCAATTATCTGATCGTAGTCTTATTATTCGAAGTGTAGAACTCATAAGCATTACTGGTTTAAGCATTGATCTTATGTGAGCGTATTGAATAGTATTAATACCATAATCTTTGATCATCCAATGATGTTAGATAGAGAACCTCATCTTAGTATAGGGACTTATATAAGGAAGTGTTATAGATTTACAAAGTCTTATCATATCCAATCAAATATGAATTGATTACTCTAATATTCTTTAGTTTTTGTAAGGTGGGAATCTTGTAGGAAACTAAATTTCATTTATTCATTAATATTACTTGAACATTCGTGATGCTTCCCTGATTTTATTTGATATATTAATATATCCTAATTGGATAGCAACACATAGATATTTTGACTGTAGATATTCTCCTAATATATTGAAACTATAGAGGCTGCAGGCTGATCACACTTTGGAGTTACAATGGTCAGGGATACAGAATTCAAGAAGCCAATCTATTTCTCTGTTTAAAACATAATGTGTGGATGTCTCCTTAATAAGTTTAGGATTGGGGTTGTTGATATGGTATTTTTGTTTTTTAATGTACCATTCTAAAAATAATAAGAAATTGCTCCATTTTCATCACCAACCAAAAACACTCTTGTGTTTCGACCAGAATTAACTAATATTGAGGTTGCCTCGTGATTGAGCTCAAAACTTGATGCCCACGTCAACTCAATATCATGATAAAATCCATTTTTATCAATTCTACGAATGTCATCGATTGGTTATTCTTTGATATTTTTATCGGTAATGGTCATGTTGATTATTGTTAGATTCCTTTGTGCATCGTACAATCCAATATAAAATTCATCCACATTATGCAAAATATCTGTCATCAATATATGATTTGTATGATTGTATTATGCTATTATTGTTCCCAATTAATTTATTATCATTATTTCATTATCACTTGATTTACAAACGAGTAATTGTGAGGAGGGGTAATGCAATTATTTTAAATGGAATATATGAATGTCAATTATATCTTTGTCCATTTCAAATATGTTTTTTATTTTAACTCCATCCAGAAATCTTTTTCTTGCCTCAAAGTACTCAATATTTTAAGTCAACTCTATTTAATTTTCTATGTATTTTAACTTATCATAAATTGAGCAATTTATATTTGAGAGTAATGCTAACAAAAATAACATTCAATAAAATTTATATTCAATAAAATTATTCCCTTGAGTTTGCTAAACTGCTCAAACTTATCATCCCATTAAATAGTTCCTACAATTTTTGTGTTTCCTACTATCTTACTGACATTAGATCTTATCTGACCTTTTCAAATAAACGAATTAATTACCCTATCAATTTCAGACTTGATTTTGATATCACTCTCCTCCTTCTAATACAAGGATTAGATCTCTTATTTCAATTGATCGTTTTCATCAGTTAAACTCCTACACCTCTCCTCTAAATCCTGCACTTTTTAATTTAATTATTAATAACACTCTTTGTACTCTTATAGTCTTTCCATTTCATTTTTAAAATCTTTGGTTACCACCTACTTAAATTCCTCTATTTGTTTATTGATCTCTTGTTTGCTTTACTTCATGTCCTAATGAAGTTTCCTCTTCTCTAATTTATAGTATTTTAATTTTTCCTACAACTTCTCATTCTCAACCCTCATGGGTTCACATGAAAATAGGATCTCATCCAACTTTAATATCTCAGTCTTCAATCTGCTATTCTCTTCTCCTAAAAGAATTAATTATTCTTATAATTATCTTTGTTAATCTTCGTTCTTTAAGTAAAATGTCTATAAATTCCTTATTATTTTCTTACATTCAGAGTGTCATTTTCTTATCTCAAATGATCTATCATATCCTTCAATTCGATCATATCTTTTATTAAACTGTCTTTTTCTAATTACAATTTATTCATCCGATAAAAATCCTGCTCCTTCTTTTTTATAGAACTCTAATGCACCTCCTTCAGTCGCTCATTCTCTTCCCACAATTCGTTTACTTAACACTGTAAATCCACTATCACTTGATCCTTCTTTAAAAACTCATTTTTCAATAATTCCATCTATCATTTATCGAAAGGAATGCATTACCTTTTCCCTTTGCTCCTTCAAGAGATTGATATAATATTATTCTTGCTCGATCAGTTTCATCTCATTAAACCTATGATTCTCATGACTCTATAAGAACTACATAAGTTATTACGAAGCCATACAAAATAATTTATAATAAATCAATTCATCATATGTTTATTCATTTACTCAACTCTACTAATAGGTCTATCCAAATTCATATCGTTCAATTGAGGCTACTTGAGACATGCGAAACTATCACTGATGAGATTCTTAGCATTCTTAAGAAAACCCCTCTCTCTGGCCTAATCTATTCTCCTCTTCTCTTCATTTGACATCTTCAATATTGTCATAATAGCATTCATTAAAATAGTTGCCTCCTTATAATTTCTAGTTTCTTAATACAAAAAGTATTTGTAAACTACATTCCTTAAATATTCAAAGTTAACATTTCTGCTATCACCACTTTCCTCTTTATTCTATATAGTTTGATCTGTTTATATCTATTTATTTGATATCTGTTTGTTTATAATTATGTCTTATTGTTTTAAAGCAGCATCTTGTTCAAATGGATTAATTTCATCATAATCAGGAGTTGGAGTTTCGTAACTCTTTTAAATAACCTTAACAGCCTCTGCTTTTTATTTAGATTACAATTACGATTCCAAATCTTAGATTTTAATATTCTGTTTTTGAATCTCTTCCAAGAGTTTGTCAATCTATTATTTGAACTTTAATTATTCATTCATAAGATCTGAGGAGTTTATTTTGTTTGCTCTATCTGGCTATTGCAATTGTAATTCTTAGACCATTAGTTAGGTTTTCAAATTAGCATTGTCTTCTTCCAATTAATGAAGAGTTTGCAATTGCTAATTTTTAATCTGTATAATGTCATTAAGTTCTATGATCTCTTTGGCCAATCTCGTATTATTGACATCTAGATCATTTATTTGCTGCTTTAGTTGCTTGATTATTTATTGAGTCTTTTGATCAGTGTTTTACCCTTGTTTCTCTATCATCTAACGATATTTCTCTTCTAATTGAAATTTTTCATTATTAGTTTCTTTAATCAGATTTGTTAAGGCTTTAGATTTGTCTTCATCCTTTTGCTTAAATAAATCCAGAATTTGATTTTGATCAAATTATCCTATTTTTATTAATAAATAAAACCCAAAGGCTTCGATTCAAATTTGTAAAGTTCATCATTCAAAACTGATGAGATCGCTTAAAACAAAGTCTCTCTGTCCTTTGCTATTAATTTATATTCCTTATAGGTCTAAACATATTTCTCAGATAATTTATCTAATTTTTTGGTGATGGTTTTATTTTCCTTTATCTTATCATTTATTTGGTATTAAATACTTTATCCTTCAATTATGAAACTAATACTTCTTTGCTCAGATCGTCTAACGCTTATTCATTGTTTTCTTACATTTAATTAAAATAAAATAATGAAATTAGAAAAAAAATTATACAACATCATTATATTATCCTTTCTTTAAAATATGTAAGGACAGTGACAAATTTATTGTTTTTATCTTCCCTTTCATAATTCTTCACAAGTGTTTATATACCTCTTTACATTGGGCAAGGAAAAAGGAATTGGAGTTTTGATAACGAAAATAAAGGTGATCTCTTTATTTTGATGAAGTGTCACTTATGCAAGTTCAAATATCTGATTTTGAAAAGGATAATTTATAGTTAAATTTGAGACTCTCTTTTTATAAAGACCTATTAACACTAAATAGATAAAATCAAAAAATATCTTAAGAATATCTATTTATTACGACTAAAATACTATATATTTAACGGAGAAAAACTGTTTTGGTTGATTTTACACAATATTCACTGTCTACTGATTTGATACTTTCATACTATGAAATTTGATATGAATATAAAGAATTGAGTAGAAATTCCTTGAAAAATCAATGCTATACTCCGTTTTAATTAGATTGTAGGATACTATTAATTATGCATTTTCTTGCAAAAATGAATTTATTTTAAGTAACCACTTTTTTGGGAAATATAAACAAAGTAAAGATATATTAATAATAATAATTCAATAATGAGGACAAATGGAATTTCAATTGAGGGTCTTAGAGAAAAAGTAAAATTTGTATGAAATTTGCATTATTAAGCTGGTTGTCTTTTAGTTACTAAACTTTAATTGGGATCTAGTCAAGACTTTAAATTTATAAATTCGAATACTTTTTAGCTGACAGATTGTTTCTAGATTAAAAATAATCAAAATGATAGGACAGTATATACAATGGAACTTGAACGAGTTCTATTTTTAAGGACACCTACTTTGTTCCTGAGTGTATTTTTGTTACTAACTTACTCAACTATGTTATTTTTAAAAACAAGTATAATTCTAATTAATTTAGAATATGAATTATAGGATTAATGATATTGTTTCTATTTGAAGCAGACTACTGTTGTGGTTTTTTTACATCTATAAAGTTCCAACTTTGCTTGGCAAAGATAATTAGTCTATGATTCAGCAGAGTATACATTGAGATGCTATAATAGAACGTAGAAGTAGATATAGATTGTATTATACGACACTAAATTAGGGCAAATAAATTAGAGAGATACATTAATTAGGACTTTATGCTATACACTTGTGTGAGAAGTTAGATATTGGTTGTTTATAATTTTAAAGTATTTCTATCGGTAACTATTGGTACATGCTGATGGAAATTCAGTTCCAACAATCGTTTAGGAAAAAGAACATTTTTGATAATTATATTAATTAAAATTTATAATGGAATTCGAAAAGCAATTATACAGGATTCATAGAAGAATACTATTTGGACCGTTGATACGAAAGATTTTTACTGCCGGAGCCTATTTCTTTTCAACATTAACATTTTTGGGACTCTTTTTCTTATTTTTATTACAATTCAGAGAATAGTACAAATCTTTCTAGGACCAAGAATCTATATGTATAAAGCATGTTAAAGCATAGATAATTTTGATAATGAAACAATCTATATTTTCAATATCACTGATAGCGAATTGTTAAACTAAAATGAATCATACCTCTCAATGAAATTTACATTTAACAAAACCCTTCTTTATATGAGTAATGAATTTCAACAGAAATATAATTTCACTGTTGAAACTCATTTGGTAGAGATACAATATTACACTAAAGGATTTAATGCTTTTTTGTGTTTGGCTTCAGATTTAGAAACTATGTTTATTATTGATTTTCTTGATTTCCTTGGTTCCAATTATGATGGCGATGTACAATTATTGAATCAAAATACAAATGAGACTTGGAGTTGGAATAAGCAATAGCTTCAAAGTTTAATATTTGATTAAAATTAGGAAAATATGTTGTTGCTTACGATGAAAGAATCTACACAACTTTAACAGAGTTCATCAAGTGCATTTTGGGAATATTTCTACAATCAATTATAGCCTCAATTTACATGAAGATGTCCATAATATGTGCTCCTATTTTAATAATATACATGAGTATTTGTTATAAATAACCTAAAAGTGAATTGCATGCAAATCTGTTAGAATTAAGATATTTAAGCACAAGCCTTAATTGATGCATTTCCTTGGGTAGGCTAATATCTGACTATTTTGAATAGAAATCAAAAACTAAAAAAGGAGCTGCTCAATTCATTTATCTAAATGTTGATTTTATTTTACTTGGTCTACTTTTTGTAATTCACTGGTTATAATAGTTCAATTCAATTGTTTGCAAAAAGTTACCCAAAAGGATTGGCTGAAAACTTTTTCTCGTAACAATAATTATCCATCATATTTAGATCATTCCTATTAAATGAATTTGTGAGTATCATATTTTTGAGAACCAGAGCATCCCTTTATTTTGTGCCCAAGTACATAGTCTCAACCTATATGCTGTTCACATATTACTTTGAATCTACTTCATATGGATATTACAACCTGGCCTTTTAAATTTGCATCTTCTCACAATTTACCATAATTTCCTTCTTTGTGCTCAACTTTGAAATAGCAGCTCTGGATTGGCCTATAGAATCTCCGTACACACCTACACTTGATCGTCCACGAGCATACTACTGTCCATTGTTCAATATGAATTGGATCAATGACATTCCCACTCTATGGACTATGTTCTTTCCTCTTTGCGGAAGAAGGTATATATATATTGTACTACCTTAGGTTCTTCTAAATCTAGAATTTGGCTCTGGTCGATAAAAATTACATCTTATTAAACAATCTTTTGAATCAAGAGGAACTTCTACCTGTCGAAGGGAATGCTCCTGCTTAAGTTCCCAATCAGCTAGTCTAAGAGGAAGTGCCTCAACAATAACAAGCCAATAATTAACCATAGGCTCAGGATGGTTAAAATAATTAATAGTTTGTAATCAATGTAGATAATATACTTGGAAATGATTAGCCATAACAACAGAATTAGCTTTTGTGATTAACATAACTTAATTATTAAAATATTAGATTTCTACCATTTAGAGATTCCAAGTCGTTTCTTTTGTTGTTTAGCCATTTAATCAATTTGATTAATTTCAATTTAGTATCATTAATTAATATTTAAAGGAATTTTTGATTATCAGTTATTTCATAAAATTATCATCTAATGCTCACTCATGTCAATGAAAATCCTAAATTCGCCGAAACCTTAAAATAACTAGTGGAATGTGGAAAAGATGGGGCAATCAGATGGCCAGAAATAGCGAAAGTCCTGGAAAACATGTTTCATATTACTATTTCTAAGCCCTGTCTACTAAAGCCAGCATATCAATCTATCATAAGTCCAAACGTGGAATTAGATAAATAATAGCTGAGATTATTGGTTACAACTGTCATCAAGCATTCAGCCATAATCAAACAAGCCTTGCCTGACTTCCAAAAGACATCAGGAATATAGTAAAATTGTATTATATCTGCAGAATTCAGTCAAAAAAGTTCTAAAGCAGAATGTATCGCTCCTTTAAAACAGCAATAGAAAATGGAATCTAAGTATTCGTGCAGAAGAAATCAGAATACAGAAAGAGACTAGTTAGAGTACCTGGATCAGCAATATCTCGCGTATTGTAGTGCAAGGTTCTTCCATCAGATGATTCATTCACTAATAAATTAAAATTTATGTCAGAATAGCTTTCTCTTCTACTGATGATTAGTATCGATTATGATGGAGAAGATATCACAGAACTCTACTCTACAGTAACTTAGAAAATGACAAGGAAGAACTTCCATTTATTATTAAATTGCATTTCTTTCATGTTCGATTTAAAATGTATTAGCCAAGGTTAAATTACACGAGATGATTAATTAACTCCTGACTATTGGTTATAGCCTACAATCAAAGAAAACCAGAAATTATATGTGTATAATTATTTCTTTGAGGATGACAATTGTTAAAAGTATAAGATGTATTCAGACGCAATTGATGTCTAATAAGAAATGGAATACAAAGTGTTTTTAAATATTAATCCTATATCCTAACCTAAACAACAGTCGTTCTTAAAAAGGAATGTCAAGTTGAAAACAGTAAGAGGAAGAATAACTGTGAATGATAAAAAGTATCCCAGTGAAAGAACTATTATCTTTGCTGAACCGGAAGAGGAAAGTGAAGAAGAATTTTATGATATCAAATTTGGTAGAAAGTAGAATTGCTTATGAAATGATATAGATATTTAATTAAATTGATGTGGATTACGTTAATAAATTTAGATATAAAAACTAATTCAATCTAATTCAATAATTTGGTTGTTTTTCTAATGATTATCTATTTTAGATGGAAAATTGGAATTATCAACTTTTACATCCTTTACAATCTATCTCAGTAATTCATCATCTTCATTGTCTTAAGCAGAACTCGAGAGTTCATATTCTTGAACTGCTAATAATAAGGTACTGGCCATAAATACAACATCATATTGTTGATGCTCTTTATCCACTTTATTTGCAAAATTCATCAATGCCTCTTTGACTTCTAGTCCTAAACTCTATTACCAGAATTTCGTATTACATTTCACACCATTAGGTTTGATGTGTTCCCTTGATTCCATCATTTAGAATAGTTGAGTATCATAAAATAAAATCTTCTCAGGTTCTTTCAAACCTTTCAGTTTATTTTCGTATATACGCAATCTTTACTGAAATTCCTTTAAATCTCTTTGGTCATACTAACTTCCATTCTACATTTTTTACTAATCTATTATCAATACTTAAGCAGTTTCAAATTATTCAATTAGAATCTTCATAAAATCAACCATATCCAAAGGGTTTTCAAGTGTTTTAATAGTATTTTAAAACTTTTCTCTGATCTTGTATGATTCCCATCTCAATTTTCTTACCATCAAAATATCAGTATACTTTTAAACAACTTCTAATAGTATTTTGACTATTAATTGCTTTGGACTTCTATTGCCAGCCTAAACTTAACTTTGCTCAACATTTTTAATTGTGATCAATTCCTTTGTTTCTTAATCATTAAATAATTCACAAGCCATTAACTTTTGAATATTGGTTTACAATTCTCTTTCCTTTACACCACAAACATTCAAAGTCTTAAATAGTTATTGCACTTAATTTTCATCTAAGACTCTCCATTCTGAACCATTATTTTAATAGATGTGATCAATATCATTCGAGAATATATGGTAATCAAATCCATGAATATCGGAACCCAAATATAAGCATCCATTAATGAAGAGCCGATTAAATTCGACTAATTAAAGATATTACTTATAAACCTTTCTGTATTACTGTTATTACTATTGAGTATATTGACTATCTTTCTTTTATAATGATTGATTGATACTGTTCAATTCATCTTGCACATTTTCTAAAACTAATCCTACTGCCTCCGTAACTTCTTATCTGTACTCAATAATTACTTTAAAACTATCAGTTTCACGAACTCCTTCAATCAGATTACTCGTTATGTCAGCTCTCTATTTAGCCTTCAATCCAAAGTAACCTAATTCGTTCTGACCTATACTCTTGATGTTTCTAAGTTCCTAATCAGTAAATAAGGATTAGACATATGGCAGTTTGATTGATTAAAGTAAGAACGATGGCCAATTCTGAACCAAAAACTTAAATAGATTATTGAATCTCAGCATTTCTAAATCAGTATATCTGTCCTTAATCTTAAATGATTTAATTTAGGAGTATTATTTTGTTTATTTGCTTTTCTTTTTACTTTAGTCCTTCAACTTGCAAAGCTATTAATATTTACTAATTATCTATTATCGTCTCATCTCAATGTTATCTTAACTTAGTGTTTCCTTATTGACATTCTGAATCGTTTCTGGCTGTTCATCCGAATCCTATTCTATATCCATATCCTATAATTTTGTTCTTTGTGATTTCTTTATTATTTTATTAAATGACTCATAGGCTATTTTCCAAAAAAATTAACAAGTAGGATCCAAGTAATTTTCAAATTCATATTTCTAACTCTAAATTGTTAGATCCTAATTTAAGTCCTTTTCTTCCTCTTATTATTTCTCTACAATTGATAATAAACTCATTTTTTGAGGCTTGTTCCCCTTCTTTTTTATTTCATCCTTCACTTACCTTTGTTTTGCTATGTCTATTGGCTTCAACAAACCCATTTTATACTTAAAGATATCCTCCACTATAAAGGCTGCCAACTTGAAGTTAATACGATCTGACTGTTCCTATGTATCAAAGGTTGAGTATTGATAACTATTTGAAAATGTCGCATTAGTATGATAGTCTTTGATTAAGTGCCCTGTTAGCTTTAGTAAAGGGGAGAGCAACAATTAAAACTAATTCTAGCTATCCGACATTGCTGCGAATTACTAATTATAAGGAAAAGCATTTATGAAGGTTGTAATCTCAATTTATTGATTTAAAGGAATAGGTGAGAAAGTCTTAATTACATTCCCCTCTCTCATCTTCCCAAATTGATTGCTTTAAGGAAATATTTGTGAAAATTGAACTATTATCTCATCCATGATTGGAAATATTACTTTCTTGCCATTCATGTAGTTTGGAAATCTCCTTTGAAATTCCTTTAATTTAGCCTACTTCTCATTCTCCTTATTATCCATTTTTATTAATACATTACAATATTCAACTCTCCATATTTTAATTAAAAAAAATCATTAAATTTTTTTGATTCCAATAATGCCAAATTTAGAATTTTGCAATATCTAAATTTTATTCTTCAACAGCCTCCTAATAAAAAGCTGTATCAACTATTGCTGTTATCCACTACAGTGCTTCGCTCTTATTTTTAAAACAGAGTTACTTGTATATTATATAAAATTATTATGGTTTCACATCTTTTGTTAGATAGATAGATATTACATATACATTTTGTATTCTATTATAAAAAAAAATAGCTCTAAGAATAGATAAAATTAATTGATGTTACATTTATTACTTTAGAGATTAGAATTCCAGAATAATTCAAGGATTAATAATCTGATTGATAGAGGCCATCGTTTTTAAAGTTACTGAAAGTCAAGTAATCATAAGAGGATACGATTACTATTACCTAATTTGATACCATAAAAATTTCAAAAATAAAAATAGCAATAATAAGCTAATTTTTTGATATATGATTATAGAATGAAAGGAGATAATCCAATAATTATTAATAAAATCTCTTTATGGATATATTTATTTGAATATAAAAATATCAGATAAATTATTTTGAACGATGTTAATTAAATTTAAGATAAGATTCAATAATAAAACTCAGTAAAATTAATCTATAAAGTAATTAGATGACTAATTTAAGGATATTGATAATTGTACTTTAAAAGGCTTGAATAAAATAATAACACATGGTAGTCATGTAATTAAATAACAAAATCTCTTAGTTACTAGCATCCTATTAACATAAACATGAAACTAATTTATTCGAAAATTAAGCATTCGATTTGAGGAAAATTAAATTTGAATTCTTAAGAATTCTTCTATATATAATATTTAATGTTAAAATTAAATAAAGTAAAATATATTTATATATATAATATTTTCAAGTTAAATAGGTTTAACTATTGATGAACGATTATTTAAGCAAGGGTTTTTATAAAATACTGTTTTAATTAATATTAATTACAAATAATGAATCAATATGTTTATTTTAATGATTTGAAGGAAATGCAACACTATGCCAGAAAAAATCAACTATCATTATATGCATACAAGAAATCTGTGTATAATTTGACAGATTATGCTGAGAGTCATCCTAGTAGTGCAGCTTACGTGTAACATTATCAAAATCAGGATGTTACTCATACTCAATTCAATAAGAAAATTCTCAAAACTCACATTGAAATCATATCAACTTTGCAAGAATATATAATTGGATATATTCAGAAGCATGACAAATAGATTATATCATTCAAATCCTCTAAATCCATTATCGAATAAACAAAAAAAAGATTAAGAGAAACCACTGTACCATTTTATGAAGATATACCAGAGGATTGTTCTATTACTAGATTGCCCATACTAACTACCAATAAAAGATTTCACTCTCAAAAGGACATTAGAATGCCTCATTGAATCTTTGAATTTATATAATAATTAATATAATTATTAGAAAAAATTAAAAGTATTTATTAACTCTAAGTTGTTTGTCTCATATTTTCTTTATACTCAGCCGCATGAAATCTATTAATATAAATTCAAAATATAAAAATTATGCTTGAAAACAAGAAAGAAATTTTAAAAACTCTAAATATATTTCAAAATTCATCACGATCAACTGAAAAACCTTCAAATTAGCAATCAGCTTATCCTATTTGGGATTGAGGAGTTTCAAATATTTTCTTGGGAGCAACTTTGCATTCTGTTTATTGCTATTCCAATATCTTAGTAACACTTTGTAAAATTGGTGATTTTACTTTTAAATTATAAATATCCTCCCAATTAATTTAAGAAAAAAATAAATGGTTCTTTATTTAATCTATGGATCTGCTACCTAAGTCGGTTAAATTATATTTACCTAAACGTTAATAAGGATCCTTATTCAAGAGTTGAGAAATAAAATCCTTTGCTTCAGTGGATATAAAATCAGGAAATACTAATTCGTTTTATATAATTTTATTCTCTATCACCCTTAAATTATTAGATCTATCTCTGAAGGGCGTGTAACCTACAAGCATTTCATACAACAGTATCCCTAGGCTCCACCAATCAACTGACGAATTGTGCCCAGACTTCAACAAAATTTCTGGTGCTATGTATTCTGGGGTTCCGACAAACTAGACTTTTAAATACATCTAAGTATTACGGTAAAGAATTTCATGTCCTAAGAGTCATATTACTTCGATAATCCGAAATCTGTTAATTTCAGATGGCCATCTGAAGTAACCAAAACGTTATCCGGTTTTAAATCTCTGTATATGACCTTCAAGGTCTCGTGGATGTATTATAATGCAAGAACTATCTCAGCGGCACAAAACTAGGCTTAAAATTGTGTGAATCGTTTCTCTCGCTACCTACCAAGAACTTTGGCAAGTTGACCTCCAGTCACTAATCTAAACATTTTATTTTAATATATTACTCCATTACAAAATAGAGTTTTTAATCTGTTTAGAAAGAGTATTTTAGCTTGACAACAAAAGGGTTTTGGCTTCTAATTAGCACACTCTTTTCAAGCATCGTATGTTCCACCAACCCATATTGAATGATGTCCGACTTTTTAATAACTTTCATAGCGTATTCTTAATTGTTGCTCTTCATTTTAACTTTTAAAACCCTTCCAAATTAGCCCTAAATAAATTTATATATTCCTAACCCTTCCTATCTAACCTTAACTTAGAAAGTCCTTTAAAGTGATTTTACTTGCATCCAAGTCCTTAGGGGACTGAGACTACATATAATCTACCTTCTTTAGTGATTTAATGGATGTTTTGCTATTCTCATCTTAATTGAAGCAATTACCCATATTTGATAAAAATTAAATCCTTTTTTTTAAAATATGTCTTCGCAAAAGTTCAAGGTGAAAAAGCTGAGAGAATAAAAGCCAGAAGATCTTGTTAAAGATTTAGAGAAGCTCAAAGGAGAACTCATTTAATTGAGAACAGTTAAGGTATCAGCTGGTAATGCCCAAAAACTTGGCAGAATTGGAGTATACAATTAAACAATGAATTAAGCTTGTTAGAAAGCGAATTGCTAAATTTTTAACAGTGATCAACGAATAGAGAAGAAATTCTGTGAAAAATGCAGCCAAGTCAAGTACTAAACTCCCAGTTGATCTTAGAGGCAAAAAAACTAGAGCAATTAGATAAAGACTCACAAGAAGCGAAAGAGGTAATTATAAATGATAAATAAATCAAGCATAAAAAACACAAAGACAATGGAAAAGATTGAACAATTTCCCATTAAGAAAGTTTGCTTTGAAAGAATGATCAATTATATAAAACAGTACAATATTGATATAGCTATTGTAAATGTCAATCGTCATCTGATAGATCTTCAAATTCCCTTATTGGAGGAACATATTATTATTTATACATTCTACCCCAATCAACACCATTAAAAAATTTATCTGATTTTATTGCATTCAACGTAATTCTTTTGCTATCATCAACTTCAAGCATTTACTAAATACTCATTATAATAATATTACTTGAATTAGGTCTCTAGCTTATTATGAAATATTGCTTGGATATATAAGTTTAGTATCCTTGATATTTTATTTAACATTTTCTTAGTTTTTATCAAAATATGGAGATTTTCCTGTTAATAATTCATAGAAAATAGCTCCTAATCCGTAAATATCAGAGGCTTTTGTTGCCCCTCTTTGCTCAATCACTTCTGGTGACATATAATAAGGTGAACCACAAAAACTGAAACTTCTTTCTCCATCCTTTATCTCAGTCTTACACAGTCCAAAATCAATTAGTTTTATATGGCCTCTTCTGTCTATTAGAATGTTTTCTGGTTTCAAATCTCTATATAAGATATTCTTCTTATGTAAATATTCTATGGCAATTATTAATTCAGCCATATAAAATCTACTTTCATTTTCATTAAATTTCCCATGAACAATAAGATTATGTATCAGATCTCTGCCTGGACAATACTCCATTATGATATAATAATACTTTTCATTCTATAAATGTTATAATTTATAACATTACTTCTAAAAAAGCATAACTTTTAATAATAAATGGACATTCCACACTTTTTAGTATCTCCATCTCAGTGATTGCATATTTTAAAAAATTCTACTTTTTCAAAAAACTCTTCTGCATTTGTTTTAAGGCATAAATATTATTATTTTTATATTTAGCCAAAAACACTTTGCCAAATAATCCCTCTCCTAATTGCTTTTACAATTCAAATTATTTTATATCTAATGAAGAGATGTCATCAAATCCTTCTTTCAGATACTAATAATTTTAATTTTGTAAAACATTATCCTCAATAAAAACCTTATCATTATTATCGTCTTCACAAGCATCTGAGACAGATATTGATGAGTTTTATTTTTCAGTTATCCATTGATTGTACAAAAGAGCTTAATTAAATGACTCAGCCCATTTTTTAGCAGCACGTTCTGTTTTAGCCATAAATTACGCCTTTTTACCATTCAGAAAATTGATTTCAACTAAATCCTATTTTTTTGAGTTTTTTTAATGAAACACTGAATGAATGTTAATCAAATTGATGATTTCACTATTTAAACTATAATTCTTACATAGGTTAAGCATTAAAGGATTAGGATTGGAATAAATAAAGCATCTAGCCTTAAGGTTGCAATTACAAAAATATCTCATTATCTCCTTATTTTTATTTTCCTTATCTAATTAAATATCCCTCCGTTATTGGAATTTAAGGACAGTTAGCTTGACTCAAAATTAAGGAATTCTATATATTTAATATCTCTTAATACTCTGATAATCGATGTTAATCTTCTTTCATTTTATGGGAAATCATTTACATAATTTTGATGCCATTCAACAATTCTAAATGAAAATTAATATTTACTTAATATTATTGTTTTCGTCTTATTTTATTTTCATTTCAAGCCATTTACCTTGTTTGTTTCCAAATTCATCATAATTTCCATAGCTCAAAATCTAGTTTGCTATTAAATCAATTGTATTCCATTCTCCAATTCTTTTATCGTTTATATATTATCCTTGTTCATAAATTAACTCTATGGGTTCTGATCTTGCCCAAATTATCTCCTTCCATTGTCCTTCCTTTACACCATATTTATATTCTCCTCCCTTTAATATGTAAATATAGGATATACTTTGAATTGCAAATCTTAAAATTTATAAAAATGGCACCCATGTTTTAATCCAAAACAATGATTACCTGTGATTTAAACTTGATTATTAAACAATTGTTCAGTTTTGGATATCTCAAATTTTAATTAATGAAATGATTTAGAATATTAAATTAAAATATTCAACATTTATAGTATGTCATCAAACTTTTCTTGCTAGTATTTTTGTTTGAATGGTTGATCAATCAAGGATTACTTTATTTTTTCTTATGAATTTTGAGTTAATTTGTATTGAAATTCAGTAGTTTTTAAGGAATTTATTATCTTTTTAATTTCTTTTTTCGTTTCTTAAAAATAATCAACGACTATTTATTATGCTTCCTGCAGAGTTTGAGATACCTACTTACGGTATTATTTAAATTAGAGAGTTTCTTATTTAATTGCATCTGCCAATTTTTGCTATAATTCAGGTTAACATTCAAAATTTTCAAATGTGGTAAAAACACTCTCATTTTGTTTATTCATCTCATAATGTGATGCTTATTATTCCAATAGACATTTATTCTATTGGGATTATTATATTTTGAATGAGATATCATCATAATTATTGAGTTAAATCTCTTACTATTGCATAATTAAATATTATACTAATAAAATTTTTAAGTGACGATATTTCACCTAAAAATATTGCATATTAAATATAAACATACATTATTTTAATATATTTTCAACTAAGAGAATGTAATTTATGCTGCACAACAAATATTCCTTTATAAAAAAAATGTATCAAGTAAGTCAATGGAAATAGAAATACCAATAATATTCTGATTCTAATATAATTTTAATTTAAGACTTACTTTTTGATTTTAAATTATTGATAATGGAATTTAACAGTGATAATTAAACAAAAAAATGGATATATTAAGAGCAGGATGCAGAATATTAGTATGAATGCTATGATTTTGGGTAGAACCATCAGTAATCGTAATAACATGGGTTATTGTAAAGGCTCTATAGATCTCATCATTGATCCCGGAACTGTAATAATTTACATATATTACATGGACATCCAAATATATTCCATAATCTATAATGATATTTACTATATTATCCTTTGCAAATCCAACAAAACTCATATTTACATTTACAAACCATATGATTACATCCGCTAATTTTTTCTATTGGAATCAAACAGTTTGGGCATCTTTAGCTACACTATCCAGAGTGAATTTCACCGCACCTTGAACAAACCTTGGTACCACACTTGTGGGTTTTTAAATCCTCTTTACAGACCTAGATTGTAAATAGTTTGTAATACAGAACAGGTTATTATAGCCTTCTGCTTTAACTCCAAATATTTGGGAAACAAGTCTTCGCAATATTGTTTGATTACTAAAGCGTTGTATTTTGCGGTGCAAGCAGGACATGTAATCTTAAATACACTACCACTCTGAATTGCTTCTTTCAAATACATGATGACGCATTCTCTTTTTGATTTATATATGCTTACTTGCAAAATTGATGAGAACAATCTCCAGGTTTAATCATCTATTTGTCAAGGAAGCAAATTTAACAATTCATAATTTTATTACATATGGGAAATGATATAATTTGAGAAATAATTAGAATAAATAAATCAATAGCATAATAAATTTTGTCATATTTCATTTAATTTGACGATCTTTCTTTTAACTAAACAAACTAATTTTAAGGGCTTTTGTAATTGATTGTAATCAAAAATCTATAAATGATACTCTTGATTTTGTGAATCTTATGTTTCTTCATTCTTCAGAGGGTATTTGCAGTCCACTGATTATTCAAGTTATTAAATGATAGATTTGACTAATATTTCATTCTTTTCATCTTTTGTTACTTTGCCTAATTTAATTTTATTTTCCTCTTATTTTAATAAATTATAATATCTGTTTTTGATTGTATTTTCTGTTCTTCTCAACTTAAAAACCTTCAATGAAATCTCAGCCCATCTCTTCCCTCTCTTCTCTATCTCTCTAAATAGTTTCAATTCCTCTTCCTTTGTCCACGGAAGGCTATACATTTATATACGAATTACTTCACTATATTTGGGTCCAATTTATTCACCCACCTGTCCCTGCACTATTTCCCCTATCGAATGTAGGGAGTCTTGCAAATTTTCATCATCTCAATTGCAATCTCACACCATTTATTTGGATGTAATTACTATAACTATATTAAAACTTAATCTTCCGCTGGAGTCCAACTAACCTTTTGATGACACTCCTCCAGCCATCTATTCCTACAGCCTTTCCAATTATGATATCTGAACATCCTTGAAATTTATTCCCATTAATAGGAGGACTATGAAGAATAATTCTAAATTATTTTACTAAGTCAACAGGACTTTCTTATGTTTTCAAGCATGTACCAAGCACCAATAAATTTAAGAATTTGTCTTAGCAAGGAGTCCACATTCCCCTTTTACTGTTGTAAGCTTTTTCCACAGAATTTAGTATAGAATTAATTTCCTCTACAGTAGGCAACTATTAGAATGAGAACTAATAATTTTTAAGAAGAAATTATGCGAACCCTTATTCCGGTTAGTAAAACATCTCCAAAATTAAGTGTCTATCTAATGGCGTTTTTTTTTGCATTTTCAAAAAGTTGTTTATTATATTAAATGAAATACTTTTTATGCATAACAAACTGATAAATCAAGGCAATTTGATATGATTATTGAAGAAAAATAGTATTATATTTTCTACAGAGATTATTTATTATTTCTGCTTTTTAGAATTAATTGGATGTCCTTTATTCATGAACATAATTATATTTAATCATAAGAATATAATTTTGAATAATCTTTACTTTTGTAATTCAATATTACAGATGTTATTGCATCACTCAAAGTAACCAACAAATTTGATAAGGTGACAAAAGTGTGTAAATTAATGAATATGAATTTGCTTGCTATGGTATATTCAAAATGTCTTGTAGATTCATGAAATTTCATTCTGTAACCTGTCAATTAGAAAGAAAAATATAATTTAAAATAGTTATTAAATAATTTGTTATTAGAGCTATAATTTTGATTCCTACATTATAAATCTAAGAAATCCATGCTTTTGATTCTAAAATCGAATAACCATATTTTTCGGGATCTTTGATCTTCAATATAAATAAATTTTGTAAAGGACTTATTTCCAAAGCCTTAATTTATTACACATGAATAAAGTTTATTATATATATTTTATTAGAAATTATATTGTTGTCTTATAATTCGATATATATAAATATAAAAAAATAATTAAATTTATTTTATATTTTAGATAATTTTTAAGTTTTATCAAAAGGATTATTAGGTTCAAGCGAAGAATTAGGAAGTGATTTTCAATTATAAAACCACATGAGGAATAAATTTTTGGACACAAATAAATTAGTAATATTCATGAGGAATGATTTAAAAGTATTAAAGTGAACAAAAATAATATTTAAACTAATATATTAAATGATATTGAAGGCCTTCTTGATTGGAAAAGACTCAAGTTTAGAAAAGAGGAGATTTGTTGAAGTAACATTATACAGAATGCTCCATAAAATGACAGCATTTTATGGAATCATTTGTATAGCGTTTATTAATTTATTCAATGTTTATAAACCCTGTTAACTCAATGTTCTTCTGCTTACCATATTTTTATTCTTTTCAGTTGCCTTAGCCCTTAGTTAAGGAGGAGGCTTCAGATACTGAGAAAGAATAAACCGTAGAAAATATTCAAGAACAAACGAATGCAAGCGGAATAGTGCGAGGAAAAGGATAGTTATGGTCTAAAGAGGAGGTGGACAACCTAGTAAAATACTATAAGTAGTATCATGGGGATTGGAAAAAGGTCATAAAACACTTGAAAGGAAGAAACATTTCCCAGTGCTCATAGAAGTTTCGAAAGCTTTAAGATTAAGATAAAAGAACAAAGAGTAAATGGTCGAGTCTGGAGGATAAAATACTGTTGGAAGGTTACGAGTAGTTTGGAAGACAATGGATTAAGATAGCTGAAAGTATTATGTCAAAATACTAAATATAGAACTTCCGGGAAGGACATCCAAGCAAGTCAGAGATAGATATGTAAATCAAATAAACCCAATACTCAATCATAAGGAGTGGAGCGAAGGAGAGGACTAAATAATAATGAAGGAATTTTAGCAGAATGGACCTCATTGGGCTTAGATAGCCAAGCAGCTGAACAACAGATCTGTAATTCTGAATTCTTAAATTCTAGGAAAATTAAGTCAAAAATCGTTTCTATTATACTATACACAAAAAGTATAATGGAGAGCTACATCCATATTTGAAAATTCAGAACTGATTCTCCTAATTTTCACTCTATTTTAATATAATACATATTTGAATATTTATAAAATATTTATTAAGCATGAATTAATTACTACGAGAAGAAGAGGTCCTCTAGTAGTAAAAGGAAGAGAATTTGAACAAGTAAGCAGAACAAGTCGAGCCAGAGAATGAGATACAATAGGATCAACAGGAACAAGATGATGGCGAGGTGAATGAAGGTGAATAACAGAGAATAGATTTTCAAGATCCTCCCTAGTAATAGACAGAGGATCAGCCAGAGAATAGATAATAGATTGTAAAACCGAATTCGAAAAGGTTTGATTCTCAAGAAGAGGTGAAGACCACTACTCAGAGAAAGGAGATGAATAAAAGAATGGAAACTGAAAAGTAATATGGATAAAAAACATCGTCAGAAAGGACATTTAAAACTTTAGAATAAATATATAGCAAACGAAATACTCAATCGTTGTTGCATTTCAGAACATCAGAATAATTCGATACAAAAATAGTACATGATTAAATTAATCGATCTCATTCAAAACAACAATATACATTTTCGAAAGCTGAAAGATTCTCGAAAGCTAAGGAAAGCTACTGCTCTATTTAATTTTATGACTCATAGTATTTTGTAATTTTATTGTAGAATCTAAACGCAATTGAATAAAAGGGCAGCTGCTCTCGGATATGGAAATAAATCTGATTTCACTAAGAAAGACAAATATATTCCAGGACCTACTGATTACAATGTCAAATTGGCTCTTAATCCAGGGATTAAATTTGGATATGGGAGAGATGAAACCATGATCAAAGGAATACATGGACGTCCAAATAGAAATCCCGCTCCTAATCTATATTAAGTAAAAGATATAGTAACAACCTTCAAATATTCAATGGGTGAAAGAACCTCAGCAAAACGTATAGCTATTTAAATTACTATCAGATATCTATCTCTAATCTACAACTCCAGCTCCTGGTCGATACGATGTGGGAGGTCTCACGGCAAAAGGAAATTACTTTTTTGGAAGATTCAAAAGCAGTGGAGCTCCTGTAATTTCTCCCTCGACCACTATCGCTAAAAGACTCAAGAGAATTCCAGGTCCTGGCACTTATGATCCTCCTGGAAATATTGGAGATCTCAGAACCTATTTACCATCATAGTATTCAACAAGAAGTGGTTTCAGATTCGGATTTTAGGATAGACAAACCTAAGATATCAAGAATAAATAATGTAAATTAGTTAAAAGATTAATTAAGTTCCTGGGCCTGGTACTTATTAATTACCATCAGAATTTGGTGACTATGAATACCCACCTCTTATATGATATAAATAATTAAAATCAGAATCTTATATTACACAAGGCTGCTACTATAATATCAACAAAATCAGCTAGTTGTTTAGTTAATGGTTCTTCCATTCCTAAGACTCCTTCACTTGGTGAGAGTAGTTGATCCTTCTCAACCTATACTTTTAGTTTACATTTTAAACAAGTCTAAAATAAATACACATTTTCGTTACTTCTATAACAGCAACTGTATTATTATTTTTATCTAATAAGGGTTGGGCGAATATTGGTAGAATAGACTTAATGTCTACTGCTTGATTGAAATGAATTGAGTTTTTTACATCATTTATTATCAATTTCTGTTTTGTATGAGCCACCATCCCGGCTAATCCATACTAAACATCGTATTTCTTAACATCTTGACCACTGTAATCAACTAGTTGACTATCTTCAAAGAAGTAAAACAAGACTTAAGAGAATCCAAATATTTAACTAAGACTCAATTACACTTTAGAAGAGAACTCCTATTTGCTCTAACTCTTCATAAGATTAGTAAATCCATCCATCATCATCCCTCTGTATTTCTATGTGATTAGCCATGATTAACTAAATCTAGTAGATTTGTTACTTATCAATTAATCTTTATAATAGATGCCCAAGTTAATGAGATGCCAAAATACCAAAGTATTCTTCGTCAAATGAAAAGAATTCATTCTCAGTATTGGTTACTTCCAAAACACCTCTGATAGCATCATTGGTTTCACAAAACAAAGGCAACAACAAAGCATTTCTAGCATAATCAGGTTATTCCTATTCATTTATTCTATACAACAATGGTTTCTAAGATGCTTAAGAGATATTCTAGGCAGATCTCAATTTAAAGACATCAGCCACTTGACCCTTATGTTATAAAGCTCTAATTTGATTGCCAGTTTCTAAATAGGTAAATATGGTTCCATTCATTCCATCAATTAACCATAGTCTCACCTATTCGCATCCAAATACTTGAGGTAATACTCTATTGACCTAGTGTATAATCTACAATTAATAAATGTATATTACATCTTCAAATAGGAGACATTTACTAAACTGTTCCATATAAAAGAAAAACTGATTCATCTTTTCAGCAAATTCTTTATAAGATAACAATTATTAGGCTATGATTTAGAATTGTTCTTTTTGGGATTCCACAGGGAGTGTAAAATTATGTTGACAAGTGGCTAACACACCTTTATCAGTTAGATCGTTTAATAAATGTTAATTGTTTAATCTTTAACTAACTACTCTGAAATCCAAAGTTTAAGGTATTCTAAAATTTACTAATAAATCAATGTCATCTTTTCTAAACACTGATTTTTCATCTTTGCCCATATCATCTTGATTTTTCTTCCTCATATTGTCAATTGTCTTCTATAAGCGATTAACTAGCTATGTGTATTAACTAAGTTTCCCTTGGACTCTCTCTAATTCTTGTTTCTTGTGTTCGAACTCTCTTTTTATTAATTCATTCTCTTTGAGTAATTCATTGAGACTGCTCCTCAATTTGTCATTGGGATTCAAGGCAGAATTAACATCGTTTTCCAATAAGAACTCAATTCTTTTTTCTAAGGCTGTGATCTTTTTGGAATTGGATGCATTTAATTTCCTTTCTTGTTTAAGTTGTTTCTATAATTTGGAATTCTCATCCAATAATTTATTTGTCTTCTAACTATGTACATCAATCACACTTTGCAGAGATTGATTTTTATCTGATAATTTCAGTTACTTCATTTATAATGATGAATACTTAACTAGCATAAGTTAATTAAAATACTATTCTTCCTCTCTATTTCCCTCATCTTGAATCCTAATTCAATTTCAGTCTTTGCAGATTGTTATAATGTTTAAGAAATGCTCTTTAACAATTCTTAAATCTTCTATAAAGTAGTTTGATTTTTTATGTTGTGGACAAACTCTTTGCCACCAATTACTGAGATCAATAGATCCAAAGTGCTGCATCTAGATTTGAGAATTTCATGCATTTCACGAATTCGCTGCATTTTAATAAATAGTTACTAAGAGTTCTTCATCCTATTGGTCTTGCTATCTATAACCATATGAATCCTGCTCTTCAGCAATGGTGATTGTGGGTCTCTCCGCACTTATCAATTTCCTAGTGTTTGAGTTTGTAGTACTCACTGAGTTGAATTGAGTACTCATCTTAGGCAATGCTTGCATATAAGACCTCGGAGTTCCCAATTGTTAAGGTCTTTGAAAGTCCTCTGAAAAGTGCTGACGATGATGCTGATTGAGGAGCAATCCCAACCCTTTGCGTGAAGCTTTTGCATTATCTGATGTTTACATTATTAATTTAATTACATTATAATACAATTATAAAGTATATATATATTTCTTTATATCATCATTCATTAAATTAATTATCAAATTTAATCAAAACTTTACCGATTTCTAGAATACAACAATTTATAAAAATCAAATAGAAATTCTTGATTTTCGAAAATTCTAGAGTTTCAACCTTTTAAATACCCTCACTTTGCCATCAGAACCAACAATTAATTTAAGCAATGTCAACAACTCAAAACAAAGAAGAACAATTCCACTTCAATGCAGATATCCAACAATTGATGGGACTCATCATTAACACATTCTATTCCAACAAGGAAATATTCCTCAGAGAACTAATTTCCAATGCTTCAGATGCACTAGATAAAATCAGATACAAGTCCATTACAGATCCAGACAGTGCAGGATTAAATGTTGAACCCAATTTCAAAATCAAAATCATTCCAGACAAAAACAACAACACCTTAACCATCCAAGACACCGGTATAGGTATGACCAGAGATGAATTAATCAATAATCTTGGTACAATTGCAAAATCTGGAACAAAGGCCTTCATGGAAGCACTCAATTCTGGAGCTGATATCTCTATGATTGGACAATTCGGTGTCGGGTTCTATTCAGCTTACCTAGTTGCAGACAAAGTAGTCGTGCTTTCAAAGGCAGTTGGTTAACAACAATACAAATGGGAATCTTAAGCTGGTGGAACATTCTTTATCTATGATGACAGTGAGAACCCCAATCAATTGACTAGGGGATCAGCTGTCATTCTCCATCTTAAATAAGACAACTTAGAGTTCTTAGAAGAAAAGAGACTCAAAGATTTAGTTAAGAAGCACTCAGAATTTATTGGGTTCCCTATTGAATTGCAAGTTGAAAAAACCCATGAGAAAGAGGTTAGTGATGATGAAGAAGATAATAAAGAGAAGAAGACTGAAGAAGGAGAAGTATAAGAGGAGAAGAACAAAGATGAGAAGAAGAAGAAAAAGAAGATCAAGGAGGTTACCACTGAGTTTGAATAGGTTAATAAGAATAAACCTTTATGGATGAAAAAGCCTGAAGAAGTCACAAAAGAGGAGTATGCCAATTTCTACAAATCTTTAACAAATGATTGGGAAGATCATTTGAGTGTTAAATAGTTTTCAGTTGAGGGTGGTCTGGAATTTAAGGCTGTCCTTTTCATCCCTAAAAGAGCACCTTTTGATTTATTTGAAACAAAAAAGAAAAAGAATAATATCAAATTATACGTTAGAAGAGTTTTTATTATGGACGATTGTGAAGAATTGATTCCAGAATACTTAGGATTTATTAAAGGCGTAGTTGATTCAGAAGACTTGCCATTAAATATTTCGAGAGAGTTCTTATAGCACAATAAGATTTTGAAGGTTATTAAAAAGAACATTACTAAAAAATGCATTGAAATGTTCTAAGAACTTTCAGAAAACACAGAGGATTATAAGAAATTCTATGAGTAGTTCTCCAAGAACCTCAAATTGGGTATTCATGAAGATTCTGCTAACAGAACTAAATTGGCTGAATTCTTAAGGTTCCACACTTCTAAGAGTGGAGAGGAACAAATCTCCTTAAAAGATTATATTAGTAAAATGAAGGAAGGGTAAAAGGATATCTATTTCATAACAGGAGAATCAAAGGCTTCTGTAGCTGCATCACCATTTGTTGAAAGCTTGAAGAAGAAAGACTATGAGGTAATTTATATGGTGGATCCTATTGATGAGTATGTTATTTAATAGTTGAAAGAATTCGATGGAAAGAAATTGAAGAATTGCAGCAAAGAAGGATTAGAATTAGATTAAACTGAAGATGAGAAGAAGAAATTTGAAGAACTCAAATCTTAATTTGAAGGTCTTTGTAAATTAATAAAAGATATCCTTGGTGATAAAATAGAGAAAGTGTAATTAGGATAAAGATTAGAGTAATCTCCTTGTGTTTTAGTAACTGGGGAATATGGATGGTCAGCTAATATGGAAAGAATCATGAAAGCTTAGGCATTAAGAGATCCATCAATGAGTAGTTACATGATGTCTAAGAAAACTCTAGAAATCAATGCATCTCATCCAATAATGACTGAATTGAAAAAGAAGGCAGATAAAGACAAGAGTGACAAAACTGTTAAAGATCTCATTTGGTTATTGTATGAGACAGCTTTATTGACATCAGGATTTAGTTTAGATGATCCAGCTCATTTTGCCAGTAGGATTCATAAGATGATTAAATTGGGGTTATCAATAGATGATGCAGCAATTGAAGAAGAGGATGAGAAATTGCCAAGCTTAGAAAAGAAGAGTGAGACTGCCAACACAGAGGCTACCAAATCAAAAATGGAAGAGGTAGATTGATTTTTATATATATATATAATTTAATAAATATTTACAAATTTAATAATCAATTCATCCAAATAATTTAAGATAGATATTCAGCTATTAATTTTCTGTATTGATAGAGTGCTTATTAATTACATTTGGTTTTCTTTAAGGTCTAATACACTTAACAACAAAAATTGAGTTTGATCATTATCAATAATTGTTCTCTGATTGAGATTGTTGAGAATGAATTATCAAAACTCCAAGGGTCAATTATTTAGATATAATATTGTTGTTGATTGATAATTAAGTTTAATGCAATGCAAGGAATTTTCATTTACGGAAATATTAGTCGTTTTATCATAGTTTATTATTGTTGCTATTTTTTTGTATTGATTAATTTTTATTATTCATCTTGATCTGATTCATCACTCAAACTCTCTTATTACTTTGCTTATTCCTATTGATTTTATTGAAGTTGTTGCTATATTTCAATTTACTTGGACTATAATCTTTAGTCAAAATGTCCCATAACCAATTTTGCAACATCTCTAACTAAATCAATTAACATGATGGAAGTTCTAATTATTCTAATAGCATAAACGAGACAATATCTTTAATAAGATTCGGTGGTGTTTATGCAATCAGTCAATGATAACAGATCAACCACAAATAACATAATCTGATAAAAATTAAAAGAGGATTTGAGCTTTGTCACTTTGCGAAATAAAGTTGATAACAAAAATGGAATCAAGCAAAACCTGAAAACCTATTGTAAACTCATTACCTACTTTTGTATATTTTCCAAATTCATAATTATATAATAGGTTCTTTTCCACTCGATATGCAAATTTAAGAACTCTCCCACTCATTTTAGTTTCTTCTCTTCCCACTTTTATAAATAGACACAATCCAACAGACAGCAAAAACTCAATTATTTAGAATACAAGTTAAAACATTAATTATTATTAATAATATTTTTATACTCATTATCCTTTTTTTAATTACAGTTCATATGCTTTAAGTTAATTTCGAAAGCCTTCATTTGGATATATAATTTCCCTCATCTCATCAACATATTTATAAGAATCCTTGTAACTCTTTTTCTAACTCCACATAATATATGCAATTACTATAGAAGCACTTCTTGAGATTCCAGCCATGCAATGTACTAATACATTGCCTTTCTATATTTGTATCAACAAATTTTTACTTTTAAGTTGTCTTCGATAAATTTATTTGTTTATTCAAAGTATTACATTATGTTTTCATCCTCACTATCATCAATATTGATGATTAGATGATTATCCAATTGGATATCTTCAAATTTTGAATATTCACAAATACTAATTGCAGCCTTAATTTAAATGATTTCTACTTTAACTTAGTTTTGTTTATACTTCGTCAATGAAGTTATGTTTCCTAAAAGTAAAGCTCCAGAATTATTCGTGGGTTCTAGGATTAAGGATGTTGATTCACGCATTTGGTAAATTGCTTAGGGTAATTACATCTGATTATAAATAAAAAAGATTTAAATTATAAATCAAATTTTATTGAAAGGAAATGGCAGCTAACAAATTTTGGAAAAAGAAGGAAGTAACAAATCATATCTAATCTCAAGTTATCAAGCTTGGAATAATAAGTAGGAGCAGCTTTGACATAAATTGAAACAACAATCACCGAAGTTAAAAATCTCAAAGTGTCATCAGTTGTTGACTACACTGCTAAAATTAATGCATAGAAGTAGGTCTATTTGGTATTGATCCCATATCCATGTTTGAGCATTTATAATAGGATTAGGTAAGGTGTTGATTTAATCGTAGCTCAAAATTATTACCTGAATTGGAAAAGAGAGTCAAAGCTACAATCTTGGTAGCTGCCAAAAGAACAATTGAAAGCAAATGGGTAAAGAGTCACAGATCTTAAACCAGACCAAACTCAAGAACACTCACATCTGTCTATGACGGCTTACTTGAAGATTTGATTAGTCCATCAGTCATTCTTGGAAGAAGAACAAGAGTCAGAGTCGATGGCACCAAGTTTTATAGAATGTAAATTACTTCTCAATAAAATCTTAAGATTCCTCGATGAAAGCGATTAAAAGGAATTAGAGCACAGACTTGATGCAATTAAAAATGTCTACAAAGTACTCACAACCAGAGATTTGGAATTTGAATTCAGAAGAGATGATACATTCTATCAAAAGAGAGGAGCAAAGAAAGTAGCCAAAAAATGATTATGATTATCATTAGTATAGTAAAATACATATAGTATATCGACCAATAAGATTTCAAATATATATATATATATGTTAATGTTTTTTTATTATTCATATCTCACTATTACTTAATTTCAAATTTTTCTAGTTCTCCAATGAATTGATTATAAAAATTAATTTATTGTGGAACAGCCCTTGCACTAACTATTGGCAATTCATAGGTTATCAACAAGTACACCCTCTTACCATTATGCTTTTTACAAATCCCCTAAACAATAATAATCCTTGCCATATTACTCTAGCCAATGAAATCCCTTCTCCTACATCGGCATCACCTCTTCTTCCATAAATCAGAGGGGGATGCCATCTATGAACTTCATAATGTTCTCCCAACAACACAAATCCTGCTCCTATTGTGTTGTCTCTTACATCATATGCCTTCAAGTATGGCGCTAACTCTTCCTTTGAGGCTGCGCAATTTTTATGAGTTATCACATTTAGATCTTCATCAAAAATGATAGCTTTAGCCCACTATTTAGTTATTGTAACTAATTTACTTCATCTTGCTTCTTTAATTCAGCCAACAATTATGCAGCGTCTAATCCTTAATCCATAATTAATTTAAAATAAAAATTATATTTAATTATCACATTATAATCTCAAACTATATATACAATCATAAGCAATCAATCAATCAACTCAATTTTTAAGAATATAGAATTATCAATTTTAATATCCAATTCATATAAAATCAATAGGGAATATAAAGGTTTAGTTAATATATATACTTAGTATAGTTAAAAAACAATTATTATTATTATTATCTACTTTGGATAATGTAAATGATATACATATAGATATATAACAATATAGAAGATAGTTATTAAATAAACCTTTTAATTATAATTTGAAGGTATTTTTTCTCAAAAATTATAATTATAATTATAATTTTATCGCAAAATAAGCATAAATAAAGGAAATTATGAAAGGACAGTAGAGTTCATCATTAAAACGGTAAATCCATATATCAAATTAGATTCTCAGATTTAATAAAATATCCTCCCTTGCAGACACTTATGATTATATTAAAAATAGTAAAACCGACTCTAGATTATTAAATACACCTAAAGTAATTTCAAAAGCAATAAACCACCCTCAATATAAATAAGACACATTTCTAGACTTGGCTTTTATGACTGTAACAAAACGAGACTCAAGATATGACATTAACAAGTTTCCTAATTTGGAAAAAAAAACAGATGTCTAAAGAGTGAAATGGTTTATTAAATAAAATAAATAGATAGATTAATAATAAAATTTTTTAGAATTCTTAAACTCAACAAAAGTATAATCTTCCAAAAATTTTGATTAACAAATTGTTGATCAATTAAGTTAAGTTTAGGATAAGAATTAATAAAATAATTGTAACAAGTATTTTGTTGTTAAAACACCAGCTAAACCTAGTTTAATTAAGAATAAAAATACCAGTAGATGTAATCATATTTATTTAGAAAGAACTAATCAGTATTAGCTCAACTATCAATGGAGTTAAGAAAAAAGAATTTACTAAAAACATGAATTTAGAATGTACTATATAAATATAAGTTAAATAGAATTTATTGAGAAAAATAATGAATTAAGAAGACATTGTTAAACTTAATAAGAGTAGTAGTATACATAAAATTCCATATTGGAATAATTGCAAATTCAAAACATTCAACACATAAATTTATATTCATCCGTCAAAAGAGGTATAAAAAATGATGTTTTGCATAATCAATATAAAACCGAAATTTAAGATTTAATTGAAGTTAACAATGAATGCTCTGCTTAGGAATATGATACTATTTAAGAATTGAAAAAAAAGTCAATTTTTCAAAATCCTTTCTCCAATACCCATCATTATGAAATTAATCAGTTCAATAAATAGGTTGTTGAACATGAACCAAAAGTTATTTAGTAAAACGAAAACGAATAAAATTTAATTATTTAAAAAAGAAAAAATAAAATCTAAAGAGTATTATTGTAAATAACTTTATTTTTACATTGGATGATTGAACATAAATTAAAATACGAAGATATTATCAGTTAATAGGTTTTTTAAACAAAACCTTATTAAAGCGTTAATTCTAAGCAATGCTTTTAAAAAGTAAAAGCTAATGATATAGAAGTTGTCAAATCATTTATTACATCAAATAGATATTTAGTTTATGATTATGATAATTTTAAGTTATCCATGCTTCATCATGCAGTTATTAGAGATTATCCAGATATGGCAATCTTAATTTTGTAAAATTATGCTGAAGTTAATAGTAAAGACATTGTAATATTTCTATTTAATTATAGTAAGGTAGAACACCCTTATTTTATGCTATTAGAGGCAAATGCAATTAGTGTGTTTGCATCTTATTATAATTCAAAGCCTCCCCATGGGGAAATTCTAAAAATAATTATGACAAGTATTTAGACTTATTAGATCCAAAAGTCAGAGATCTATACAAAAAAGCAAAGACTGTATAAATTTGAATAATAGATTAGATTCATCTTCGTATGCAAATACTCAATGCTTCTAAAAGGGAACATTATTGGTCATAATAAAAATTAATGTTTATATATAAATGATTATTCTGTATTTTAATTCTATTTTCTCTCATTCTCAAAAAATTGGATTAAATTACCAAATTTAAATCATACATAATTGTTATTAGTTTTAAGAATAAATTAGATTCAGAGAAATAAAAGATATTATAAGAATTAAATAAGTTGGATTAATATATAGAATTCAATTTTTTTCTGATTTCTCTAAGTTTTCTTGCTTGCATTTTCTTAATAAATTGCTAACAGTAACATCGATAGAAGCTACGAGTTTCTAATTAATTTCATTATTTTGATCTGATAATATATGCAAGATAGCATCTTAGGTCATTCCTTATTATTTTATTTATTGATCACTATTTTATTTTACATCAAATGATTAAGCTTTTTAAAGGATATTTTTGGATTTTTCGAAAAGGATAAGTTAATTATCATTAAAAAGGATATGCTTCAATTTTTCAACATCTTATAATCTCTTTAATATATTAAATACATTTAGTTGACTGCTTATTTCTTAATGAGCCTCCCTGAATTTAATTATATTTTCATCATCCTAAAATTACTATAAGTATTACTTTAGTGACAATACACCTCAATGCTTAAAATGCATTTAAATATCCAAATTTATATTTTTTATTTTTTCGAAATAAAGTTTTTTGTATATATAAAACGTATGTTTAAAGGATTGTTTTGAATGATTTATCCTTTAAATCTTAGTTTTTACAAATATTATCCTTTATCGATAATGTCTTATTAGTTACAATTTATTCATTATATATTTAAACTTATTCTATTTATCTCTACAAAGGAGAACCTGGCTTTTCATTTTTGTTTAAAGAAGAATCCTCCTCTTATTGTTAAACGTCCTAATATTCATACAGCGAATTTATAAGCTCAAGTAGAAGACTAATTTTATTAATAGGTTTTGAAATAATGTAAAAGAGACAAAACAATACCTACCACAAACCTCCTAATTCTGCTAAAATTTCTTAGATCTTTGGATATGTCCTATAGTCTATATATTCAGTTGTGTCTAGTCTAATTATTACACTCATAATCAAATCACTTTGATTCAAATCTAACATTTCTGTATGTCTACCATATCTCAAAGTTTTTTCATATTCCAAATCAGTTTAAATTAAACCAACATCTGTAATCGTAGTCAAAGGTTCTAAGTATATTGAAATCTCCTTGTATATATTGTTTGAGATTGTTGTGAAGAGATCTTACCCTTTTGGTTAATAGGGAGAATTAGGATTTTTTAAATTTGTAGTGTAAGATGAGATTTAAAATGAAAAATAATTCTGCTTTAATTTCTCCTCTATCTCCTTCTAGCTTTTACAAGGTTTGCTTTTTTGGGTTTATTCAGTACAAGTGTTAATTTACATTGCTATGAATTCAAATTTTGGAGCATCAAAGGTACCTTGAATTTAAATATTAGGAATTTAATTCCAATCAATACAATAATTATTTGGTAAATCAATATGAGAAAAATATTCTTTTAGTTCTTCTTATTGAATCAAATTCTAATTACATTCTACGAGAGGTAGTTCTTGCTTCTCAAAAACATCTATTTTTTATCCATTTGATTCTTTAACAATCTTCTTTACTAAATAAGCATTAACAACATAAACTGATTCATCTATGTATGTGTTGTATGTTGAATTCTGAAAGGCCATGGTCATTGTGAAGTTAAAAGGAGTTAAAGTGTACAACTCAGGTTAAGAATGATAAATTTCTGAACTTAATGAGGAGGGATTGCTTTTGTCAAATAATGTAACTAATTTTTGATAAAATAGATTTGAGAATAATGCCAACAATAAGAGTGTTAGAAATGACCCATATAAGGTTTAGTGATATACCTTTTTATCAACTAATAATTATAATGGTTGTGCGAACAAATCAAACTATTTTATTCCTTCTAAGAAGATCTTATTCTTTTGCATTAATATCAATAATTTATCAATAAATTAATTAATATAAGAGAACTTCTTAGTTGAGTATATTATTTGATAAATCAATTCTCATAAATATTTAATAATGTCATAATTGTATTAAATATAAAAAATTATGAAATCAATTTTAATTATGTAACAACTTATCACATATTGCACTAAATTAAAATGCTAATTTCCCTCTTTAAAAATTAAAACCTTACTTAATTTTATTGATTGCATTATTAGAATAGGGTGAATTAAACATTACTTTTAAATTGCAATGTCAACAGGTTTGGGGGTAACCAATAACTTTGATTTATATAAATTGACTGATATAAATGGTTTTTAATATTTTAAATAATTACTTACCTAAATTTCAACCCTATGGAAAAGAAGATAATTGAATTCATTTAGGATTGTCAAACTAATATTGGAAATTGCTAAGATCTTTCTTAAATGGAAGAAATAGTTCATCAACTTATCTCAATTGTTTGTATGAGTTATTATAATATTCCAAGACTTTCTTATTGAATAAGGACAATAAACTTTTGAAGAGGAAAAATAAAAATATTAGACTCTAAATTAGGAGTTTTTAAACTTATAAGCACTCTACAAAGAATCATTACAGGAAATTGAGGCACTCAAAGTCCACCATAAATAAGATGTGGAGGAATTCTCAATAATAGAGGATAGATTGATAAAATAAGAATACTTCATTGAAAAGGAGAAGGATGAATAACTTTATAATATGAAATCAAGCACTAATGAAATGATGCAATCGTTGAGAATTCAATAATTTTAATTAGAAAATGTAAAAAAATAAAATGAAGACCAGTAAATGGAGATAAAGGAACTAAAAAAGCTATTAATATAACAAAAATAGTCCAATATTGAACCTGCCGCTGTTCAAGAAGAATCTAAACTACAAACCTAATTAATCCTTAAGGGAAACATAAATAGTAGATCTTCGTGTGGAAGTGTGATGGTAAAATAGTAAGGAAGCTGCTCTAGCATAGAATTAAATCAACAATCTAATTAAAAAGAAAATGTATAAACAGAAAATTGCTCTTAAACCATTCTATGTGGAAGTAGTCTTAAAGAAGCGGGTCATCTTTTGAAATATACTCATTGTCATTCTAAAAATTAAAGCATAAATTGGGTTAAGTTAGCCACAATTGCTTAAACTCAACAATCCATATCCAACAGTGACGATGAAGATTCTGTCTGCTAAAAATCTGTTAGGAGGTTATCAAAAGATTTGAGCACTGGATACGAGCCGTTATTATTTGGCAGCAGAAACCCTTACAAAGACTATTATTCTTTGGTATTTTAGATGAATATTTCTTAGATAAGCCAATCAGTCAAATTGAACCTAAATCAGACAAAATATTATGTTGTTAATGTGGACATGCTTTACGATTAATTTTTGGCGGAAGGTGTTCCATTCCATAAATGGTATAACAAAATAAAAGATTATATTTTAAGATAAGCTTAATGATTCACCTAAAATTTTTGTATTTTTATTATGAAGAAATTCAATTATTTAATATTCATTTTTACTTAGATTTTATATCTTCTTCATCAAAGATGGATGAAAATAATTAATTTTCAAATTATTTAAAATATCCAAAATTCTCTTTTACAGAAACAGCCTAAATATATAAATTAGTTTTTACTAAGTCTTGGGATTATAATACATTGAAGAGAAAGTTTTTAACATAGATTTTTAAGTTGAATTCCTAATCTACAAAATTATCGTCAAACCAAAATTAATACTAAAAGTTAATAATAATATGGAATACTTCTATCCAATAATCTCTCTAATCATCTGGTTCCACTGTTTAAATATCATCGACTAATTATTAAATTTCCTCTTAAGTTGGCACTCTGCACTCATATAATATTATAGTAATAAGTAAAGTTTGATAGCTAAATCTAACATTCTGATAACAACCCAAATTGGCAATCTTATTTATATTTATTTTGAATTAAGATAGGAAGTTAGATCTTCTTCTTTAGAAAGATTCGTATATCTCCAAAGGAATCCAGGCTGAATCACTAAGAGATTTAACTTCCTCATAGAATTGGATTGCCTATCTCCATTTCTCAGATTCAGGAATTAAGTGTTACTACATATAAACCATTTTGAAGAACTCAGAAATCGGACTAGGCTCAGGTATTGTCAATATGGCGGGTTATCTATTTTCAATTTGTTGTTTAAGATAATTAATTGATTCAAAACAAAAGTCATTTTCGCTAAGGCTAGATTACTAATATTTACTTTTTAATTCCACAAATAATCCAGTCGTCAATTCTCGAATATAAAATGTCCTCCATCAATAACATTTCTGTCATTTTACTGTGAGCCACGCTTCTAATGATCTGACCCCTTTTATATGCAATTTCTTTTTGGATTTTAATAATTAATGATTCTTCTCCTTAAGTAATTTTATCAAGGCAATCAAAGTAATAGGAAATAAGTACTTCCAGTTAGGGAAATTTGTATCCATCAATTAATTACGATTATGGGGGTTCAAGAATAAAATGCTCGCTCCAAGGTCTTCCAAGCAATTGAATTTCAGTTAATAAATTTGTTTCAGTTTATAGAAGCATAAGGACATGCTACATAAATTATTAAATTTAAATAGCTACAAACCTATCCTTCTTCAACTTCTTTACAAAATCTAATGCTTAATTTTTCTTTTAATTTAAAATATCCCACAACTATTCATAGGTTTTTTGTAAATGATCCTTTAATTATTGTTTGGCATTTTTTTATTTGGATAAATCATCATTCTCCTATAAGAATTTGTTATAGTTTAATTAAAATTCATGCATTAATTTTAATTTGTTATCAGGACTCTCGAAGAATTCAATAAAGCTTTTTTGAGTTTATAAGAATATTTGTTAGCATTTTTTCCTTTAATGACTCATTCTCCTTATGTATATCGTACTTTCTCTGATGTAGGTATTAGAAATTTCATCCCATTATTTTAAAATCCCCTTGAGTTAATCTTAACTTAAAAATTCACTTTAAGCATCCTTTTATCTTGATGCTAATTGAGATCTACCTCTCTCAGTGGATTATTTAGCATCAAGGAGGCTCTGCTTATCTTATAATATTTATGCCTATTATTCTGGATTCTATTCTTCTACCTTTTCCAAATCTTGATTCTCTTAACTTTAGATTTATTAAGATTATTATTCTTATTATAATTCTGAAGCCAAGACTTCTTCAGCTATTTGATTTAAGTACTCAAAATTATGAGTGAGCACTTTGTTAATTAAACTATCGATTGACTTTGCAACTTCGAATCCTTTACCTGCAATTTTTGTATTATGTAATTACTTAAAATCTTCTTCAAATCCAAATTATTCGCACCAATCAATTAATTTAGGCAAATTTTCATTAAATTATTGAAAATCTTTTTATAACTTTCTAATATTAAATGTAAATTTACTCTTCAGTTTCAGTATCTATTTTTAATAGTTTATCTGGCTTGATTTCTGGGGGAGGTGGATTTTCTTCTAAATTGTAGACTGTCTCTGTAAGTGGATCTATTCTTCTATTTTACATCCTTTAAACTCTTTACTCATATGGAGTATCCAGATTAATGATTATATCTATTCCTGATTATTAAATTTTATTGGATTCTTCTTATGTAGGTATATCTAACAATTCTTGAAACTTCTTTTTCTTTTCTTCTGCTATTTAATTTAGCCTTTCTTCATATGGAATATAACCTGTTAATTATTCTTCAAGCATTTTAGCCTAATTGGCATTTTCTGGAAATCCAATCATAACCCACCCTTTGGTATAATAAAATTGTTTGGAATTCATATATTCTTTAATTAAATCTTCTTAAGTGGGTCCGGTATTCTGAGGGGCATCCTTTTTGCCAGGTTTCTTTGAGGTTTTTTTAACTTCTTCAACAACTGGCTGTTAATCTTTCTTTAGTTGAATTTCTTTTGCTTCCTTCATTTCTTGTGCAACTTATAATGGGGTTCTCTAACCAAAGGTCTGATTCAATTTAATTAAAATTCCCTTTAATAATAATTCATCTGGGATCACTGAATCTTTATATTCATTAATTTACAATCCATATTCCTTCAATTCTGGATTTTCCACAATAGGAACTTCAACTACTTTTTTTGTATCCTTTTTTTTCTTTGGATCTTCTATTGGAGGAAAAGCAAGTTTCAAGGATTCTTTTATTATTGATTCTATATCTATAATTTCTAATCCGTATTTTTAATTTAAATATTTGGCAGTAGTTTTCCTACCACTAAATTTACCTCCAATTAATGATATTTTAAGTGGTAGATAGTAATTGATACCCTCTTTTAATGGTTACATAGGATACAATTCATCTGTTATTTCGAATAGAAATTCAGCCAATGAAATATTTGCCATCAATTGGCTATCATTTTAAGTAGACTTCCAATCTTTGACTGCATGATAATATTCAACAAAATCCTAAGTAATGGCTGCAGCTATATTATCATGAATTGGTTTTATCTATGATAATTCGCTTTGCCATTCCTCAATAAATTTATTCCAAACCTTTTTATCTAATGTCAAAGGCTTTCCATTTTGTTCTACACTCTCATTCATTTTTAAATAACATTTATCAGCCAAATCTAAGATTGTCAATATTAATGGTTGCATTTATTGAACATGTTTCTATCTCTACTACACTTTCCTATTGTAATTCTACTCCATATATTAAACTTAAAGTATTCTCCACTCCTTTTATCTTTACAATCTAACTTCCTATTCTCTTGCCTTAGCTTCACTTCTTAATTACTCAAAAAACGTTTCTCTTTATTCCTCTGAAGCTTGGCACATCAATGTTCTTTCATTAAATTATAATTTCCCTCTCAATTTCTCTTTCAATCTTATGGCAGCCTCTTAATTAGCTATTTTTCCATATTCTGAGAATCTATCCACTAATTCATCCAATTTTTTCTTAGCTTCCACTAACTCTTACTATTTTAACTATTCAACTAACATTTTATTTCTTCGCTTCTGTCTTGCCTTTCTAGCTTCTTCAGTCTTATGTGTCCTTTCTCTTATTTTCATCATTGTTGCAACTGCTGAAAATTTAGCCTTTTCAGGTACTGGCTTTTTTGAAGGATCCTTTTCAATTTCTATGCCTTATCTGATACAAGTTTACAAAAATAGATATATATTGTTGTCCATGGCCTTTTAATCATCCTTCTTCTTTTAATTAATTTCAGCGACCAATCTTCCAGTCATCATTTCGTTAAATTTCGTCTCTTTTTCAATCCTATTGTGTTTAACTGCTTCTGTACTCCTCCAGAATTCATAAATTTTTTTATCCTACTCTTTGATAAATTCATGATTTGCTCTAATCTTCTCCAATTCATTCTCTCTCAATGATGATAACCATTATCTCTCCTTTTCTTCATCCCTCTACTTTAATTTCACTGCCTGAATCTCATGGATTAGTTTTTCATCTCTGAATCTGTGTAAACCCTCCTCAATAGACTTTAATTTCTTTGGCAATGAGTTTATGAACTTCTCTTCATAACTAAAAATTGATATAACAGTTTCATAATTTACTTATTCACCAAGGATTGAACTTATTTTTTATCTGCTACTTTCAACGTTTTAGTCAATTCATTCAAAACATCCTTTGTCTCTTTACGAGCTATCGAAAGTAATGAATTAACTGCAATTGGCTTAGCATATGATTTGATTGCTTTCAAATATTCTTCAATTTACGATTAACCTTTTTCAACTTTTGGTTCAATTCCTACTAATTTTATAATGTGCTTTTTAACTATCTTAATATTCTTTTGCGTAGAATATTCATCAAATTTATTTGTTAAGATTTTCTTAAGAGGATTTCCTGTTTTATAAAGCACTTCCTAAAAATAAAACCAATTCTAAAATTATTTCTCAATATCAAGAATTGCTGGTTAAAGCTTGATTTCCTTATTCAACCACCTAATTAATTCAGGATCTCCATATATTGATTTCATTTAATATAAAATAAATAAATTATATAGTATAAAACTTATTATTTACTTATTTAAATTTGTATTATTACCTTCATAAATCTCTAGCAAAATAAGCTACATGTACTAAATAATGATACCTCTTTATTAAATAAGTACGATTGACAGAGGGGTCTTCAATTTTTCACATTATTCTAATGATGAGGAGTGATGTAATTAATAATAGCATATATGCTAGTTTATGACAGGCATATATAATTTATATAGATATGAAAGCATTTAATTTATCCTATTTGAAGATATATTAGATAAGGTGATAGTTGATATTAGAGAAATACAAATAACTACAATCAAAATTAAAACCAAGGATGAGCAATCACATCTTCCAGGTTAGGTCTTTTATATGGATTTTATTGCATCATTTAAGCTGCTATTTCCTAGGTTTCGTTGTTATTTATCAATTCCAATAAAATTACTCCTAAACTGTAAACTTCAGAAGGGTAGGGGAGGTAGGATTATCCGTCAACAATTTCTGGAGCAACATAAGGTTTAGTTCCAAAGAATTCAGCAAATTTCTACTTGCCATTTGTGACTGCACCAAAGGCAAAATCAATGAGTATAGGCTCATTATTCTAGATCAGCACATTGTTTAGGTTTAAATCTCTATGAACTACTTCTAATTCGTGGATCTTTTACACAGCTAATATATAGATTGAATTTTTGTACTTTATAAAAGTTTGTAGTAGAATTATTTAATAATTCTTTCACTATTTTTATCCAAGGGTTATGCATCAATGTAGTCTAAGATAAGGAAATAGTTGTTTAGAGTTTTCGTCCTTCTAGTACTATTATCAATGGTTGTGTAGAATCCGAACCCGATTAATTAAACTACATTTGAGCAACCTTTTAATTTGGTCAGGATAGTAATTTCGGTATCATATGTCTTTCTGCATTCGGATTAAGATAAATTCTTAATTGATAACTTCTTCACGGCTACTATTCTATTGGTTTAAATGTGTTTATATAGATCAACTCTATGATAATAGATTAAAAAGCCTTACGTTGAAGAATATCCTGATCCAAGATTTTTAATATATTCGAAGTCATCTAATGATTAAAGTTCTGGAAAAAGCATGGTTTAGGTTATTTTTAATATGTTTTTATTATAATTATTTAAAAATTAAACATAAATTTCTATTTTTATTCACATTTAGTGCGTACTAATATAAAATATCAGCAATAATTCGTAATTAATATCGTTGATCATTTTAATTCTGATTAAATTTTTTAAAAACTAATATTAAATATTAAATAATCTTCATCCTTTTAATAGAAAATGCGTCAGTGCAAGAGCTTTAGAAAATTGGAAATTATAATAGCTTTCATTTAAAATGAAAATAATGTTCATTTTAAATGAAAACTATATTTAATAGATGCTAATCAACTTGAAATGATTAAAATGCAATTAGTTTTAACGATATAAAATTTATATATTAATTAAATTAGTATAGAATATCAAAATGGATTCTTAATAGGATGTTGAATGTGATCAATGCTAGACAGTCCCAGAGACTTATGTAAAATTGGAATGCGATCATAAATTTTGTTTGATATGTTTGGCCTACAATTACTTATAAATTCAACAAGAGAAGTAGAATCTAGAAGAACTTGAAAGAGTGGCAGTGTGTTTCAAATGCAATCAACTGACTAAACTTGATTAAGATACAGTTGAAGCCCTTCATATGGTCATCAAGGAAATTATAGTTCCGTTAATTGAATAAAATTAAATTAACCCAAAATTGAATAACGATAGCGAAGTGGTTGAAGTGATTGATGATTTACGTGATTTGGGAGTAGAAAGTGTTGGATCTCAACATTAATCGAATCAAAAGAATGCTATGGCCAACGAAAGACTATAATTGTATTTAGAAAGATTAGAAAAGAGTTTTAAATCTAAGTTCGAAGCCATCAAGGATATTTAAGATTAGAAACACTAATTTCAATCAAAATGCAAATAAACTAAGGATGAAATCAATAGTTAATATTAGCAGGTAAATATTACTAAATTATCAATAGTTTATATTGAGTTTGGAATAAAAGAAAAATTAGACTTTTAATGATATAAACAGTCTTGAGATGATTCAGTTATTGGAAATTCAGAAATAAGAAAAGGATCTTGAATAACAAATATAGTAAATGGCATAGTTTCAAGAAGAGATCAACTCTCTTATCTATCAGAATTTGAACAAGACTTAAGAAGATATTAGCTAATTATTAATCGATATAGAAAAGGCTCTAAATGCTCCATCTTCTTCTCTCTAAATTGTAATGATTATATTTATAACATTATAGAAATCTTCAATATTAACTACACAGAGACAATTACTTAAATTATCAACAAATGCCTAGTCCTAGTTATGTGCCACTGTACCTAATTTGTTATAAGATTTCTCGCAATCCCTAAAATAGAAAGATATATTCATGAGGGATCGTAATTCAGATGAGAAACCTTTGGATCCAAAACTCAATGTTCATTTTGAAAGACAGGATCGACTTAGCAAGTTTAGTCCTATTAAATCGGAGAAGCTTAATGAATTATGGCCAAAAAATGATAAACCTCATCTATCCTTGGAAAAGAATACGATTAGAGAGAGTAAAGATCTCCACGAGTTTAAGGATTATAGAGAGAAAGAAAAGGATAAAAAAAATTAAAAGGTTTTGACACAAGAGAGTGTGAATGCTAATCCTAAATCAAAATTCAAATATGAAGATAGTGACGAGAAGAGTAGGAATAATAATTCTAAGAAACTATTTGATAGTTAGATATCTTAAAAGAATAATTTAGTAAGCAAATGGAAGGATTAATTATTCGATGTTTTCGATAAAAAAAATTTGAAACAATCAGCAGAATCTCCTAAAGTACCAGAAAAACCCAATTATGCTTCTCGTGATGTTCCTTATCAAAGAGAACCCTCTACTCATTGTCCAAGAGAGAACAAAAACTCATAAGAAAAGATGACCACAAAATAGCAGTTGATAAATCGAGCTTGTACAATCCATGATGTGTTAAATATGCAATATCAAAATTTCATGACCTAAAAAGAAAACCTAATAAGAAGATGATTAATCAAATTATTCTATATAACTTTTAAAAAGAATTGTATATTTCAAAAAACTAAATTTCCAAAATAAAATTTATTATATTTATTTAGTTACAATTTCAAAACTGTTAAGAGGGGTAAGATATGCTCTGGTAGGTTTAATATAACTCCAGAAAGACAAATCGATAAAAAGTCCTGCATCTACATGTTATTAGAGATGACACCTAGATAAAACTTCTTAGAGGTGCCTAACCTACACAATCTGAGTGATTGAAAATTCATCATTTTAAATTACTTCTATATATTTTAATAAATAAGATAACTGTAATTCTTATTGTACTAGATGGATTATAATAATCTGATGTATTGCTATATACAATTCATTATAATTTAAAGTCACTTACTAATTCTTAAAATGAATCAAAAACATTATGGAAATGATAGCAATTATTTCTATAATATTGTTTACTTAATTAACTTAAATTCTATTAATTTTTTTAGTTTATATTAAGTATTTAATTGCCTTCAGCTATTGAAAAAACGATTTTCTCTGCTTGTGCTTCTGTTTCTTAGAAGAGACCAGAACCTACGACTAGAGCTTGTGTGTACTTTTGGTGCTACTTTGTTACTGATAATTTGGGTTGTGCCAAATAAAAATGGCGTTCTAATAGTTTTCTGTTATTAATCATGTAAACTTTGTTTTTCCTTTATACTATTTGAAATAAACTATTTATGTTGATATAATAAAATTTTCGAGTAATATTTATTATTAAATTATTCAGTCTCCTTTACTAAAAAATGGGAGTATGTACATCTACCAATCCAAATGGTCATATGATTAATACAATTTACTAATCGAAGAATTAGGAATAAGTTTAAGATAGTTTTGAACCTCCATGTTGGGAGGAAGAACAAATTGGTGGAGAGAGTCCAAATTCAGAGATATGTTTATTAGACACAGACGAGCTACATTAAAATTCTGAAAAAGCAACATAGGAACAATGCTAAAGGGAGTTTGTAAATAGAATAGTCAGTGTGCATGACTCACCAAATTCAAAAAGATACTATTTTGTTTATGATAAATTATACAATGTAAAACGAAAGGTACCAAAGCTAAAAAGTATCAACTAAAGTACTTTGATTCAAAAACGTAGGTAATTAATACTTTGATTTATATAAAAAATATGTTTATTGTAACATCTCTTTGTTTCTCTTGATCAGTAACTTTTCCATAATTCAAAGTCATTATATATATCAAATAAAATGTAAAAACTAATTTCATGAATTTTATCATGTGGTTTAAAAAAATATATATAGTAAATTCAACCATTAATGAATGGACTATCTGTATGTTCTAAAACCTATTCAGAAGTGTGATTTATGAATTATTATTAGCATTTACTTGTTGATTTACACATTAAAGAAAAATGAATACATTTTAGTACATATAATTATTTAATTAATATGAGATTGTTGGTTCACAATTTACTTATGTGTAACAAATGTGATAAGAACAATTATCCTCTTAAAATAGAAGTCAATAAAAGCGTAATAATGGAATTAGAATTCAAAAAAGACGCAATTTTAAAATTAATTCCAAAACTTGATTTTGAAGTATTATCTAATACAGTCAGAGAAGTAAAAGACTGATTTATCATGTAGCTTGGATTCAAGTAATTCCCTAAGCAAATTCCTCCAAATGTGGATTAAGACTTAGTCTTTTTAAAAGACTTGCATCGAGTTTTATTTGAGGTAATAATTTAAAGAAAGAATTTTTTATAGACCCACATTATGGATGGCCAATTGACTTGCCCTAATCCATCATGTAAAAGAAATTATCCAATCACAAATGGAATACCTAATATGATCCTTACAGAAGATGAACAATGATATAAATTGGTAATTTGTCAATAATAATAATTCTCACTTATTGAATATAATTCAATTCCCTTATAATTAAGATGGGTTTTATATTTTGCAATTCATTCTACTTTGAGCTTTTCTTGTTATTAATTATTCTTATTGAACAGCCTCTTAACTGAAATATCTTACAAAGCTATAAGATAAACATCTTCTTCCAAAGATTAAAACCTACCGAACAATAAGATCTACAATTAGTTAATCGCTTTGATCCATTGAAGTATATCAAGCCGAGGGACTTGACAAGGATGATGTCTTTAAAATCAATGATTATTTTGAAAATTTTGATTTTGATGTTGATAAGAGTGGTCTCTATCTTATAATAAATTTCATAAAATCTCTTTTTAGAAAAATGAATTGAAAAATGCATTGTGCCCTTCAATTTGAAAAAGAGCATTGAGGACATGGTTAATATAATTCAAAATCTTAATTAAGGTGGATCAAGGCAAGTTAATTTTGATATTTTAATGGTAATTTTTATTTAATTCCAAGTTCTATTAGAGGATGATGAAGAGTTGAGAGAGTTGTACAAATAATATTGATTTGGTAAAAAAGTAAAAGTATATTTGAAGATTCAAAAGAATTAATGATTAATTTCTGAAAGATACACTCTCCAAGAGTTCAGAGAAATGGATTAGTATGCAAAAATTAACAATTACGGTACCTTAAGTTGAGATTAATTCAAGAATTTTTGTACAAAATAGAGAGCGAACAATAAAAAATAAAAGAATAAATAAAGAATAATTTTAATATCACATTTTATTTTCTTCACTGGAATATATTTCACTAATCTCTTTAAATTTATTTATATTTCTAAAATCTTTATATAAATTTCTCATTACTGTTATTTCTCAATATACAATAATACCATAATTGGTAGTTCCCTTTTAGATATCAATCCATGATATTCATTTCTACACTTTTATATGTGATATTGTTTGCAATATTATTTGAGAATTGGTTGAATTGTTATTAGATATTAAGATAAAAATAAGTGTAATTTAAAACTCTCTCATTTTAAAATAAAATTAATATGCAATAATAATAGGTGGTTCTGAATTTTGAATATCTAAGACCAGCTTAATATTTAGTTGATGCAATAGTGCATGATCGTATGAATACTTTTAATTGATTTAGCATAGTACATAAAGAGAAAGGAAAGATCAAAAAGTTAGAGAAGAATTTGGGAGAATGTGCCGTATGATGCTTATGAAAAGGAAAAGATGGCAGATTTCATGAAAATAATCGCAAAGAATAAAATATAATTACCTGCAGAGTAAAATAAATTAATATCTTCTTAATAGTTGGCAGGACTGTGATACATTGAAGATGGTGTATTGTGGGAAATTCAAAGATAAGAATTACTTAAAAGTCTTACAATCTCATTTAGCATGGAGAGCAGTCCCAAACAACTTCTAACCTACTGATATCAATGTCGCATTTTTACAAAAAGGCATAGTTTACACCTTTGGAAGAGATAAATAGCAAAGACCAATCATAATAATGAATCTTGAATTAGTCAATTTGAAATAGGTGAATAATAAACATAATTTTAGTTTAATGAAGAGGTCTATATCAATGCATTAAGCTACTATTTTGGAATAATAAAGAAAAATTGTTTTATTCCAGGAAAGATCGAAAACTGGGTTTTCATAATGGATACAAAAAAATTAGGACTTTCTAAATTTCCATTTAAAGTATTAATTTCAATATCTATATGATAGGCAATTTAAATTGCAACAAAGACAATGCAAGTGAATTTTTGTGGTTGTTTGGACAAATTATATTTGTTAAATCCTTCAAGTTCTTTGAGTTTTTCATGGAAAATGGTTTCAGGTATTTAAATTTGGATTATTCAAAGCGGTTGCTGATGCTGATACTATGGAAAAAATACAAATGTTGAAGCCAAATGAATATGCAAAAATTTAAGAGCGCATTCCTGCAAATTAATTAGAGGAATAATATGGAGGAAAAGTAGCTAATTTGACGAAATTCTGGTAATTATTGATTGTAAGATTAGGCCACCTATTAACATAGAAATTCCAGGGGGATACACTGAGGAAATTCTGAAAGCAGTAGAATCTATGAAAACAGCTGACATAGTAATTCAAGCAGAAGTACCTGCTTCAGAAGAGGACGAATTGAAATTATAGGAACAGATGGCAAAAATTCAAATTAAGAAAGAAGACGACGATGATGATTGATAAAATGTTTAATACATTCAATAAATATAATATTAATATGAGTTTCTTTAGGTCCAAAAAGATGAGATATTATAGTTTAGTAATTCCAAGAGAAAGTGCCTGGGTTGTGATGAATGAATTAGCAAGATTAGGATAATTGCATTTTGTAGATTATGATCCACAATTACCTATGATTAATAGACCCTTTGCTAATTATGTTAAAAGGTATCAATAAAATTAATCCATATATAAGATGTGATGATTCACTTTTTAAATTGAGTTGTCTAGAGCTACTCCTAAAGGAATTCAAAAAAGATCTTAATTATTGTGAAAACGTAGACGGTTTGCTGGATCACTTCCAAGAAGTTCAATACAATCGAATGAAGCCAGGTCATACGTATTTTGATGAATTGGAGTCAGAAATAGATCAAAAAAAAATATAAATCCAAGAGTAATCTGCTAATTTGCATAATATATTGGATAGAGTGAATGTAATAACAGAATAATAATTGGTCTTGGAAAATGCAAAAGAAATTCTAGGTCAATCAATGTTCTAATAGTATTCTAAAAATTTTTATTAATATCTAGATAAACACCACATAATGCAAATGAATATTAATAATTAAAATTTGGTTAATTAATAGGTGTAATTGATAAAGAAGAAGAAGTGAGATTTAAAAGAATTATATTTAGAGTTACTAAAGGCAACGCATGGGTCTAAATTAAAGATTTAAATAATGAATAAATAGATAATTCCATGAGAAAATCATTTCACCTTAATTAAGTATAATATTAATAGATAGGTAGAATAATACATCTTAACCAAGATGTCTCTTTGTAATTGTATATCCTGGAGCTGAAGAATCAGGTTCTTTGAGAATGAAATTGATGAAAGTGTGTGACTCATTTAATAGATAGAGAATTGAGTATCCAAACTCGATGGATTAATTGCAAAAAAAAATGATAGACTTAACTTAGTAATTATAGGAAGCTAAGAATTTAATAGAAATGACAAAGAAATAATTGGAGTAATCATTAGATGATTTGGTTTTGTAGAAATAGGGATGTAATTGCTCTTATTTTGAATACATGCGTTTATATGTATTGAAGGAGAAGTATCTTTATGTAAATTTAAATTACTTAACAATGAGAGGATCAATCTTTACAGGATATTTTTGGTTGCCAGAAGGATTGGAAGTAATGGTTGAAGAAAAACTCAGAAATGCTATGCAAAATAATCGAGATCATTATCCAACTGGTTAAATTCAAGAAATAAAACCATAATCAATAACTCCTCCTACTTATTTCAATTTGAATGAAGTTACTATGCCTTTCTAAGAAATCGTTAATACTTATGGCGTACCTCGATATTAGGAAGTCAACCCTGGTTTATTCACCATAATAACGTTTCCATTCTTATTTGGAGTAATGTTTGCAGATATAGCTCATGGTTTTATGCTATTTCTGTGTGGAATTTATTTAATATTTTGGAAAAAGTAACTCCTTAAATAAACAGATTCAATGTTCAATTTGATGATACCATTCAGATATCTAGTAGTATTGATGGGATTCTTTGCACTTTATAATGGAATCATTTATAATGATTACCTATCGATATCTTTGAATCTTTTTGGCAGCTGTTATACACCAGAAAATGGAGAATGGAAAAGAGAATCAAAAGATTGCGTTTATCCATTTGGTGTTGATCCAGTTTGGTAAGCTTCTGGTTCAAGTTTGAATTTCATGAATTCATATAAAATGAAACTATCTGTCATTTTAGGTGTGATTCATATGTTATTTGGTATTCTAATGAAAGGAGTCAATACCTTGTATTTTAAAAACTATGTAGACTTTTTTTGTGAATTTATTCCTCAATTGTTATTCATGATTTGTACCTTTGGATGGATGGACTTAATTATAATAGTCAAATGGTTGAACTCATATGAAAATAATACTGATCCAAGCATTATTGAAACTATGATTAACCAAGTCTTGAAACCATTTGACAAGCCTGTTAATCCTGTTTTTCCAAACAATCCTGAGTTTCAGTTACAAATAACACAAATTCTAACATTGATTGCTGTTGTCTGTATACCTTGGATGCTTCTTCCTAAACCATTGATTTTGGGTGGTAAGAGTGATAAGAACAAAGTGTCTATGTCTGATTCTCAATATTAGCCTTTGGTATTAGAAAAACAAGTTTCAGATATCGATGATGATAACAATTCACAATTTCATAATGACTTACAAAATGCAGCTAATCATAAAAGTTTTACTGAGCAAAATCACGAATAACATGATTCGGGCGAGATTTGGGTTCATTAAATGATTGAAACAATTGAATTTGTTTTGGGAGGAATCAGCAATACGGCATCATATCTTCGTCTTTGGGCTTTATCATTAGCACATGGTTAATTGGCGGAGGTGTTCTATGATATGTGTTTGGCTGGCAAATTAGATACAGGAGGCATCATAGGTGGGTTTTTGGGAGGGTACTTTTATATCATCTTTGCTTTGCTTACTTTTGGAGTGTTAATGACAATGGATGTTATGGAATGCTTTTTGCATGCTCTTCGTTTGCATTGGTACTGTATACTTTAATGAAAGGGTTGAATTTCAGAACAAGTTTTATAAAGCTGATGGACATTTGTTTAATGGGTATTCTTACAAAAAATTATTGAATGACAACCTGAAATCATCGAATTCAAAATGATATATTATTATTTCAAGTGGCATCCAAACATCTTATTTTTATTAAATTTATATTATTAAAAAATTACAATGATCAAATAAATAAAGTTACAGCTTATTTAATAGACAAATTATTTATTAATATATCTAAGACGAAATTCAATATATAATGAAACAACATCTATAAAGTATGTATAGTTTAATGAGAACTCCTCATTTTCATTAAAAAGAAAAGCAATTAAGGTTTTGGAATAGATTTAGTAAATTAAGGATTCAAATGTTGATTTAATAAGTTATTTATGATTGATTTAGAATAATTGCTCTATTAACTATAATGCAGAAGGATTTAAAAGATTGTTAAATTAACTCGGTTCTTAATATTTAATATTATTTGGAGTGATAAAATTATAATCATAATGCAAACTGTTCCAATAGGGACTCTACCTTTTATCCTAAAGTACCCTAATTTTCTAACAAACTTAGATCAGAGTCTCTTAGATCAGAAAATTAAAAAAATTGACTAGACTCAATAATAGAAGTCTCTAACTCATCTAAAATAGTAATTTCTTCAGCAAATTCTTTATCTTAAGTTTTTGTTGGTTAATTTTGCGATCCTTATGAATACGATTAGTTTAATTAAATCTATTTAAGTCTTTTTAAAGCATCTCTATAAACTAATTATTCAGTGTTTCTCTTATTAACTCCCTCCCTTTTAATCAATAATAGATTATTCAATTCCAATTAAACCTAATATATGTTGATTGGGTTTCCATTCTAGGAAGAGTCTTTCTTCCATTCAACAGAAACTTTTGGTTTCAAATTCGTACACCCATTCACAAATTCCAAAAATGCTGATTTAGGATTCTATTTTAGCTCCACCAAAGGCACTGCTTGTCCTCTACATTTTAGTAGTTACATTTTATTACTTATCCAAAACTTATTTCAGTATAGGCTAGACAACTTCTCTTAAATGATCTAGATCGTAACCTGAATCATAATACTAAGCAGCTATTATGGATTTAAGAGTTTCAGCAAGGATTTTGGGGTTTTTTCTATTATGCACAATATTTCTTACTTTAAATTGATCTAGTTTCCTACTTGCACGATATTATCAATCTTATAGCTAAGTGCAATATCAGCCAAATTCCTTTCACTTAATAATCTTTGTCTCAGCAACACAAGATCGCTAGACTTTTTTATTTAAGTTTCTTTATTTGGATAACTATGTGTAATTTCAATATTACTTACCCTCTTTAAATCAAGTAATCAGAGAAAAAAAACTCTAAAATCATCTACCCTATCCCCACAAAGTCTTCATTGTTGCCAAAAGGGTATTTGGTACCTTTTTTTGACTGGTACTCCAATTCATGTATTTTATTGGTTAATGCTTGAGCTAAAGTATTTGTGTTTTAAAATGAGAAGATTTTGTTATTCATTTTGATGAATAATAATATTGTCTTTTGATTTTATAAGAACCCCATAATCTTGGTTCTTCTCTCGCTCATTTCGGCTCCATTACACCCTTTAATTTACATTGCACATTATTTCGGAAAAACTTCCATCTCACTTAAACATTGTTGATCTAGATTAATATTTTGATATATTATCAATTTTTCAAGAGAACTACCACTCTAATGATTAATTTTGGATAAACAAAATATATTGAAGATCATCCAAATTTATAGTCTTCAAATAGAATTATCAAACTCCCTAATTCCAATATAGATCTTCTTTAAAATCAACAGTGATTCCTCTCCTGGTCTCTATTGCAAACATTAATCATTGAAAAAAATATTGTACATTTTTTCTATAAGTTGAAAAAATAATTGTACATTTTTTCGATAAGTTGAAAAAATTAAGTCAAATTATGCTGAAAAAATGTAAGAAATTGTAATTGAATTATTATGCAATTGTATAATTAAACAATTGTTACAAATAAAACATTAAAGAATTAGATTTATGTTTATTAATGCTATTTTGAATGCATTATATAATTCAATCTAAAAGGATCTCTTCTATTTTGATCCTTACAAATACCTTAAACAAATGATAGAAAAACGCAAAAATATTCATGATTTTGCTATAGATAAAGTCCAACAGATTTATATATAAATTACATATATGCTGATTTAGAATGGCTATTAATGATTCTCCATTTAAGAAGAGGTATAAAAGCTTTCTCTACCAACTCCACATTCTCTAATCTAAGAATTCAACTCTGACTTCAACCAATAAGAAGGTTTAGGATGAGTAAAATAATTAATTAAAACAATTAATAAAGTACAAACGAAATAATTTTTATTGAAAAACTTAAGTGTAAACTCAACTTTATAGCAATAGATTATTAATAATAAAAAAAAATTTAACCGAAGTTAAAATTCTTAATAGACTATGCAAACTTAAAGGTACCAAGTTAACCAAATAGTACAGAATTAATTCATCAATTTTATTCGAAAATATAGAAAAAGTTGTTTTGTAAATTTAACTTCATTAATTTTCTCTTAATGAATTTTTATAATAATAGATACATCTTATTTATGCTAGTTATTATGATATATGAAGTATTTATACATTTATTTGCTGTACTATAATATCAGAAGTTTTATTTCTAAAATTATCTATTTACCCTCTCATAAATGATTTCGATCAATTAATGGATTGAGAACTTGTTTATATCAAGGAATAAGAAATAATTTTTTCTAACTTACTCTATTAAGAAAAACAGCATCCATAATAATTAGTTTAATAATAAAAATTCCATATGAATTTGAAATGAGAAATTAATATTTATTTATTTTTGAAGTCATTATTTGCTTATTATGAATAGATATATAATTCTATGATAAAAGAAGTTGTTTATATTGAACATAAATAGTGTAGAAATATGATTACGAAACAACTAATAATAATTAGAATAAGAATTAATAATCCTAAATACAGTGATCGATTAATTTAGTATGGCTTTTTGGATAATGCATAAAATGAATATCGGATTTAGTTAAAGTTTGAGATGATTATATAAAAATAAAAATTCATTTATGATGATAAGAGCTAGATCGAATTTTAATGATATTCTAAGAAGGGTCGCTTTCATTATTTGAACTCTTAAATCGAAACCTTTTCTCAGGATAATGACATTAGGATAAGGTAGTTGTAGGAGAACTAGATTAATTGCTTAATCTGAAAATTGGATATGAGTTTTCTTCAGCATCCATATCTCTTGGAGAACCCTAATCAAACCAAATTGATGATAAATACAATTCAGAATGTCAAGTAACCTTTCCTCAATTTGATCTTATCTCTTGCAATGACAAATAGTTGAGTATAAATTATTATCCTTTCTAATTAACAAATCTTGATAAATTTGATAGTTACCCTTTATGCATCCCTTTTATTCCATTGAAATCTGATTGCGTTAATACATAGTCCAAATTGCCAATAATATTTAACTTTCCAATGAAGTTGACATACTCAATATTTTAATATTTTTATTAATTAAAACCCTTATGATATAATATTTTACAATATTAGCATCTAATAAAGGAGCATTTATAATTAATCAAATGAAATTTGCATATATAAAATAGTATTGATCCTTTATTTTAATATTAAATAAATGGATTAATTAAAAGGGATAGGAATGCAGGTGTTCTATACAATATTAAAGTAACACAGAAGAAAGTTAAGGCCTGAGATGAGAATACTGGGAGATGCTTACGTAAAGGAGGAATTCAGACAAGCTCACCAAAAAGCAAATCAAGAACAATACATAGAATTTTTGAAGAGATGGTATCAATTTATTAATTCTGAAGGGCTATTTACATTGAGGAATTGGATAAATCAAAACAGATTGGAAGAGATTTAACTTCAGAGGAAAAAGCATTATTGAATGAGGATTAGATAGACAACTTGGCGAAGCTAAAAGAATTCTCTAAATAATAAAAATCTGAATGACATATATGTTTTGATGTTAAAAAATTTGCAAATTATTCATTTTATCTCAAATGTGGAGACATTTATTGGTTAACTTAAATAAGAATATAAATAGTTTAATTGAAAATGTGAGAGGAACAGATGAAAAATAACATTAATGCAATAATCAGAATCTAAAACTCGAAATTTAAACAATTTTTTCTTAAGTGGTTTCTTAGTTGTCCAATTATTCCAAGCTCGATGACTTCGAATTCAAACTTGATTTATGAGAACTCTATTAATCACTCTTGTCTCTTCCAGAGTCCTAATTAAACTTGGTTTTTTACAGAACTCACGAATTCATAATCATATGGATGTTTAGATGTCTAGAGATAGATTTTCCTTGCTCCCTCTAACATTTATAAATATAAAACAATATACTAATATCAATTGATTCTGATTCGGAATCCGATGGCTAATCTAGATATGATTGGATTTTCACCATCTATGTGAACGTGCCACTAAAAGTAAATAAGACACTCTACGATTAGTATCTGATTTAAATAGCCCTGTTTTCACTCTATTCCCAAATAATCTCATCACTTTCAATAATAACTGCTTTAAATTGAATCAGAGTATCTACAATTTTTATTCAATTGTACTTTATTCTAGGTCCTCATAAATTTATCCTACCCAAAATGGATATATTTCTCTATTGGTATGCAAAGTCAGACTATTATATGGATTCCACATGCCCAAAGCTGGAATATCTCCCACAATTCTTAGTTCCTGCGATGAATGCGTATCGCATCTGACTTTAAAGTACACCTGTATTGGCATATAGGTTAGCTAATAAATTAATTTAAATTGCAAAAAAAGATTGGAAATTAATTAAAATTATATTGCCATTTATAAAATGTTTCATAAATTGGGAATGTTAGTTTAATTTAGAATTTTCTATATCTATATTCTTGGAAATTTCTAAAATATAAGTTTATTGGATTTTTTATTAGATTACTAAATATATTCATATAAAGAGAGTATCAAAGATCAAAACTTCTAGATTCCAAGTTAACTTGACAATCTGGCTCATTTGATTCCTTTTTTGGACTACTCTAGACCTATTCATTCGAAACCAAAGAAGTTTCTTCATCATAAAACTAAGAATTCTCTTCACTTTCTATTTCCTGATCCTAACCAATATGATTTAAAATATTACTGAGTCCTCATCTGAATCATATAATTTCTCTTTTAGATGTATTGAAACCTTTCTTGCAGTGGCTAAAGATAAATTATTTTTAAATACACTCAGTAATATTTGTTAAATCATTATTTGAGAATAGTCTTCTGATGTTATGGATTATAATGGGCGGTGAATTAAAGGTTAAAATTACAATCACCTATTGGCTTAAAATTTATATCAATCTGTTGGCACCTATCTCCCATTGGGAATTCTTTCCATCACATATAACTATTTTGAATTCCATAATTAAATCTAAAAATGCCGAGCATTTTATTACTTGGCTCAACTTCCAAAGGCTTTTCGCCTATCCACAGAGGGTACTGCTCTGAATTAGTAATTAATTTAAATCCATTCTAGGGATTCCAATCCCCTAAAGCTGAGTTGTTTCCAACAATGTATACCGATTATGAAATTTAAGTTTGGCATACCACACGAAATAAAACCTATGCACTCATTTATCTTTTATTTTTTTTAATTAAAATTAAAGTTATCAATAGTAAATATTTATATAACAACTCTTAAATACTTATAACAAATATGCTATTTTATAAAAAACCAATATATATTTATATTATGAAGTGAAATTTGAAAACATCATAATACTAAAAACAAATATTTTGGTTGATGATGTCTTTCTAAAGTGATTTTACAATGGCGTCGATAACATGTGATTATGATTTCATGCAATTTTTAAATCATATATTTTAATTATAAATTATAATTAATGTTACCAGATGAAAAAGAAGCCTAATAAAGTAAGTATAGAGAGTAAGTCATACATGCTGAAACTTTGAATATGATGGCTAAATACTAGTTAATATTTTTAAAGATGGAAATCTCTATGAGGAAGGTAGCACTAATACTAAAATTAAAGTAATACTAACTGTTTATTGTAGAGGGAACTCATAAAAATCTTTTGCCTTTAGGAAACTTAAGTAAACTAGCAGCTATAGTGTTAATCATTTTAAAGTGTTATTTACTTAAATAGCATTGAAATATCAATAAGTTGGATTAATTATTCAAAAAAGATAAAAAAGGAATTTGCATCATGCCTTCTTAAAAGTTCGCCTATTATTTCCAAAATATAAAAATGATAAAATCAGAAGATCATTTTTGTAAGTCATTGCCTCAAAGGATGCTGAAATTAAAAATCTCTAAATCAAAGAACAAGAAATTACAGAAAATATTACCAATTAGAAATTAAAAGAATAAGAAATATTATCTAAATTAAAACAGAAGGAATTAATCCTAACTTAGCTTGAAAATGAATTAAGAAAGAATTCTTCAAATAAAACTCTAGATTCTAAAGTATTTATTGAGTATATCAAGTTACGAAATTTAGAAGTCGAAAATCAAGACATGTAAGATCGTATTATGGGCACTGAAGATTCTGTTAGTCTCTTTATAAGAGAGATGAATGACATGTTAGATAGTCACGAAATTAGTACAAATTTAGGTAGAGATATGTGATAATCCAATAGGAATAGATTCAGATGAAAACTAGTCTTACGAATAACCACCTCAAGTTATAGAATATTAAAGCTAACGTTTGAATTAAAATTCAAGACAACAAAAATCTAAGAACTTTTACTCTAATTAATTGACAAGGAGTACTAAAATTAATTGAAATTATCAATTCCAAAATCAAAATAACTATAATTTTATTATTTAATCTTATGGCCTAATATTGGTTCAATACACTTAAATAATTAGTTACTTAGTTTCCGGTTTAAATAATATAATTCAATTACAACATTAAGTTCCTATTATCCTCAAGTAACAAATGTTATAATAGATATTTCTCATTTATAAATTCTAAAGAATTAAAGAAAAATTTGTGTTTATGATCCTTGTATTAAGGTTTCATCAAAATTAAGAGATACAGCCTAATAGGTAGATGATATCAAAATATAAGTAAAGGAAAATAATTCAAATTAAATGCAGTAAACTATATTATTATGATACAAAAAACACTAAAATTATAGAGATAACTTCAATTAATATATTAAATTTATATCAAAAAGTAAATTAATATAAAAGTTATTTAACTTAAACATCAATTAACAAATAGATTTCTGAAACTAAGATTCATTGCTTAATAGACTTTTAATTAAATAAGTGATTTTTTTATCTATTAATTTGCTTCCTTTATTACTTTTTCTTTTTTTTTCTCTCTTCTATTCATATTTAGCAACCTCAATTACTCAAAATTCATCTCGACAAAATTTTTCCTATTTTTAATTTCTGTATCAATTTCTAAATACTAATAGTAATGCTACGAATAATTCTAAAATTCCTCAATGCCAAATAAAGTGTCAACATCCATTAATTTTGGAAACCCTTTTTCTTAGGCGATTAAATATTAGGACATAACTATTGAAAAATTTCCTTCTGGTTGAAAGTGAGTAAATTCTTAAATTTAATCAAAATTGGAAATAGAACTGAATTAAAGTTATTTGAATTTTTCCTCCATCTCTTTTTTTCTTGCCTTTAACAATAAATCATTTAGTTTCTATGAGAAGCCTTCTATATATTTTTCGCTTATTGATGTGTAAGTAATCATACGAGTATACTTTTTTGTCAATTTACCATTCAAATTTCTTATACTCTTTATTTTACTTTTCCGCTTGAGATTACAAATTTGATACTCAGGATTTTAATTTTCTTACATTTCCTCTTCAATTAAATTATAACTATTAAGAAGATCCTCTAGATAATTCTTTCTTTTAAATTTTAGATTGATTAATTTTGAAGTTTCAAATCTTTTTTATGCTTATTTTATTTATGAGATACATTTTCTTGCATTAAAATCAATTCTATCTCTTCGAAAGTATGCTGATTAATGTAATTTATCAAATAATTTTAGGAATTTAATATAATGTGTAGCTGATCTAAGATAAAACTTAATTTTACACATTAAAATGTAATTTTTCACAATCTCTCGAAATATGATCATCCATTGAACATACATAACAACGAACACCAATAGATCCATAATCCTTATGAAAGACTATCTTATTCCTTATCGAGTAGTACTGCTCTAAATCTAAATTTGGACAAGTTGAAGCTTATGAAGAATATTGAAATTCTTTTAAACTCTTCTAAAACTGGCTTTAAAAAATTCGAAATACGCTTGAGAAATTAGCACTTCTCGCGCTAGCAGATCTGGGCAAATTTGAATAAAAGCTGATTTCCCCAAAATATTGATTTTTTCTCTTTTGATCAATCACTACACCAGTTTTTTTAAAAAAAATATCCACTAATCCAAATTTTATTATGAAAATATCATAGTTCTATTAAAAATCAAATTCATCAAAAATAACTTCCTCCGGATTATAAATTCTTTCTTTCATATTTGGCATGACAATCTCAATTAGAAATTATTAAGATGTATTCTTCAATAAGATATTGCAATATCCAAGTAATTTTCCATTGATGCATTTCCTTAAATTATGAGCTAAGTCATTTTAAACTTAATTAGTTATATCCTATAAAACTAAGGATTTAGAATCCATTACGAAATGAATATATCTTCTAATTCTATTCTATAAGTGATTGGAAATGCCGACTTTTTTCATCAACTTATTTGCACCCTTAATTTTTTCTTTTTTCAATTTATTTTGTCCATCAATTTCTTAGAGCGCAAATCCTATAGAATTCATTGTAAAAGCAAAGCCTCCACATGCTATTAATAGAAGGAGAATTCCAATAAATCTTTCTTGAGGTGTTTATGGACTTATATCACCATAACCTACAGTAGTCATTGTTGCTATTCCCCAATACAAAGAATTTACATACCTAACAGTCCAATCGGAAAAATAAATATCTCCAAGCCAAGAATGATCACTTGACTCTTAGTATGCTATATAATGGAATATACAACCAAGTACATGAGCAAAATATAACACAAAGAAAAATAACTTACAAAAATTGATGATTGCTGCTACACGAGGTCTCATTGATAATAATTCATCAAATTTGTCAATTATTTTTTTTAACTTTGCTAACCTTATTAATTTTAAAACTTTAACAAATCTCAAAAATTTCAGTAATCGTATTAATTTTGCACTATGAACTAATGAGGAAGATTCATCCATTATTATATCATAAGGGAATGCTGAAACAAAATCAAGCCAAAACCAAAATCTCATATATTCCTTTAATATGTCTTTTCTATTCATATTTAATTTGCCCTCCAAAAATACACCTGTGTTAAAATTGACTAGGATATCAAACATAAATATAGTCGAACTTATTCTTGAAAATAATTAACTTATTTCAATCTCAAAACCTATAATCAAAGGGACTGTTATCATTTCGTAAATTACTAATAGCAAGCATAATAGATCCCATAACATTTTCATTGAACTATTTGGGCTAAAAGTATAGGGCTATTTTAAAGTAACTGCTGATTTTGCTTTTCTATATAATCTTCTAAATTTATTAGCAATGCGTTTCCAGTTAAAACTAAACTTTCTCTTTACTGCATTCTTTGTCGATAATAATCTTCTCTTATAATAATTTTGGCCGAAGCGTCGCCTTTCTTTAATTCTATATCCCTCTAAAGGCTTGCCTGCTAAATCATAATCCGATCCACTAGTTATTGCTTCATCTGATAAGAATTTATATTATATTTTTGTCAATACATCTTTGTTTTAGGTTTGAATGTATTATAGGTATTATTCCATTATAAATAATAAATAATTTCATTTAAAATCCAATCTTTTTGATTTCGGCTTCAACTCCAATTTAACTTAACCATCATATTATTTAAGTATTTCAGTACTTTTATTAGATTTATTGTCAAAGAAAAAATACTTTAGTGGATGAATGTGTGATTTTAGACTTCATAAAATTGTCTATTCCATCATTCACAAACATTTTCTTTACAGCCTCTCTGAAACCTATTGGATTCTTGATTTTATGACTCATTTTAATTATATAATTAATGAATATTGATCTGATTAAAGTAATTGAGAAAAATTAACAAAAACTTGATTAACATAGCCAAAAGCTATCTGCTTAAGCCAGAGATATTTATGCATTAGTATTGGATTCAAAATAAATAGACTGTACTTTACGGGAATAGTAATTTTAAAAGCAGTAGCATTGAAAGGAGTTATGTAAGTACTAGAAAATCAACAAAATAGAATTCTGTAGTTCCCAATAAATCTGAGCTCTCTCGTCTTATCGATTCGGTAAGAATACTATATGACCTTCAAGTCTTCTCCGATATCTGTTAAACAATCACATATTGATCAGATTGCTTCAGTTAGTCCTAATCGAGATGACTTAACTAGAATAAGAATGGAAAACGCTGCTTTGAAAGAAAAGATGAATTCAAAAGAAAAGTAGATCGATCAATTAGATAAGACAATCAATGCATTAAAAAAAGAAAAGGATCTTATGATTTAATAGTATTAGAGCACGATTAATCGCATCACTAAAGAATTAGAAATTGGTAAGAAAAATGCCATGAATGTGGAACAAGCACTCTAGGAATAAATTAAATTTTTAGAATAAAGTCTAGAAAAAAATTAAAATAACGACTTTAGATTAAAAGAGATGGAGTCCACTATGCAGACTCTAATTTTAGAAAATGAATAATTGAAACAATAAAAAAAAGAAGATGCTAAATGGTTAAGAGAATTACAGGAATAATTTGAAATTTTTTATACCAAAAGTTAAGAAACAAAAAATAAAATAGAGGATACCAAGCATTTCATATTCCAACTATCAGAAATTACACAATATTTGATAAACAAGTAAGCACCTCCATTAGAATTTTTTGTTCATATGAATAAATTACAAAAATAATAAAAAGTTGATTCCACTCCATTACCAAAGGGAAGCTCAATGAAGCTAATATTTGCTTAAGTTTTTTCATTGCAAATAGAATCATTGGTAACCTTAAATTAGATTCTTAAAGACACGAAGACCCAAGTGGAGAAATTTTCTAACTAATATATTTCTTAAGTTGGTTTGTAATTGGTTTCATTATGATTATATAATTAGTAGACAATATCATATAATTAAAAAATTTTGTATTCTTAAGAATTTTCCTAGAAAACCTTTTATTTCATATGTAGTATTAAATTATTTGAACTTTAAAAGATTGGAATTATTCAACCCTAGTTTGATAAATCTACATCAAAAAGCTATTTCATTCTCAATCTCCTAGCTAGAAGATTATTGAAAAGACTTTCAAATTTATCATTTATTATTACAAATTAATTAATAAAGTTGGGATCATTCAAAGGGATTATTGGAAACCTTTTTGAAGTCCATAATTTTAAGACAGTCTATTTATAAAAATTAACATTTTAGTAAAATGGCTATATAATGTGATTTGTATCTGATTCTTCTTTAGTATGAACTCAAACTCAATAATTATCAATACATTCTACGAAATTATTAATTAATAATATATTTATTAATAATATGTTTAATAATATATTTGTTAATGTTTTGTACTTTAATATATAAATGCTTGATTTACAGTTCTATATACACAGGGCGCTAATCCATACACTAAATTTTTCTTCTTTAATAATTTGTTCATAGAAATGAAATTTGAATAAAAATATAGACATTATTATAAAATGAATTTTTGAACATTATTATTTTTCAAAGGAATAATTTTAATTATAATTTATTAAAATAATGCATTATTTCAAAAATCTATGACCCATTACACCATAATTTTCAACTCATTATATTATTGTTATTCATTTTGTGCCTATAAAAATATTTTCTTAGAAGAAGATTTTGATATATTTAGAGAAGTAATTTTAGAGGATAATAATCGTAGATAATTTGATTATTAAATATTTATTTATATATTAATTAATAAACCACCAATTACTACCATGTTTGCAAAAATTGCCTAAAAGTTTAAATCATTGACAATGAAAAGTCAAATCATATTATTTAATATGATGACGCTTCTTGCTGTGCTATCACTTAGTTGGATTAATTATTATGTTTAAACAGAAATATTTTCAGTAATTTCTTCAAGTTCGTTAAATCAAATACTTTAATCATAGGATTAAGATTAGATTGGTTTTATAGCTTAAAATATTGCAATAATTGTTGAATTCAAATTTGTAACAGGTTCCAATAAATATAATTATTAGTTCTAAAATAAATAGAGTCAATAAAGAACTTTTATAGTTTTTTTGAGAATGAGAAACAAAATATAGCGAATAATTAAAAATTGAATTCTTGCGTATCGGTACAAGAATTTTTGAATGATAAGAGGTTAATCTAATCACAAAGATTCTGCTACTATGCTATAGGAGTTCCTGATTATACTACGCTGCCGTAAAATGAAGAAGAAGTCTTCATTCTCAACGATTTTATTTCATTTCTCAATCACTATAGCTTAGTTATAAATGTTCCGTTCACTGGTAAGCTCCAAATAGCATCAATTTCTTCGACAAAGTATTTTGCTCAATTTCCTTCAGCTCTATTAGTACCTGCCTATGATATTACTACAAGATTTTGGTATATAAAATTTATATATTGAAGGTACAAAAATCACATCGATAAAACTGAAGCCGATTCAAATACTGGTTTTGTTTTCTCACCTCTTAATGATGCCTTTGCATCTCAAATAAAAGAGATGTCAATTACAAATTCATTATACAAAGATAACAAAATGTTCGGAATTATCAAAGAAGGACTATTAGTTAGTAACCAATTGATACCTACTGTTCCTTATAATGTGCTATTATTAGATTAGGATGGTTTGGTAGTCTATTTTAACATGGAATAATTAATCAATAAAACGAACTATTTTTATATATACGATTAAAATATTACTGGATTTAATCAAACTGATTGGGAGGAAATGATTTAATTTTCTAATTAAAGGGACAAAGTAATTTTGGTTTTAGAAAATAAGTTATAAAAGGAGAAAGTAAACATTTACTCTCTTGAAGTGTTAAAGAATAATTTCACATTAGTTGTGTAATTAATATTAATTATAAAAGATATACTAATATAACTACGAAAATAGATTATCAGAGTCAATCACAAGTCATAAGAGATAAATCTTTCATTCATTTTACATATTCATTTTTTACCTAAATATTTTTAGGAGTTATAGCTATAGCTCTTTAGATTATTGTGCTATTAGTGGTTTTCAAACCTTTAAAATAATTTATTTCGATTATTAAACAATATACACTATCCCAAGGTAATAACATCAATAGTGAAATATTTAAAATGATTCATACAAAATCTTAAAAATAAGATGCTCTGTCTAATTTACAAAATAAACTTTTAAGTTTTTCATAAATCCTAACTGAAAGTTAAGGAAGAAAGTGTGAAATGTGTAAAATTTGGGAATCCTTTGCATACAATGAGAATGATCCTGAATTAGAATTTGATGAGTTTAGAAATTAATTTAATTTTATACAAAATGAACGGTCAGAATTCGGCAAAAAAATGTTAAAATAAATAAAACTAGGAATATGTTGATTCGAAATAATCTGTATTTATATTTAAGATATTGAATTGTTAATTAGTTTTTTATAATTAGTATTCAATATTATGAAAATTTTCTATTTTTAGCATATATATTGATTTGTTTCAGAAATAAGAAATTTAAAGTTGTTGAAATTATATTGTTGATTACTTAAATATATTTATTTAAATCTCCTAACTAATTAATTTATTATTTTAAAAAGAGAAAATGGATTGGTAAAATTACATTAATAGATTCAATATTACTAATTTGTTATTGGAATTCATCCTTAATTCTCATCTTCCTCTTCTGAGTAATAAACCTCCATGCAGACAGAGTTTTCTAAATATTAAATTAGTTTAATACTTTTAAATTTTGATGAATTTTTTGAGAGGCTAGGGATCATTTCAAAATCATCTAGATCTTCATCATTTACAACTTTATTGTCCTCTAGTATAGTTTTTGTTAAATCTTTGGATACATAATAAAAGTATTAAAGGTAATCTTGTAGAACCTAAAAGATTAAGATGAGTATATTACCCTTGGAATTTCTCTTTCATTATTTAATAACTCAATATCTTGATTTTTTTAAATTACTTAGATCCAGCTTCTATCAAATTGCTTTGTATAATCAATGAAAATCTAATAAAGTTTGGAAAATTCAGAATCATTTAATAGAAATTATTTAGCAGTTTTAATTATCTCCTCTGGAACATCTGCTGAATCACAGTTTACTAAAACTATTTAATTTAAGTTTACATTTATTATTTGAGTATGCTCTCTGGATTGTTGTTGGTCTATAAAATTCAAATTAATCTTGAGTTTAAAATTAATCAAATTGATCATGTTCTGCTATTTATTATTCAAGATTCCTCTGAGAGAGAGCTACTTTTATCACTTCAAATAAGGGTTCTTGATTTTAATTTTTTTTCCTAATCAAAAGTTCATCTATATCAAAATTACTATTTTCTAAGGCAAAATTGAAAAATTTTTAAGCATCATTTAATGTTGCATCAGATTAAGTATCTAAATTTTCGTTATAATTTGATGATGCGATGGATGTTCTTTCTTGATTTGGAGTGATTGATTTTTGTTTACTAAATGCAACAGCAATTTAATCTTTATGAATTTAAATAAACCTTTAAAGATAAGAGTGCTCTAAATAATAATATAAATAAGTGTAGATGTGTTCATGCTGTAAGTTTTCAATTTTAAAAATTAAAGGCTCTGGTAAAAATTGTGATACAAAACTAAAATAATGATGAATATCTATTTTACTCTTTATCAAATCTCATGAATTCTATAAAAGAAGCTACATTAGATCCAAAAACTTATTTAGTTTCATCATAATACAAACTTGTCTCTTGTTAAACTCTCTCGCTTAACTATTCATAAAATTCTTCATAACAACAATCTAGATGTCCAATCCAATGGACAGAGACCTAATTATATATTATTACATAGAATACTTCATTTATAGAGAGATCTTAAATTGATTTATTAAAATTTCTAAGTAAATCCACTATCTCTGTATAAAATTTATGAGATGATTCAATCTGAAATTAATCCTTTATGCTGTTCTTTTGTTTGAGTAAAAAATTATCATAAATTTCGTAAGTTATCTAAAAGGAAGGAGCGAAACCTAGGTCTTAATTGACACCTTAATCAAATTCTTTAAGAAACTTAGACTATCTTTCTGCTTGCAATGTTCTTACGAAGCATTCAAGGAGAAGCTATTAAAATTATTCATTTCTAATTATCTTTAATTAATATCAATATTACATATTTGATCCATAATTAGCTCATTATTCTCCAAATGGAAAATTTAGGATATTGGGGATATTGAGGAAAGTATTTTTTATGCAATTCATTCACAATGTTTTCCAAAGGATACATTATGCTATTTAACTCTATAATGGAATTACTATATGCTTCCCAATACATGACGTATTCACTCAATAGGTCTACACTATTTGTTGAATTAATGGTGATGAATGTAGAAAAATACATATATAATCCCTACAGATAGCATTCGACTGAACAATACAATTATTCTAAAAGATCAATTATGCAAATTTAATCAAATTACACTTCTTCTTCCTGTTCTTCCGTTTATATATTTTTAGACTCTACTTTAAATAGAGGCAATTATTCAAATTCGAAAGGTTCACTTTATAAATTCCATCTGAATTTTAAAAATCTTGATTTAAGTACCTCATTTTTATCTAATTTTTCACCCATTGAATCTATAATTTATTGTTTGTTTTATTTTAATTAGTTCATTAGCTTTAATTTAAATCATATTTTGAATACCTCATTTGATATCATTTAAAACTCAAACAGACTTTCGAACCCCTTTTATTCCCATTCCAAACGCTAAGCAAGCATTATTTAGAATTCTGATTCGCAATATAATCCTATTGTTTCTCTTTTTAAAATGGGTTTTGGAAATACTGATTCACAAAGTAAAAATGGAATTTTCAATGCTTTTCTACATCAATGTATTTTATATCTTACTTCTGTTGTAACATTTGTTTAAACTGGAGTTTCCAATCAAAAAAACATTTCTCAAAATTAGTTTAACGAATTTGATCTCTCTAAATAATATCAGGATAATAAATTTCAAGAGCTATTTCCAGTTAATCTTTGAGAAATTATTTATAGTAATTCTCTGCAAAGAATTAATAATGTTTCTATCTATAAATATTAAATATGAAACTTCGACAAATTCATTTAAAATACGAGAAGTTGCTCCCAAAGCTAATACATCTTTTAGGCTTAAAAACCATGTTATTCTTTTAAATATTTCGTAATTATAGAGATTATTGGTAGATATTTCTAAATTAGTTTCTGATTGAAAATTTTAATCCTTTAGATCCATCTATAATTTTTATATATATGTAAATTATTGATCGATAATTTTTTAATATTCATTAAGAGAATTTAATATCTGATACATACTGCAAAATGATGATAGTTCACAATTTAAAATCCTATATAGAATGAATAACTATCCATCACACAAAATCCAATAAAAAGAAAATTTACACAAAATATATAGAAAATATTTAAATGAACTATCATAATCTCATTTTTAATTTCTATAACAAATTTTTTCAGTCAACTAAGAGGTGATAACATGAACAGTATCACAATCTGTTATTCCTTTGTCCCTCAGATAATCATTATCTTCCAAAAGCGAGGTTTCAAATCCAATATATAACCTATCTGAAGTTAAATTAATAATCTCGGCAAGCTGTTGCTTCAATTATAATACAGTTCTTGTATCCTGTTTGATATCCAATTCAACAGTCATTCCTGTTACAAATCTGCAGTACAGCTTTTTTATGTCATTCATTTTATTATTTTTAATATTATTTTTATATTCTATCAATATTCCTTTAATATCCTCTGTCATTACTAATTCTAACTATTCCTTATATTGTTGTGAAGCTTCATTTCTGGATTGCATAAGACCTTAACACTTTACATTCTCGAAAAAATTAAATCGAATCAAAGTGCATTTGTAAAGAGTGAATTCAAATATTTTTGATAACTTTAATTTCTATTTGATAAATTATACACCTAAATAATCAAAGGAACTAAAACTGAAGAGAAAATGTATTTAAGCCTCCATTATTTACTATTATTTTCATTATATCTTTTTTTTCAATTTATTTTAGTTAGCTTTCAACTAATTAAGAGTCTATCATTTATGGTACTATCAATTATAATCATCTGACAAAGTAGTTTCAGGAGGATGAAATGAGTATTCATTAATTCTATAATGGTCATTCCCTGCTCTACAACAATTAAAATAAATTTTAAGAAATCATTAAAGTTAGAATTCTATATTCATATTCTCGTTTCAAAATTGTCTTTCTATTTAGTGTGCAAGTGTTAGACCCTTATTAATCTATATAGCTTTATTATTATTATCTAAATGCAATTCAATAAATTATACAAATTTTCTTAAATAATTTGCAGTTTATGATGATACGATTGATTGATATAATTTATTCTTAATCTTCTTCTTGATCGAAATATATTTGAGAAAACTAAAACTTTTTTAATGATAAAATACTTTTATATATTTTAGGTCATATTTGATATATATTATAGCAATTGCATTATATTCATGTAAAATATTGAGATTCCATGCTAATAATTAATTGCAAAAATAAAATAAAACTTCTCCTAATAATTATCTTAATTCAATAGTGTTAGTTTATAATTATTAGATATTCCATGAATTAATATTCAGTAGTCCAATTAAAATAACCCATTCTAACTATTAAAATGAATAGTTTGATGAAATTTCCTTAGTTAAACATTTATGTATCTTAGCCATCCAAATCAAGGAGTCCATTTAATAATGCATAGGGGTATAATAACAGATGTGATGCTGATTTAATATAAATAAGTCATCATTATAGCATTTCTCAAATTAAAGTGATTTATATAATTATAAAAAATAAAATAATCAATTAATCCGTTAAAATGAGTGACATAGACTAATCAATTGAGGCAAGAATAGATAAATTTGAATGTATTCAATATAATCAATATTTTATAGCTGATTTAAATAGAGTAAATTTATAATAAGATGCTCTACTCCCTCTATTACAAATGATTGAATACATTCCATCAATCTAAAGAACTGAAGCCAATGTTAAACAAGTTTAAAAGAAACAGGATGTTAATGAATAGAAATAAGGAAGACTTGTAATAAATATTCATAAATCTTATAGGAAAGATGTGCTGAAAGAAAATTAAGAGAAATAGAATCGATGCCCTAAAAGCCATAATTAGAGGTTTAATAAGTAGATTTGAGAATTAAAGATTTAGAATCCTCTATTAATTGTTTGTACAGGTAATATTCAATTCTACCAGTAGGTGGTATGAGGCAAAATTAAGAGAAGGATCATAATAAATAGTTCGTAGCATTGATGATAAATTGGGAACTGATCCAAATGCAGAATTTAATGACTAATTATTAATCGTTGTGAATTAGACTATCAAAAATGCACTTGATAAAATGAGTGAAGACTTCAGGGGGCAACTTTGCGAAATTAGATAAATGCTATGATCATAATTTTTTATATATTAACTGCTAAATATATTAATAATCCAAGAATTAGTATATAAAATAATTGAATTTTAGACTTTGGACTTGAGAAATTATATTATAACTTTTGTAAAAATAAAGTGAGAACGGAATATTTCAAATTTTTATATAATTTTTATTTAGTATTAATTTAATTGAAATACAAAGTAACCTCAAAGTCTTAAAGAGTACCTATTATCAAAAACTTCGTTTGCTTAGAAATACAATGAAGATTGATTATTATCTTGATTATGTTTACCTTTTTAATATTAAAAAGAAATAGACTTTTAAGAGTAATAACTTATAAATTTTAAAAGTATTTCACCTAAATAATATCTTGGTCAATCAAGATTAAGACATGATATAGTTTATTAATGAGTCATCTTTTAGAAATAACTTCTAAATATTTAGGCCTAAAGAATAAGAAATAAATGATATTTTAATAGACAAATATATTCAATAAAATCTTTATTTAGCTGAATAATATTCTTTTCGATTTAATAATTATACTAAAATACAAAGAACATAGGAATCATTATTTTCATTTATTTAAATTCCACTAAATAAATTCTTTAATAACTTTATCTTCTAAAAAAATAAAAATAGACTAAAATTAACTGTTAATTTTATATTCTTTACATATAAAATAAATTTTTTTATATTTTGATTGACTTGTACTTTAAGCAAAATTCAATCTCCCTATGAAATATTATTTTAATTAAATTAGTCCTCTTTTATTTTTCTTTCTGTTTCTCTATGGAATCACTTGTCTATTTTTAACAATAATTATTTTGGATAGTGTAACTCTAAACTTTGAATTCCTTTATGTAATTATTAGATTTCTCTTTTTAAATTAAATAAGCTTAAAATTTGGTCAATGCATATTAATTTGATTGTGAATTTCATATTTTAAATCCACTATTAAAGTTGTACAGTATATCTTCTATTAAAATTTCTAGGCTTTTAAAAATGTGTGCAAAAACACAAAACAATTAATATAATTAAAAAAGAAAATGGATTACGTATCAAAAATTACACCTTAAATTATAGATACACCAGATGAAGAATCGCAAGCTATGCTATCCTAATTAGAGAACAATAATCCAGATATCTACGAACAGATGAAAAAGAATAGCCCTTTTTTTCATTAACTCAATAATGCTTAATAAGGACTTCTATCTACAGACTAGGAATTATAAAAATTGAATGATGAAGAACGATTGACACACGAAATGTACACCAGAAAATCCGCCTTAAACCACAAAAGAGTCGAGGAGAAGCAAAAGTTAGTGTTCAAGAAGGCCTTTAAGAAAGCAGAACAGAAGTTTTATTAGAATTAGTTGAAAATTAGTAAAAAAAAGAAGTAAACTCAATAGTAAATTGATTTCTATGAGGCTTATTTCAAAGAGCTCTCTTTGAAAATGAATAAAGACCTAAAATATTTTATTCATCCTTAAAAGTAAGTTTAAATTACTATTAGAGGAAAATGTAAATAGGGGTCATTAATTATTAATCCGGCTTTAAGTCATTCAACTAGCCCTACATTAGAACAATTTTGAAATCCAAAAGTTTTAGATCAGAGATCAAAGATTACATTCTCAACCATTTCGTTAGAGAAGTCCAAGAAGAAATGAGTTACAAGCTACTAAAGTTTATAAAGTTTTGTTCAAGAATGTATGAGGAAGCCTTAAAGGATTTTTAGATGAATAGTGCTAAAAATGATGACGAGGAATATTTTAGAAATTTTATAAGATTGAAAATGGAATAGTCAATATTGAAAAATTCTAAATGTAAGATTCCTTGGTCTTTATAAGAAATAATTGATGCCTAGAAGTTTGCTTTAAATTTGATTGATTAAGAGATGGATATGGAAAATGAATGAAATATATAATATATATTGAATTCATTATGAAAATTATTTATATATAATTTTTGTTTTAATTTATTGAAATTCTATTATTAAAATATATAGTGAAACATGATTGGAATATGCAAGAATAAAGTGTTTTTTATAAATTTTATCATCTATAGTTAATAAATAAGATTAATCAACCCTCTAACATAACTTCTAATTGTTCTTCTTAATCCTATTGTACTATTTATATATATTATTATTTTTTTTATTGTTATTGTTATTATTATTATTATTATTGTTATTATTATTATTATTGCTATTAAGTAATTTCAAATGGTTAACCATTCAATTAGAGAGGAACAAATTAGTTTTGAGTATTTTAATTTAATTGATTCTATTAAGGAATTTATTCAGTTTATATCTATTACATATCTGGTTAAATCATAGTAAAAGATGATTGTTAAAATTAGAACTTTTTAATTTGTTCTAAAACCTATTCTTTTGGGATCAAATCACCTAAAAATGGATAAAGTAAAATATTTTAGGGTTCAACTTAATTTTAATTTTCAGTATTCTATTAAGTTAAAAGTCTATAATCATCTTGAGACATGATGAATTTCTTGTTTGATTCCATTAATTTTGACTTCATACTTTATGTAGATGGGAACAGTTCAGAGACAGTGTATTAAGATTTAAATTCTTATGAAATTCTTCTAACTTCGAAGTCACAATCGTCAGGACTATTTGAGGAAGACGAGGAACTGTGAATTCCATTGAAATTGTTCAATCTTGATTTATAAAGAGTTGGTACTTTAATGGTTTTTCTAGAGGAATGAAAACTTCGCAGTTATCCCTGTGTTTATCGATCCATCTCAATCTATCAGCAATTGGTCCTTCCAAAATTTCCTTAGGAACAACAAAAACAACAGGAATATCATCAATATTATCTTCGGGAGGTGGGTTTTCAGGTTATTGTTATTTCTGCTCTGGTTCTGGTTGTGTTTCTTCTGGAGCTCTATGGAAAGAAGATGATAATTTATTGATTAATTCAGACGCACCCCATTTAAACCATTTCGGGAGTTGAAAGAGGGCATTTTTTGTGCCCTATAATTTATTATGTATATTCTACTTCAACTGCTGTCTAGCCGGCATGTTAAAGTGGCTCGACGATGTACTTTTGCATTATGCTAGGTCCCTCAACATTCATTTTTTAAACAACTAGAAAATTGAAATTCTTTAATTGAGGTGCTTGATTCTGTTAATGAAAATGATCTAAGGGCCTACTGCTTATTATATCTAGAAATATTAAATTAGAATTAGTACCTTCATCAAAATTTTCGAATCCGTCTTAATTCATTTAATTTTTATATTTAATGGGAGCTTAGTGTTGCAACAATTCCTAGTATCCCGAAGATATGGAACCATGTGAAGATGCAGAATCAAAACGACTAGATCCTCGTTAAATTAACATAAAGTACAATTACAAGAAGAAGTAAAAAGGGATGAATTCTAGTCAAACCACAAAAACACAGGAGAGAACTAAATAGTTGGCTGTGACACTGAAGAGTGGAGGAGTGTATTTGGGTGACTGGATGGGCAATAAGAGGGAAGGCTTTGGAATTTTGAAATGGCCTGATGGTTCCGAATATTAGGGAGAATGGAAAAATAACAAAGCAAATGGTTAGGGCAAATTTGTATATCCCGATGGGGATTATTATGAAGGACAATGGGAGAACGATAAATAGAACGGTCAAGGAACATTCCAATCTCAGAATGGAGGTAAGTATGAAGGGTAATGGAAGGATGATCTATAATAAGGATTTGGGATTGAAACATGGGAGGATGGGAGTAAATATGAGGGATATTTCTACGAAGGGATAAAGCAGGGTTAGGGTAGTTATATATGGAGTGATGGCTCACAGTATACTGGATTGTGGATAAATAACAAGCGGCATGGTTAAGGGGTATAAGTTTGGAAAAGTGGTAAGGAATATTAGGGAGAGTGGTTTGAAGATTATATGTGTGGATAAGGATCAATGAAATGGACAAATGGTTGTCAATATATTGGGTTATTTAACAAAGATGCTCCAAATGGGTACGGAATATTCAAGTGGGGAAGTATTAGATTTTAAGTTATTTTAGATGGAAGAAGTTATGAAGGTAGTTTTAAGTAATCTAAGCCTAATGGGAAGGGGAAAGTAGTATTAGAAAATGGGCAAACGAGATTTGGAGAATGGCAAGAAGGAAAGCTGTTAAAATGGTACGATAATTAATAGGAAGTGTAAAAGGAGAACTTTGATATACTTAATTTGGAAGATTTGTGAATTCATATATATATACTAATAATCATAATGATGAATGTAAATAATATTGGGGATTGACTGTTGGTGTCCGTCTAGTTGGTATCATTATTGGAATTGTTACTTTGATTATTAGTGTTGTTTGTAAAAGTGGTTCCACATTTTAAGCATTTAGAATTAGCAGAATCCCAGGTGTAAGTATATGCTGTTGCCTAGAAGCAATTACTTTCTATTAATGATGCAAATTCCATGGAAATACATTAGGAACTGTGGTCAAGGCACATAATTCATAGTTCTTTTATTCGAAATCTAAAATAGGTTGACAAATTCCAGTTTCTTTATATTTGGATGAGCAAGTGTGTTAAGCACAGGCAGTTTAAGTGGATGTTTCAGTCCATTAACAGTTCCATGATTTCTAAGTACAAACTTCTTTGTTGGATGAGCCATCAGAACAAGATGTCATTAGTTTACAAGCTCCTTCTCCATTGTTTAAATACCATACGCATAAACCATCGGATCCTCCTTATTTACATGCGATTTCAGTTTCATATTTATCACAAGTTGCTTTGACAACACATCCGATGCCACTGTCCACACAATTAGATATTTAAGAGCAAGAATTATTTAATTCTGTGCATAATGCAAGACGACATTTGCGAACATTTGGATCGTATAAACATTTGCCATCTGTTCCTAATGAAGTGTTGCAGTAATCTTTAGCATAGGTTTCACACTTACCCATACTAATACATTTAGTATTATCTGAAGTGCAAGTGGATAATTGATCATTGCATTCTTGGTGAGTTGTTAATGTTATATATTTGCACTCTAATTCAACACACTTCTTTTCTTTATCATCATAGTAGCATTTGTTCTTCTTTTAATCTATATTACATGTACTTTATTTTGTATATAATGTACAATCTTATAGATCAATACAACTGGCTTCATCAGTTGTGCAAGTGGCATCTACAAGTTAACATTGCACATGAGTATTGAAAAAGGCAGATTTGCATCCATCATATACTTTGCATTTACTTTATCCATTCAAAGAATCAGGAGAATAGACACATCGACCATCTGTACCTTGATAACAACTTGATGCTGCCTAAAACTGGCACATTTGTCAATAGCAATGCATGATACTCCATCAGTTGTGCATTCATTACTGAAAGAATAACAGGAAGTGTGATCACTAAATACAAGTGATTAACATGATGTATAAGCATAACAAGCATTGTTAATCCATAAACATGGTCCATCACTTCCATAGAAACATCCACTCTTTGTTTTTAGACTACAATTTTATTAATTGACACATTTGGTTCCATCTGTAGTACATATACTTTTGGCTGCTTAACATTCTTTATGAGTTGTAAAAGTGTAATCACTACAAACCTTATCTCTACATCCAGCAGCAGAGAATTCACATTCGTTTCCATTTTTATCAGTTGTACATGCTGCCTATATTTTAGCATCTTTGCAAGTTCCCTTTTAAATGCATCCACCTGATTGATTTACTGTACAACCCTATTTATACAGTTGGCATTCCTTTTCTGTCACATATTTACTTGGAGCACTGCTGCATCCAAAATTTACACATCTATTATTGATCCATGCACACTTATTATTCGATGAATCTGTAACACAAGCTTCTTAGATATATGCATCTGTACAAGTTGTTCTAAGAACACAACCACTTCCATTGGTGGTGCATTCACTTTTGAAATTCGTGCAATCTTAGTCAGTTGAATATGATTAAGGAGCATCTGAGCATTATAATACATTGCAACTAGGTTGGAATGCACAATTACGATTATTCTTATCTATTATACATCCAGACTTTAAATTATATGAAGTACATATATCAATGTTTATGCAACCTTTTCCATTAGTTGTGCATTTACTGCTGTAAGTTTAACAACCATCATGGGTTGTAAATGTTTTATCTGCTTTATCACAAGTTCTATCTGTACATGTGTTATTGTACCATAAACATTCTCCTCCTGTTAAATTTTTGACACAATTAATTTGACTTGTAAATAAGGAACATTTATCATATCTCTCAATGCAACCAGTTTTAGAAGCATTTACAGTACAAGTATTAAGATGATTATTACAAGCGGCATCAGATGTTGTTTAATCTGAATTGAAGCAATTTCTCGTTTCGCATAAATTAGGAGATCCCTTTTTATTCCAAATGCATTTGCCTTCTGTTAAACTCTCTATACAATTCTATTCAAATTGATATTCAGAACAATATTATTATTTACTAGTACATCCATCAAAGTTTGTACCTGTGTAACTAACAGTACAAGATGATAAAAATGTTGTGCAAGCCCTATAAGTATTATATTTGGCTTATGTACATTACCTGTCCACACATTAAGTTCCATCCCAAAAACATAATTAACCTGATAATGTGAATGTGCATTAAAATTAAAGCAAATCGCTGCACTTAGTTTTCCTGGCAACACAACCAGCATGATTATTGTTTATCATACATCCTCCTAAATAAAAATTACATTCCTCATCAGTTGATATCAATGTACTAGCAGTAATACATGTCTTTTAAACACATTTACTATCTATCCACAAACATTAAATAGCATTATTATTAGCCATATAACATTATTCCTATTTCAAATATTTAGCACAAGTTAATTCTTAGGTCTAACAACCAGTTAAGTCATTCTACACTGTACAACTCGTCAACCAAGACTGACATTCATTATGAGTATTGTATTCATCTCCTGCATTTTGACATGTTCTTAAGACACAAGATCCACTCCAAACACATTATTTATTCTAATAATCTATACTGCATAACTTTTCTGTTGGGTATGTATTACAAGTTCTGACTCCACATTTATCATTGACTAATGTGCATGTTGGCATAAATTTACTACAATTGGATTCATTATAAGTAGTTAAGGCAGCATTGGTACAACTCATACTTACACAACCTGTACCATTCCAATAACATCTCTGAGATTCATCTAATGTCTTTATACATTAATTTTATGTTGTATACAAATTACAAGTAGTTGCCCTTTTAATACATCCAGTATTTGTTGCATTCACAGTACATTCACTCTTAAATTACGAGCATAATAAATCTGTGTTAGTAGTGCTCAATGCATTTTCACATGACCAAACCTTACATCCTGAACTTGCAGTGCAATTTTATTATCCTTCAGTGCAAGTTATTGAAAACCAAAAACAGATTGATCCATTAACAGACACACATTAACCTTCTTTAGTGTAATTTTCACATGATGAAGGACTGTCTATACAGCCAGCCATATTCTCATTCACTGAGCATGTGCTCATATATTATTTGCATTGTGCTTAAGTATTGTATGTTGTTGGAGCATTGACACATGTTTTCTCTTTACATGCTGCATTATCCCAAAAACATGAATTCCCCAAAGAATTTACAACACAACCCTTTTCTGTGTATTTAGTACAATCATCTTCAATGTTGATGCAACCACCTGTTTCTTTGGCTGTGCATTTAATTGATTTAAGTACTCCCATGGATTAACATTTTTCATGTGAATCATAAGTTGTTGGAAATTGATCACATGATGCAATCTCTTAGCATTTACTATTCTAACTATCCCAAAAACAAGGATACTGTTAAGTGTTAATTTGACAGGCTATTTAAACCAGATACTCCTCACAAGTTGCACTTACGTTTATACACTTTTCTCCATTGCTTGTACATAAGGGTGAGATAGCCTGACAATCAGCGTGTGTTGTAGCGATATAAACTGTACAACCGCTAAATGGTTTACACTTTTTATTGTAGAATGCACAACCTGTAATAGGACAGGTGGTGCTCTGAGAACAGTAGGATTCGATATCAGTTGATTTACGAGTTTCACAAAGACCAGATGCACTATTCCATTGACAATCATTTTATGAAGTACAATCATTTTAACTCAAAATTTGTTTGCAAATGCACGCATCTGTCTTTGTTAGGGTTCCTGCGAACACATAGGAAATTGAAATCAAAAGTAGGATCATAATAATTTTCATTAATAAAATATAATTATATTTGAAATCTTATTATGACACCTTTATATCTGAGAATTGAATGTTAATTTAATGATAAACCTATCGAGGAGATGCTTAAATCAATTACAATATGGGTAACTCGAACCAAGCTTATTAAGAATATATTAGTAATATTGATATCACTATAAAATTCAAATAAAAAAAGAGATCCAATTTTACTCAAAAAGTCACATTCATTATTCTTTCACTAATTTTATAGTATTAGCATTAAAACTCCCATAAAACTAGTAAGGACATAGCCATATCTCCCTAAGGAATTACTAGTAAACCTATTAATCAGTTATACATTTCCCCAGCAAAATGATGAATCATTTTAATCTCAGTTACGAATGAAGGTATATTAGCTTAGACAATCAAATCAAAAACTAGCTCATTGAATTTATCGGCATCCACATTCTTGAGCTCTTAAGTCAACTGCTGAGCTGCCATATCTAAAACCATGAGTTTTTCCTTTGGTGATCTTTTAGTAACAATGCTCTATAGAATTACGACTGCCTTTTCTTGTTTGTTTCGAGATCTCCTCTTCATCTGAATATATGTTCGATAAGCAATTATTTTGCCATGTAATCCTTTGTCATATTGCTATTTGACAAAATCATAAAAAGACTCGTTCCCAAACAATTCATCCATGATGAGCATCTTGACTTCATCAATTGTAAGGGTTGATTTGTAGAATTTTAGAATGAGATCAGCAAAGAAATGAATAAATTGGTTAATTTCCAATTTTAAATCAAGATGACTAGATGATAGAGATTTTACAATTTACAATTCGGTTGCTTTTATGAAACTCTAAGCTAATTAGGAGTGACAACTATTATCTGATACAATAATTGAAGTCGAAAAAAATGAAATCTTCATTTGTGAATGAAATAACATTTCCTTTGAATTTTGGACGAAGCTATAAAATATGTCACTCAACATTTGATTTTTGATATGTAAATGCTGCTGAATGGTTTAAAGAGTAGGCGATACTCTGTATTCATTTAATAAAGGTATGTTATTGTAATCTCTATTGATGATCTCATTGACTCGAGCATGCCAACTAAAAGAGAGGAATTGCTTCACTAATATCTGGAATTGTCATTATACATTCTGAACCAAGGGTTTGTGATTATCGCTATTATTCTTCCTAATTACAACATATATTCTTATTTCCCATTAATTAATTAACGAACATGAATAATCTTCAATGCCTCAATCACAACACCGCCAATCCACTCGACAATTACATCATAGGTGCATAACTTAAACTATATAGAGCAGTCCATTGGAAAGGGAACCTTTGGTAAAGTCTACAGAGGTCTCCATAAGCCCACTCAATAATTTGTAGCCATCAAGATTCTAGAGAAGAGCAAAATAGAACAGCCTGCAGACTTCACTAGAATCCAAAGAGAGATCCATATTCTTCGTAAACTTCGCCACCCCAATGTTGTTTAACTCTATGAAATCCTTGAATCTGAAACTAAAATCTATCTCATCATGGAGTTCGTCAGCGGAGGTGAACTATTCCAACACATCGTAAAAAGCAAACGACTCCCAGAGAATGAAGCTGCAGCTCTCTTTTCATAAATCATTGAAGCCATAGAATATTTGCATTCCCTTAAAGTAGCCCATCGAGATCTTAAACCTGAAAATTTGCTCCTTGAAAATAACACCTTAAAAGTCGTTGACTTCGGTCTAAGTAATATCTATACCGATCTACTTCAAACTCCTTGTGGTTCCCCCTGTTATGCTGCTCCAGAAATGGTTTCAGGCATCTCATATTCAGGGATCAAGACAGACATCTGGGCAAGTGGCATAATCCTATATGCTATGCTTTGTGGATATGTACCTTTTGAAGATTCGAATACCAGAAAACTTTATGAGAAGATCAAACATTCTGATTTCCAGAAACCCTCCCATCTTAGTGTCCAAGTAGTAGACCTACTTCAGGGATTATTGAACAAGAACCCTTTAAATAGATTGAGCATTGCTAAAATTAAGATGCATCCCTTTGTAAGGTAATCATAATTATATTTTATAAGCAAACACTCCTACTCTATTCAAATTCATCGCACTTTGGCAATCAATTCAAACATAATTAAATAGTTACAAGCGGTAGGAATTGATAGTGAAAAATGCAAAGAAATGATCATCAATAATAAACACAATCCAATTACTACTACCTATCACCTCTTAAATAAATATCAGTAGCCAACTTAGTCAACCTAGAGAGTCCGAACTCATCAGAGCATTAAATCAGTTGTTGATAAACCAAGTAGTTCAATAGAACGAAAACCTATTCCAAGTGTTTATCATAACAAAACTAAATCTTATGAAAATAATTATACTACTGCTATGATTATGAAAAGAGCGTATGATAATCGGATTTCAGCAAGACCCAAGTCTACTGAAAGAAGGGTGTGCACTGAAAATGATAGGTGGGAACGCATTAAAACTTAATATGAAACAAAAGAAAATTCTTAAAGAAAAACTCACATGTCGAAACCAAGTAAATAACCTGTTATGTATGCAGAATATAAATTGAAAACAGAAAGAATTATGTGATTAATATATATATTATAAATGAAGAATTAAATTTCTAGTTTCATCCTCAAGACATACAACATTTTAGAAGTACTCAAAGATCACATATTTAGAATAATATTTACGAAGATATAGTGAGTTGGAATGAAGATGGACTATCCTTTACTGTCAAGAATACGAGCCAATTCTCATCGATTGTTCTACCCATCCACTTCAAGCATTAAAATTTCTCTTCCTTCATTAGATAGGTAGTTCTTGTCACTATAATGAGTTAAACATGTATGATTTTCATAAATCCAGAGGAGGTATAGTCAATGAATTCAAAAATGAATATTTCCAAAAAGGCAGAAAGTATTCTTCAAATTAATTAGGGATCTACTTCATTAAATCAAACGGAAATAACATAACGAGCTTATTCCTATAGATATACCAGTACAAAATGATTCTACAGATTAACTCAATCAAGTAACAACTATAAATTATTAATAAAATTATAGCTCTCCTAAAAATGTGATTATTTACATAATCTTTGCTCATCACTCCTGGAAAGGAACCATAGAGTTATCAAAGATAACAAATCTCTCTAAAAGCTTCTTATCAGCCATAGTAAGCTCCAATTTCAAGATGAATTACAGCAGTCAGAATAATTATGTATAACAAATGAAGAACTTACAAATAATGTTCAATGAAATTCACTTTTTATTTTATTATAAATTTGTGTAAGCTTGGAAGTTTAAACTTTTCAATATTATAGCTTCCTTCAATCTTTAAATTTGAATGTATTAATAATTAAGAACTTAAGATATTATCGCAATTCAAAATCAAAAACAAAATATTATTCTAAAAATTCATTTTTTATTAATTTTTATTTCCAAATTTTATTTCATAGGGTAGACACTATTTGCCATATTAGAATATAAATATAATGATCATAATAAATAATCTAATTAATAGAATAATTAGTAATTACTCAGAATTTTTGGTAATTTACTAGACGTAATTAAACTCTATATAAATCTACGTAACTATAGTTCTTTATGACTTTCCATACTTTAAAATGGATGATATTTTCTTAAATTTCTATAATCAAATTTTAATGCTTGTTATTCCTGACAGAATAAATCCATTTTACTAGGGTTTTAGTTAATTTTGATAAATTTCTTGAAAGAATATTGATCTTAAATAATTTTGATTTATAATATGAAATTGAAATTGTTATCTCTTGAAACAATAGTTTGATAATATAATTTTAATATAGTTTTAATGAAATGAAATTTAATGAATTTTGCTGCTATTATAATATAATAAGTATATTGATTTTATAATATGCAGTCAGAGTCAGTAAGATAGAAGGCTATCAGATATATAAATGAACTGTAGACAGAAGACGATGATTAGTTTCTTCCTTATAAATAAGAAAGGGATCATGTCGGATTATTATTGAATACCAATAGAAAATCAAAATCTACTAACTAATTAAACACTAGGGCCAGAATCAAACATGTTTATAGTTTGGCTTCAATCACAAAACAATAACCATCTTAATCAACTAAATAAAATGCTGTTTTGAACCATAAAAAAGAAAATAGTGCTCATAATTTAGATTTGTCTATTCTTGTCAACTTATAACCTCCATCGACAGAAGAACAAGCCAAAGCTAAGCAATATAAAGAAATGATGGAAAAGAAAGCTCTTTTAGAAATGTATGAGAAGAAAAAAGATAGTAAAGTAATGAGTCCTGTTTTAGAATAGATGATTGAAAAACTCAATTCGAGTATAACGCAAGATAAATTTATTTGGAAGATGAGCAATGTGGACAAGGGTAAGAATCTTGGCTATTTGTTTCATGAATCCAAATTAAGAAAACACAATCGCAAAATTTAGAAGTTGCAGCCATCTCTCCCTAATTATGAACCAAATTACTAAGCGATACTACCCAAATCAATATCAATTCTTATTAAACCTAGTGAGAAACCTTCTTATTCTCAACAAATCTAAGATTTTATAAGAAAAAACCAGTTAGATAAGGAATCATCCAAACAACCCTAGACTACAATTTCTAAGAAAGATAATACTCTTGAAAAAATGTATAGTGTCATATAGAATCAAATTACAAGAGAGGTTAACTAATCACTTATATCGAATCCTCAATCGATGAATCCGTTGGAAGAGTTTAGTGCTAAACCTATTGAGGATACCTATATCTAACAATTTCATTTGCAAGTAAAATAAAAAATGAAGGAAACAAATAGGGCCAGGAAGAATATACAGAATAAAATATAAGAGTTTGATTCATATTTATAGAAACACAATTGATATCAAATAAGACTCTTATTAGTTAAGTTTTTGATCAATAAATCGATAGACATTTTTATTTTCCTTATAATAAAGTTTTAAGCATTTTCAAATTTTATTTCTTAAATATCACTTTTATACATATAATTTATTAAGTAGAATGTCAGAGGAAGAATCTGATTAAGTCTTTGAAGAGGGACCATCAAAGAAATGTAATTGTAAAAACTCAAAATGCATAAAACTCTATTGTGAATGTTATCAAAACAAAGTATTTTGTGATAATAATTGTCATTGTCATAATTGCTTTAATAATTCATCCAATGCTGTAACATTCAAATATTAGGATAGAAATAAAGATAAAAGGCCATGCAATACACATTAGAAAAAAACCCAAGTTGCCTTTTAACCCAAGATTAGCACTTCTGATTCAAAGCCAGATCCATTAAATTTTGGAAAGCACAACAAAGGTTGTCAATGTAAAAAGAGCGGTTGTATGAAAAAATATTGCGAATGCTTTCAAGCTAAGGTGCCCTGCTCAGATTAATGCAAATGCATCGAATGCAGAAATTATGGGTTCTTAACTAAAGAACATTTTATAAGGGCAACTAGAGGGGATGATGATGATTTTTTATGTAACAAACCTAAATTTAATTAGATCAATTGTTATTGACTAAGGACTAAGATCATTTATAATCAGTGCTTTCATATAAAAAACCTTTATTTGAGCAAAAAGAAATTGAAGATGTTAGTAATTAAATAAAAAAAATTATCTCAAATAATGAATCAGATCCCATAGATCCTATACTTGATGTTTTTATTAAATTACTAAAAAACGCCTCTGATTGATACACATTAATAAATCTATACAGTTTTCATATTTATAACAATTCCTTCTATGCTTCATTAATTTAAATACAATACAATATTATATATTTCAATTAATACTTTAAAACTCTATATATTCATTTAAAGTTCATACGAATATTATGAAATAATACTGACAGTTCGGATTTGGGAGAGTGATAAAAAAGAGTAGAAATAAAACTGATAATAGAAAATTATTTAATGATAATAGAAATTTTCTTCTAAATATTAAGATATACTCTTATTTATAAATTTTGTTTAATTGTAAATTCTTGATTTGAAATTCTATTATGAATTCATTTATAAAATTGTATACAGTTTGATCAAAGGGACATTATAGTAATACTCATATCTTTCCCAATATTAACCTTTGAAAATGTCCAGAATATTTATACATGAATAACAATCTAACCAAAAATATATAGACAAATACTCATATATCTATTTATAGAAGATATATTGGTTTTAATCTTAAATCAAAGGTATAATTGTAATTTAATTTTTTTTCAATATATTATTGACCTATGTAAATATCAAGATCCTTTATTTATTTTCTAATGCAAATACTAATGTGCAATCAAAAATGCTTCACTTTTTTAATAGTTTTGTAATCAAATATAGGACTTTAGATCTTATTGAGCATTGAATATTAATATATTGCTAAATATATATATAAATAGTAAAGAAAAAATGATAAAAATTATTAAGAATTATGTCATATTTGTATTAAAAAATCAGTTATCATTTAAACAAATTGATGAATAAATACAAAAAGATTATATTAGATCTAAAATACATTATGTTTATTTATAGATTCATTATAAATTATTCTCACAATTTATTATTTCTTCTAATAAATTTACTAAAATTTTGTTATAATCTCTATTTTCTATATTTTACGCATTTAATCCCAATTTTAATAATTAAATTAGCCATTTACTAACAATTTTCTATTATAAATTAATTTATAAAAGTGGAAATACATTTTCCATAAATAAAGCTTAAGACTTGCTTATGATAACTTGGGATTCTGTATATCTTAGTTATTCTAAGCTTCCATTCAAGGTTTCAAGCTTATGCACAGGTATCTAAAATCCATTGTATGCTTCAGTGAATCTTTGAATTAATTGTTCAATAAAATCTAATGGTTTGGATGTGAGTTAAACTATCACTTTTGCTGAAATAAATTCTTAATTAATAAAACTTAATTAGTTAGTTATAATCTGATTATCAGATAGTTCATCTAACTCTTCAGGTCCATTTTTAACTCTATTCCACTGCATAGCCCATTATTCTAGAAAGTATCTCATATAGAAGTGAGTATTGAATTTCTTACACTTTTAATATTATTCATTGAATATTGTTAAAATTTAATCTTTATTTTATTAGGATATTGAATCTTTATATTGAATGGCTTACACTTCTAGTATTTCTAAACATTTCTATTGAATTGATTATTTGGAAGTGCATTCATATGCATTAATCTTAAAGCTAAACTTCTTCGGTCGTATTTCCTCCTTTAATAGCTCATCCAAAGGTTTTTGAAAATCTTCATCCAAATTATAAGCCTCAAACAGTTCATTAGGAGAACATTATTGTAAAAGGTGCTATATTTATTCAATCATAACAATCCAATTTTCTTCTGTAAAAGATTAGCCTCCTTGTTAAACAATGGTTTTCAGTGAATCTAGACATAAAGTTGAAAGAAACTTAAAATAAATAAAAATATTACATCTTAGGTTTACAACACCAACTAAACATATATATCAATTAAGTCATTTAAGCAAGGCTACATTTATTCGATGTAAAGAACCACTAAATCTGTGAATAAATTAAAAGTCATTTTATAAGCTGAGATTACTTACTATTTAGTTTAAGTTTGTTTTATGAATTACATCTTAGAAAATTAAATCTCATCAAATAATGGTCTAATCACACCTCTCAAAATCATCTTCCAAAATTCATTGGATTGTTATGCTCCATGGATTTTCAGCAATTCAAATAGGGTGCTGACGCTTTATTACTGTACAACTACTCTATCATCACTATATAAAACAGAGAGAGCAGATAAAACTGGAATCCATAACTAATCTAAATATTTGTTATCATTCTTTTTAATCAAAACAATGTGATCAACCAATATTTTTAATTGTTTGATTGCATTCGTGACTATACTAACATCTTTGCTTTTAGTCAATTTTATGAGGGCTTAAATTAGTTCCATAAAAATCTCAGAATAAACCTATTAATTGCTCACATCTTCCATTATTTTGTCTGTAATCTAAACGCATAATCGAACCAATTACTATTAATCATCTTACAGAGCTTGATTAATTATACTCATAATGATCTTCCAGCCACTTTTAATTGAATTGAAACAAATATTTGTAATCATACACATACAAGATAATAAATATTCTCTCAATTAAATTTTATGCATCTATTAAGCCTAAGTATGGCTAAATATTTATTCAAATGGTAATAGAAATTCCTTTTGGAAGTGATAATTTGTCAGTTCAGGTTATTACAAGAATTTGCAGCTTAATTACTTTAATTAATCAATTGCATACATTGCAAGATCTACATTTTTTAGACATCCCACCTCAAGGAAATGCTCCCTCATGATTTCCCACATTCTAGACCAAATAATTTTAATTCTATTCATATTAAAATCAGCAACCTCAATTACTCTGCTCAATAAGAACACTCTATTGTATTTAATTTCCTCTTTTGATAACTCACACAAAGCACTGATAAATTCTAAAATGGAGTTGGAATCTAAATTGATTGAACTATTAAATATTTTATCAATCTGATCATATTGTATTTATTAAAACAATCTTTCAATACTAATTATGTCTTCTTAATTGTAATTCTCTTTGTAAGGTGAATCAACCTTTATTTTCTTTACAACCTAATGTAACTATTCCAATCTTGATATCAATTACAATACTATCTTCCAACTTTTACGTAAATATTATCCAGATTAAAGACTAACTTTTATCAAAGTTTGAACTCCTAATATTTACTTGTAAGTGCTTGGGATATTTGTACAATATCTATATAAAAAACTGATAAATGTATCCTTCTCTTCATCTAAATCGAATCTGCCCATCAATTAAATAAATGCTTGAATTGTTTCGAAACATAATAATATTTATTATTGATCTTCAGTCTATTCTAAAAATACACTTATTGATGCAAATATTACACTCCAAGTTTATTGTAATAAAGACTTCATATGTTCTATTGTATTAACATAGTAGAATGCATCTTAATTTGGATGCTCTTTAAACCATTTCTTTAATGCATCTTCAGCCTCCTTAGCTAACATAACATGTCTTCTTCTTTGATCAACTTAATTTGCTTATTCTAATGCTCTCCTAGCCTATTCTTTTGCATGCAAAGCCAAAGGTGTCTTTTAAATCCGCAAATAGAAACCTTACAACATTTCTTAAGGCAAATTTTCCCCATCATTGATTCCTCTGGCTAAGTTGGTGAATTGTGCTAGAGTCATTTTATCTAAATTTTTCTCATTATGTAAATCGGTTTACAACATCATCAATAAATATGAAAGGGTGTAGGCGGCTTATGCTGATTAATATATTCCAGGGTTATCGACACAATACTTTGAAGCAAACTTTTCCATTATCCTATCTATTTATTATGATTCTCCGGGCAAAGTAAAGAATTCCAACATATATCTCAAACCTTCATCTACTTGTAATCCCTTAAAATTCATAAAGTCTACATATAATGAAAACACCTTTTAATCAAATTCATTTGAACTACCAAATAATTCTCCCAATTTATCTTTATTTAAGTCTCTGTTTTCCCAAAGAAATTAAGCAAATAATTTATGGTCTCTGTTTTCCATATATTAACAAGCTATCAAATGCTTTATACAGTGTTCAGGTTTAAAATTAAATTTTTGAACAGCCTTGTTCATTTCTAATTTCATCTATTTCTATTTCTCAAGCGGATCCTAAGGTAACTATTGTTATTAGACAACAGAATCATCCAACTCATCAATCGATTAAATCTAAACCACATTTTGAGAATCTTCATATTATTCAGAGTATTCTTTTAAACATCTTACATATCCACAATAATTATCTAAACACAAAGCTTTTAGATAAATCTCTTGATTTATAGATATAGAGGCTTAAAATTCTTGCTTACTGAATCTTCCCTAAATAATCCGACACTACATGTCTAAAATTTTCTTAAGTAGGTTATTCTGACCTACAGAACAATCGTAGTTTACAAATACCTCAATTACCACTTTTGGACGAGTAAGAATTTTATTGAAAACCTTCAAAGTGTATTATTTATGATCAAAAGAACTATTGCTACTCTCCAAAAATTTAAAATAAACATTTTCAATCAAGGCTTCTAGTTCTTTTTTCATATGACTTCTCACTTTCCAGATCAACTAAATGAAAATGTTTAAAGTCAAAATTAGTAGTTGTTTCTCAGTAGAAAGAGAATTCTTCAACAATGATTCCAACAACTATTCTTTTAATATTGATATTAATTTAGGTTTATTCTGTAATATAACATCGCTCTGAGCCAAAGCCTCATAGATTAATTCCAAAGATAAGACTTTACATTTTATAATCATTTAAGCTAATTATGGATTTTAAGGTTCTTTTTGACTTAATTAGCAAAGCATTTCTAAAATTTCATAAGCATCCTTTACATATTATTCACTAAACGTAGAATGCTAATGAGATTGAGAAAAGTTAAACATTTGATTTAAATGTAGATATTTACATTCTTTGCTACAAATGGGCACTTTTGTATCTTTACAATATTATGATGCTTGCTTTCTGCAAATAATACACCAACCAAACTTTCCATTTTTTATATTCAATTCATTGACTAAATTAATTTATATTTAATTTTTATCAATGGTTACGTTTCTTAAATTGGGTTCATGCAAATTCAAATCAATCACCTTCATTTTATTTAAATCATCCAATTGCTTCTCATAAATTGATCTTCTTTCACTATAAATTTACACTTCATCAACCATTGATATTAATTGAGATTTCATATATTATTCAGCATTAACTAAAGCTTTACATTTTCCAAAAACTAATTATCCCTAATTACCTTATTATTAAATGGCTTATTAGTATTCCTCTTCTGCAAGAATGCCATAATCTTCAAGTCTTGCAAAATAAGTGCTAACGATTTTCTAGCAAGCCTCTTTACTAGCATTTATTATTGCAACTATTTTTGAAACTAATCAAAACTATTCATGTTATTAGATACCTGAATGCAGATTTATTAATAATGAAAAAACTCTTGTGACAGCTTCACCATAAATATGGTGCTTTCTATTCGTCATTATTGCTTGTATTGCTTTTATCATATATATTTAAACAGTCTCCTCCTTCTCCAATTAAGTTTACATTACCAACTCTAAAGTTATCTCTATTGCTCTCTTTTCTCCTATGATTTGTTCTCCTGATAAAAAACCCTAATCTACGATGTTCTAAAATAATGAAAAGGACATACCTTGATATCAAATAATGCCAATTCAATCAATTTAACTTATTTGGATTCAATACAAAATTAGTACACCTTTATTAAGTGATTTGCATCATAGTAATCCTTAACCTCTTTTAATAATAAAGTAATTTACACTAAGCCTCATCTATGATCTGTTTTAATTCAAACTATTTTTTTGTAATTGCCTTTTTGATTTTGTCTAATGACTGATTGATCAAATCACTTAAATTTAATGACATTTTTTTTAATAAAAAAATTTATAATTCCGTATTTTATTATTCAATATAGAAAGTCTCATAACGATTTTGATTGAATTTACAAATAAGAACTTATGATTTATAATTAAATGATTATCAAAAATTATTAAACTAAGTGTGTTGTTTTTCACTAAAATTATCCATTTCGTATCCAGAAAATTATGCTAATTTAGATATTAAATATACATTATATAGAATTTCTCCTTAGCATAATGGAGTGCTATTAAATAAGCTCATTATTTTCATCATCTTCCATTGATATTTATCTTGCATCAAAATTATCTTCATTTTACTAAAATACTAATATTTAATACATTAGGTATGTATGGAGATCTCAATTCTTTATTCAATAATTTTTACCATGGAAAATTCTTAAACCAGGAATGCTGTTTCAGTTCATGAGGACCATTAAATCCTAATCGATTTGCAGGTTTTCGTTATATTAGCTTTTAAATGTATATTAAGTAATACTCTATTAATAAAATCTGCTGATTCTAATGACCAATTATCAGGAATCTCAGATCTTTTTATTTGAACTTATTTAGCTAAAATTTGATCTCTAATCTCTTTCCTTGATCGGCCAGTATAAGGTCTCTAGTTTTTCATGAAAATAGCTTACTTTTCCCAACATAAATTCATATCCAATTACTCCCAAAGCAAAGTAATCTACAGCGAAAGAATGGTTCTGCCTACACATTACTTCAGGGGCTAACGATATATATATTATGATAGTACCCATATATCCAGGCGTTCCTGAAGTATCCTATTAATTATCAGGCCTTAATATTCTAGCTATTCCAAGATCGGTTATTCTGACATAACCTAAATTATCTTCTTATTTATACCGTTTTTATCAAGCACTAAATTTTCTGGTTTGATGTCTCTATGTAGACTATTTTTAGAATGCATATATTCTAATCCTAAAAATATACAAGCCATAAAAAATCCTTCATTTCTATTATATTCATACTTGTTTGATCTTCTGAAAATCTTCTCATTTTTCCGATATGATATCTTAGGTCTCCTCCTTGCATATAATCTAAAACCAAGAAAAGATTATCACGCTCTTAAAAAGCATAATAGATATTAACTAAAAATCTATATTTGACTAAATAATTACGGATGTTTTAGATTACTCAGTATGTGCCTTTCATTCATAACTGAATTAACACTTTTTTTTGCGATAATTCTAAAATATAATCACATAACATACAGAGCTTTTGACATTTCTTTCATTGCATAGATCTAACCAGTCTTCTTATACTCCACCTTCCAAACCTTGCCAAATCCACCAATCCCAATTACAAATTAAAAATTAAACATGTTCTTTTATACAATTGGCTCATTAATATCTAAAAATAAAAAATAGAGCTTAACTTTCTTTTTCTTCATCCTCAATAAGTTATGATTTATCTTTGAGAATCAAGCAGTTAACAAATGCAATTTATTTTGGCTATTATTATTTTGATATCGAAGACTTCTTCGAATGATTTGCTGATGATTATTGGCTAGATGGTAACGCGAATTTTTATAAACCATGTACTACAGGAGCAGGTGATCGATCACAATTTTATTCATTTTAGCGGCTTTCGATTTACATAACTTCTATACTTGTTTAACACTTTAATCACTTATTAACCGTATTGTAATTATGATCTAGTTATATTCATTTATCCAGAATCTTGTCTTGAATGAGGAAATCGGTAATTTAAACTTTTCATAACAGTAATAATATTTTATAAATTTGTTAGAATAGTCTCTTCAAAAAAAATTATAAAAATCTCAACAAAATCCCAAATAATACTCAAATATGAATTTAAATTTTTATGAATCCATTTTTCTCTTATTCTTAAGTTGTTTATCAAAAAATAAGAATTAGAATGAATTCAATATCAAAAAAAAAAGAAAGTATTCTTTGCCTTATTTAAAGTTGTAGATAATAAATAAGCCTTTTTTCGTTGAATGATATTTTTTTATTCAAATAGATTATTAAATTAAAGAGAATCACAATTTATTAATACTTTATTTATTTTAAGCTGATAAATAAACGATGAAGCAGAAGGCTGGAAAGACAAAATAGATCGAAAAGGTTATCAAAATCAAAAATGACATTTTTTTACTTCAAGGCGTTAAGTTTATACAAATAAGACTTTCTTGAACTAATAATAGAGATTTAGGTTACATGGATGGGTTCTAATACTAGGTGATAATATTGAAATAGATTAAATTATAACTAAATTCAGTAATGGAACCAGGTAGCTTCATACAGAATTTTAATTTCATTTAAATTAAATAATTTTATAAAAAATATCATTAAATTTTATCAATAACATGATGATATATTTATTTAACTTTTAAGATTTAAAAATAAAAATAAAAACCCACAAGAAATGAAATTTCTATGAACTTAAAATACTTAACAAATTCGAATAGAATTAAAATCTAATTGAAAAAATAATATATGATAATTACATTGAATTTGAAAGAGTTATTATTAGGAGCTAAATAATGGTAGAATAAGAAAAATTATTCAATTGTGGTTGCAATAAATATATCATATTGTGAACATAAACTCACTTGTTTATTTTAGTTCTTAAACTTTAAGTTCAAGCTAATCTATTTAAACGGATTATTCCTGTATTTTTTAGGAATAGCTCACTAATTAATCTTATTTAAACTTAAGAGTCATTTCGAGGTCTTTGATTTTTTTAAGGTATTCATCGCTCATTAAAGCTTTAGATCTCCATTCCTTTATTTATTCAAACATTTCATCTTAATGATTTGATAACTCAGATATTTGCTCTAAATATTTTCTTTCCAGTTTTTCTTTCTAAATTTTTATTAATGCTTCTTTTTCTTAATACTTTTTTATTTCTTGTTATAAATTTTTAATATCATTTTTTAAATTTTCTATATCCTTTTATTACTATATCATTTTTGCTTTTTAAGTCGCTATGTATTCATTAGGATGTTCATCTTCCAACAAACCAACTTACTAGCATAGGTTTTATATGGCATCATTCTAGTGTTTAATTTATTTTTCTAATTCAGTTTTTTGTTTAGATATTTCCTCAGCTTCCATTAATTTTGTTTAATCCTATTCCCTCTCTATTTAAAGCAAATTAATTTTTTCCTCATATTGATGAATGTTATTTTGGAGATCTGTTTATTATTATTGCAATTCCTTAATTTCATTTTCTAATAAGGTTTATTTATGAGTAGATTATTCATTTTGCAACTAAAATTGTTCAACTTAATCTTTAAATGAAGAATTTTATTAGGATAAATGTTCGTATTCTAATTTTAAGGCTTCTAATTCTTTAATCAACTATTATTCTTTTTCTTATTACTCAGATATGTGATTCTCCGAAACTTAAGAAAAATCCTCAAGATTTTAGATATGTTCTTTAAGTTCTTCTATCTGTTATTAATAATTTTTTTCGTTATTTTCATATTATTAAATTTTATGATTCTATTAATTTACTTCTTCTTAAAGTTAAGCAATTAGGGTAACATCTTAATTTAATTAATTTTCAAATTCTAATTTGTCCTATTTATTATGTTCTTCAAAGGAATTTTGTTCCAACTCTTTCTCATTTATTAGTTTTTTATTCTCAAGGTTTATTGAATTGATGCATTCATCTTTTTCTTATTATTTGTTTTGATCTTATAAGAGTTAAGACTCTATTTATTCATTGGCCATTTTAAGGCTATTTATTAATTATTCTTTTTCCTCTAATAAAGTATTTTAGGCTTAACTTTATTATTATAATTAAAATATTTATTCTTCTAAGTGTTTATTTGTATTCTCTAATTTTTCATTATAATTTTATAAATTAACTTTTTCTTCTTGAATTTGATTTAATTAATTCAGTTCATCTTATTAATTATTATGATCCTATTTTTAAGTTACCTCCAACTATTAGCGTTCTTTGACTAATTTATTTATTTCTTCATTGAGTTATTCTATTTAAGATGATAGTTGCTGATTTTATTCAGAAATTTTTTAGTTAGTCTCTTTTTCTATACGACATTACTCCTATAAATTGTTTATCTCAATTGCGATTTAATCATGGTTAATTTAAAAGCTATTGTTTTCTTCAATGAGTTTATTATTTGCAATATTTAAGTCTTAATGAGCTGATTATAAAGCTTAAATTTCGCTTGTTTTTTAATCTAATACCTTATTTTACTCGATTGAATCGGCCTAATACTTTTATAATTTTTAATCTGCTTCTTAAATGGATATTAGTTATTATGCAATTTATTATTGACATATTTAATTTTCAGATTTTAAAATATCTAATTGTTTAGTTTGAATTCATTTCTTTATTCTTCCATATTTTGGATTTGAACTGTTAATTGTTAAATTTATACATTTTATTCCTATAATTTATTTTATTAGATCAAATTTTAATCTTTATCAGTCGCTATTTGGCTTTATTGACTAGTAACTGTTTATTATAATTGAGAAATTTATGTTTGAAGATCATTTAATTAATTGTCTTTATTTAATTGATGTTCATTTTATAATTATTCTTTTTCGTGTTGCATGGATTGAATTAGATTTTTATTTTCCAACAATTAAGCTTCGTATTCTAACTTTTCTTTGGTTAAATTTTCATTTTCCTTAAGGGATTTTTAATAATCATTTGTTATTACTGATAAATTTTATTACAATTGATTGATTTCATTTTCCTTCCCCTTTATTTAGACGCTTAATTCATCATTATTATTTGTCAATTAATTAATTTAATCTTCTTTTTAAGAGGTTAATTATTTATAACTTGTTATTTCTTTATTTAATTAATCCTATTATTATACTAAATCATTTATTTTAACATCATGCTACTATTATTGTTGTTAAAGAGATAATTGTATATTTTCTAATTCAAGATTCAGTTTTTATTATGTTTAAAATAATTCATTCCCTTTTGTATCTTTTAATTGAAGTTATAAAGTTAAATGGTCAATATCTAAAATCATTTTAGTTTCTTTATCTTTAAATTCATTTGTTAAAGTCTCATTTTATAATTCTAATTGAACATGTAATAATTTGAGTTCTTCTATTTCTTTGTTTTTTTATTTCTCTTTCTCATCAAATTGTTATTATTGTAGTTTAAGTTAATCATTTAAATTTTAAATTTACTATTTTAAATTATCAATTTCAAGATTTAGCTTTTGTTATATTTACAACAATTCATTTCCTTACATATCTTTACCTAATATAAGTTATTAATTCTATTATTTTTAATTTTCAATGTCCTACAACAATTTAATTTCTTTATCTTTGAATTCATTTCTTAATCTTTCATTTTCCTTTTATATTTCTAAATTTTGTAATTTTTCATTTTCAATTTCCTTCAACATTTTATTTTCTCTATCTTTCAATTCACTCATTAATTATTCATTTTCTCTTTAGAATTATAATTATTGTAACTTTTAATGCTCAATTTCCTACAACATTTTAGTTTCATTATCTTTAAATTCATTTGTTAAAGTCTCATTTTATTTTTCCAATTGAACATGTAATAATTTGAGTTCTTCTATTTCTTTATTTTTTTATTTCTCTTTCTCATCAAATTATTATTATTGTAGTTTAAGTTAATCATTTAAATTTTAAATTTACTATTTCAAATTATCAATTTCAAGGTTTAGCTTTTGTTATATTTACAACAATTCATTTCCTTACATATCTTTACCTAATATAAGTTATTAATTCTATTATTTTTAATTTTCTATGTCCTACAGCAATTTAGTTTCTTTATCTTTGAATTCACTTATTAATCTTTCATTTTCTTTTTATAATTCAGCATATTGTAATTTTACTTATTCAATTTCCTTCAGCATTTTAGTTTCTCTATCTTTAAACTCATTTGTTATTCTTTCATTTTCTTTTTATAAATCTAAATTTTGCTATTGTCCTTATTCAATTTCATTCAGCATTTGAATTTCTTTGCCTTTAAATTCATTAATGAATTTTTCATTTTCTTTCTATTATTGTATGTATTATAATTTTTCATGTTCTATTTCCTTCAACATTTTAATTTCTTAATCTTTGAATTAATTTTATAAAGTTTCATTTTCTTATTTTAATTATAGATGTTGTAACTTTTCATGTTCTATTTCTAAAATAAATTT